AATATAAAAAATGTCTTTGTCTAAATTGCTCCTTGCTGGCTTTATGGTGAAACAGGGTCCTGGGCCATGGGCAGATCTAGGGAGGCACTGAGACAGTCAAGCCAGGGCCAGGAGGGGCTGTGGGTGCCTGTGGGCTACAGCAGAGCAGGGATGGGTATACATACATGAAATAGCAACAAAGAAACGGGAAGAGTGGCTGGGGCTCCTTGTTTTCCTAAATGTTTTGATAATAGTGCAAGGAAATGCTGCCCTGTACTGCTGGGCCACAAGTGGACTTCTGCTGTTCTGAAGGTAGTGTGGTAGGAGTCACACGTGGCACTCTGCATCCAGTGTCCCATCCTCTAAGTCTTTAATTTGGTTCCCACCAGCATTTATCCCAATGCTCCTCTGACCTTGAGGAAATGGGCCTTTGATGGGCTGATTGCTCCTGGGAGCTGCCAGGGCTGAGGATTATATGGGCTTGTCCTCCTGTGCTTTTTGTGCATGCAGATGTGCTTTTAGTCCATATTAATCAACACCTGGGGCTTGCTGCGCCTCTGTCACCTCCTGTCAGCTCTGCCTCCCCCTCCCAAAAGCCTCAGCTGTAAGGTGTTGCTCAAGGTGCCACACACTCCTCTGAGCCCCTCTCACACCATGGAATAAGCCTTCAGCAGTCAAAAACATGATTCAGTGACTCCCATGTACCCAGCCCCATCCTCATGGCCTCTTTTATCTTCCCCCATTCCCACTCCTTGGACAGAAGCGCCTCCACTTTTCTAACTATCCTGATGCTGCACATTCATTGTCACTCAGAGAGAGCTCATTCCTTACACAACAACCTTCACTGTCTTGTAGCAAACCCACTAAACCAAAGCTTGCATCAAAACTACACCAAGGTAAGAACTGGAGAATTCAAATGAATGCAATGGCAACATTTTCACTAAAAAAAAAAAAAAAAATTTGTTTCCTTTCCCTTTCTTTTTTCCTTTGTTTTCTTACTTTGTTTCCTTTGTTTTTCTTCAAGCCTTTTTCTTCCTTCAGTCTCTTCTGTTTTCCTTCCAGAAAATGGTAACAAAGGAAAATCTAGGGAGGAAAAAAAATATCATAGCAAATACTCTAAAATATCCTACTGAACAGTCTGCCTATAAAGACTCCTCAAGTGGGAGGCAGCCTCCTGGGGACTAAATGAAGCAGATGGATTGACCTTGAACAGCAGCCAAACGCCCACACAGCCACTCGCTCACTCCCCCGGCAGTGGCATAGGGAAGAGAATGGGAAGAACAAAGTGAGAATCATAGAACCATTAAGGTTGGAAAAGGACTCTAAGATAATTGAGTCCAACCATTAACCCAGCACCATTCTGTTCACCACTAACTCATGCCCCCCATGCCACATCCACATGTGTTTTTGAACACTTTGAGGAATGGTGATTCCACCACTTCCTTGTGCAGCCTGTTCAATGCCTGACCACTCTTTCTGTAAAGAATTCTTTCTATTATCCAATCTAAACATTCCCTGGCACACCTTGAGGCCTTTCCAATTCTTTTTACTCGTTGTCTGGGAGAAAAGACCAACCCCCACCTGGCTACAGCCTCCTTTCAGGCAGTTGTAGAGGGTGATAAGGTCCTCCCTGAGCCTTCTTTTCTCCAGGCTGAGCACCTCCAGCTCCCTCAGCTGCTCCTCAGACTTGTGCTCCAGACCCTTCCCTAGCTCCACTGCCCTTCTCTGGATACATTCCACCCCTCTATGTTGCAGTGAAGGGCCCAAAACTAAGTGTAGGATTCAAGATACATCCTCACCAGTGCTGAGTAGAGGGACAATTTCATTCCCTAGTCCTGCTGGCTGCACTGTTTCTACAAGCCTGGATGCCATTGTTCTTCTTGGCACACTGCTGGCTCATGTTCAGTTGCTGTCAACCAGCACCTCCAGAAATGTTTGCAAATCTGGATGAGGATAGTTTAGTAAGTGAAGGAAAGCAAAAACCCCTAAACCAAACAACCCAACCCAAAATAACCCCAAGAAATTCAAAGGCAAGTACTCAGTACTTCCCATCAGCAGACCTATACCACTCCATCTAGCAGCAATGGTCACCTTGGAAGAAAAATGTCCCACTTTTCTTCTTCTGCCCCAGGTTTTCTTGCTGAGGCCAGTGTTTTATGGCATGGAACATCCCTTTGGCCAGTTTAGGCCAACTGTCCTAGTTCTGCCCCTCCCAGTCTCTTGCCCAATCCTTGCCTGCTTTCTGGGGAAGATGAATGGAAAAAAAACCAAAAGTGAGTGCTGACACTGTGGGTTATTCAGCAACAGACACCACACTGCTGTGTTATCAACATCATCATCAATCATGATCCTCCTCCTTGTCCAGTGACATATACATAGATGTCGTTCCTTTAGCCTGTGGGACATCCCCCAAACATCCATACAAGTCCAATCAATTAATTTGGTCCGTAACTTGTGCTCCACCCTGTAGCTTTCCACATCAGATGGTTTTGCACAACACAACAGGAAGCATTGGTAAACAGATCATATTGCATTTCACTTTCTACTATTTATTACACTGTTGGGCTTGAGCCACCTCCTCAGATGATGCTCTGAAATCTCTGCCTCCTGGATCAATGGTGATTTCTTTCAGCATTCAAAGGCACTGGGAGTTCCTCATCTGAGCCCACTGTGTGATCAATCCTACCCCCTTATTCCATGTAGCTTCAGTTGCATTATCTGTAGAGCTGGGCCACAAGTGGACGTTGTTGTAGAGGTTGTTGTAGAGGTGCCCCTTGCTGTGAACATCTAGTACACCTCAGACCCTTGATACCCTCAGCTCCAGAACCCCAGAGGTCAACCTTGGCTCTTTCCAGGTGTTTTCTGCCAGAGGCTGCAGGTGAGCACAGAGCATGCTTCTCACAGTTGGTACTCTCTGGACAAGTCCAAGGGCTACCATACAAACTGTCCTCTCTGTCCTGCTGCTGTTTAGTGACCCTGTCTGGACACCAGGTGCCCACCAAAGCCACTCTGTCACTGTCCTCCTCAACTGGACAGGGGAGAGTAAATATAACAAAAGGCTTCTGGGGCAAGAGGAGAGGTCACTCCTAAGGATCACTCCTGAGATCACTTACCAGTTACCATCAGAAGCAAAACTCTGTCACTGATGGCCTGAGCATTGGCCAATGGTGGATCTTAGACCCAGTTGGCTTTGACCCTGGTGGACATGGCGGAAGCTTCTGGCAGCTTCTCATAGAAGCCCCCCACTACCAAAGTCTTGCCACACAAACTCAATAGACTTTAAAAAGTTCTTAAAGGTCACTGAATGGAAAGGACTCACAAGCTGTGATCCAGAATCTGCAGTTTCCAGAAATACACTATGGCTAGGAAAGCCTTTTTATTAATTGGTGGAAACTTGACATTTATTTTACAGATCATGTCCATGAGGATGTGATGATGCTGATCTTGCCATTACCAGCTTGGGAACATCTGTCCTGGTGAAGAAGAGAAGGAAAGACTCCATGAGATTTTTCACTGAGCACTGAGATGGCAGCAGTGCAGGGGTCAATGCCAGACTTGGCTCATGGTCATTTATCATAGATCTCTCAGGCAGAACAGAACACAGTGATAAGCAGCACAGCAAGCAGCAACAGAACAGTCATCATACCACTGGGTGTCACAGGGACAGCCGTGGGCTGGTCGCACCAGCTGCCAAGCACCCACCCAGTTGCTCCCTCACCCTGCTCTCAGCAGCACAGGGGGAGGCTGAGATGAATAAAAGCAAGAAAAAAAAAAAAAAACAACACCAGACACAAAGACAGGCCACTGTGAGGCTGCTGCCTGTCTGGGGCTGTCCTACGGCCACCAGCTACAGCTGTGGCACCTCCAGGACCATCTCAGTGATTGCCCTGAGTCTTTTTCTCCCTCTCACATAATCACAGTGTCACAGAACTGGTCAGCTTGGAAGGGACAGCAGTGGGTCATCTGGTTCAACGTCCCTGCTTAAGCAGGGTCATTCTAGAACACATTGCACAGGATTGTGTCCACTTGAATTAGTGGAGAGACTCCACACCCTCTTAAGGCAGTATTTCAGTGCACAGTCACTGCACACTAAAGTTCTTCCTATTCAGCTGAAACTTCCTGTGTATCAGTTTCTGCCCATTCCCTCTTGTCCTAGTACTCGGCACCACCAAGCAGAGCCTGGTCCATCCTCTTGACACCCTCCCTTCAGATAGCCCTGGATGAGGTCCCCTCCCAGCTGCCTGTTCTGGGGCTGAACCCCCTCAGCCTTTCCCAATACGAGAAATGCTTCAGCCCCTTAATTAAACACCTTCCTTTCCCTCCACTGGACAACTCCCTCCGCTCTCCTCTGTTTCTGTGCCGGAGGCTTGGCTGTGTGTGCCGGCGGCGGGGACGGCGGTGAGGCCAAGGCGATGAGGCCGTGTCAGTGTCCCCTTGCCGGTGTCCCCAGCCCGGTGTCCCCGCTCAGGCTGCGTCAGCATCTCCGTGTCAGTGTCCCCGCTCAGGCTGTGGCTGTGTCCCTAACGCTGTGTCCCCACTAGGGCTGTGTTGGTGTGGCTGTGTCAGGCTGTGTCTCCAGCCCGGTGTCCCCGGACCGGCGTCCCCGTGCCGGTGTCCCCATGTCGATGTGCCCAGCCCGGTGTCCCCGTGCCGGTGTCCCCATGTCGATGTGCCCAGCCCGGTATCCCCATGCCGCTGTCCCCAGCCCGGTGTCCCTGTGCCGGTATCCCCGTGCCCCTGTCCCCATGTCGCTGTCCCCAGCCCGGTATCCCTGTGCCGGTATCCCCGTGCCCCTGTCCCGATGTCGCTGTCCCCAGCCCGGTATCCCTGTGCCCCTGTCCCCATGTCGCTGTCCCCATGTCGCTGTCCCCAGCCCGGTATCCCTGTGCCAGTATCCCCGTGCCCCTGTCCCCATGTCGCTGTCCCCAGCCCGAGGCCGCCGCTCTTTGTCTCGCTCGCCCCCGCCCCTGCGCAGTCACGTGCCGGGGGCGGGGCGCGTCGCGCGGCGGTGACGCGCGCGGGGCGCGGGCAGGATGGGGCGGTGAGGGGCGGCCGTGCCGGACAGCCCGCGGCAGCCGCGCCGGGCCCCGAGCGAGCCGAGCGGGCGGTAAGGGCCGGCAGCGCGGGGGCGGCGAGGAGGGAATGCGGAGGGAGCGTGGGCCACGGGGCTCCGGCGCCCTTCGCACGGCGATCGGGCCTGGCGGGGCGGCGCCCGCGGCTCTGCTCGCGCCGGGCCCCGCCCGCAGCCGGGGGTCCGGCGGGGCCTCCCCCGGGTGTGCCGAGCGCCGAGTCCCCGCCGGGCCGCGGCCCTCTCGCTCCGAGCCCAGCTGGGCTGCGCCCTTTGTGTCTCCGCGCTCCCGGCGCTTCCAGGGGATCCCCGCTGGAGAACGGGGGCCGGGTGTCGCTCCCCCCGCAGTGCGGGGCAGGGAGGCTCCGACCCCGCATCCCGGCACTCCCGCTCTGCGAGTGGGCTTGGCGTGGTAACAGGGAGCGCCGCAGAAAGTCGCGGTGATAGCGACAGTAGTTGCACAGAGAGGGGTTTTGTTTTGCTTTTTTTTTTTTTTTTTTTGATAGTGACTGAGCTACAAAATAAAATTAGAAGCCAGTTGTGACTGAAACTCAGTGCTATGAGTGCAACTCCAGAGTGTATAGAAGGACTCAAGATGGGTTTTTGTTTATTTTTTGTTTGTGCTAATTTCATCTTACTTGTCCTTTAGGCCATGTTTATCTGTTCTTGATAAGGTAAGTTTTTGGTTTGCCTTTTCTACACCCGAGGAAAGCACACATGCTTGCTGTAGGTAAATTAAAATTTTGCTTAAAAAGAATGTGAAGGAATTACAGCCTAGTACAGTTCCAGAGATGAGCACTATAGTTTTTTCCTTATTATTTTTTACTGTTAAGGTTGACAACAGATTTTTTTTCAAAGGGAAAGAAATCTGAATAAAACTGTGTATGGATGTTTTTTTATGCCTTTTTTTGGGCCCTGACTGTATATTCTGTAAGCTAAGCAGTTAACAACAGAGTCAGGATCAAAATTTTGCATCTTTTCACCCTCTGGAATATGTTTGCTGTCAGTGACACATTTTAAACAACATAATGTGTTTTAATGCAACTTTTTTCCTTCCTTCAAAGGTGGTGAAAAAGACAATATCAAGATGAGTAAAAAGCCTCCAAATCGTCCTGGAATCACATTTGAGATTGGTGCTCGTTTGGAGGCACTGGACTATTTACAAAAATGGTACGGAAGACTTTGTGTAGTATTTGCTGTGAGCATAATTATTTTGTGTAGTTTGTGTGCTTTGATAACTGATTATTAAAATCAGTGCACCACATGTTGACAGTTTCCACATGTGAACTTTATGAATTTCCACCAAAGTCTGCTAAAACTGTTAGCTTTTAGAAAAATATTCTCTCTTCATAAATTGAGCTGAACTTTTCTATGGATTTGTGTTTATTTGCTTTTAGTGGCTTGTGCAGCTGTAACAAGCAAAGAGCCTTTCTGGAGTAGTGTGGAATTCAGTGTCATGGCCGAGGTGGTCGGTGTGTCAATGAGGCAAACTTCATGATCAAAGACTTCTTTTGTTTTCATTTGAAGGCATGCACGGGGAGTTGTTTTGTATTCGGTTGTCACACTTGACAGGTTCACAAAACTGATTTAAAAAAAAAAACAACAACACATCCTGGGTTGGAGTTCATGGGATAGGTAAGGTACAGTTGTGTTTGTGTTAAACAGCTGGAGGAATGAAGTGCTTAAAAGTGTGACTCTGCAACCACCCAGGCATATTGTGAATTCAGACTATGAAATGGAAATTGTGGGCACAAGGACTATGCTGCACAGCATGTGTATTGTGAAAGGAGCTGATCTGGTGAAATAAATTGTTAGTAAAAAATTTATTAATTTATTAAAGCAAGTGGGCTAATTTGTTGATGTGTACTGGCCATGCTAGTTGAGTTTGAAAACTCCCTGGTTTTGTTAAAGTAGGTGGCAGAAGTAGTTAATACTTCTACCTAGAAATTTTTTCTTAGCTGCTGTCTGTTTTATTAGGGCTAGGAAATGTAGAGGTGTGTACCTGCTTTTCTGTTGCATTCCTGGAGACCTCAGCATGTTCCTGTAAATATCTGGTCCTGTTAACTCCAAATGATGTGAGAGAGAAGTCTGTGTAGTGTTGACATGTCTGCTCCAGTATTTATGTGCTCTGTATAAAAAGTTGGGTCAAACTTTTTATTTGTAGAGCTTTGATTTTAATTATAGGAAGAGTGTTTTCTTAATGAATTGACTCTAAAGGACTCGATTTATAGAACTGTTCTTGTTCTTACCTGTTGCTGTAGACTGGGTTTTCAGCATACTGATTCTGTAACTGAATGGCAGACTAAGGAAAACATCCAAAATAGAACAATAAAACTTTTTATAGCATCTTCTGTGACTAGAGATAGTTGGTTAATGTAATCAGGTAACAAAAATTAATATGTAAAAATAGTTTAATTATATCAAAAGAATCACTTTGAATGTCCAGTATATAGTTTGTGTCAGACGTACCCACCCTTTTCTCTTGGAAGGGTTGCATGTCAGTGCTGGAGTTCTTGTCTAGGTTTGGATTCTCAGGCATGGCCAAGCTCTACAGCTGAGTTGCTGGGTGTTTTCAGAAAGAATAGAATTTATCCTGAACTTTCCAGGAATTGATTTATCATCTGTATCACCAGGAAAGCCCAGGTCAAGTTTAAATGCATGTAAACCTTTGTGGTGCCATATACAGAAGAAAGTTAATATCAAAATTTAGCAGTTGCAGCAACAATGAAAACAGGACTGTATTCCAAATGAACTTGTACTACAGAATGAACTAATAATACAAAACCAAATACCTTGTGACAGAAAATCTACTGTTGTGCTATTATTAGGGTGTCAAGGGTTGCAATGATAGTCTATGGGATTTTTTTTAGTTGGTGTTCTGTTGAATAAGGGGGTGGTGGATGTTTTTAAAATTCTTTCTATATAAAATCTATATGCATTCCTCTCATTTGCATGCAGAAATACATACTTCAAAGAAAATAAACTTGCTGAACTTACATGAAATCTGTTTATTATTTTTTAACAAAAGCCAAATTGGAGAGTATTGGTATTGCTTAGCTCAGTCTTTCTGCAAGTGACAAATTGAGAACACTTTCTGCAAAATAGCCTTTAAAAGGATTTTAATTTTTTTTCTCCATTTTCCTGAAAGCTTGCTGTCATCTAATAATCATGACTAGTTAAAATGTTAATCAAGAAAGGCTTCTAGAAGATGTAAGAAAAAATACAGTAAAGTATGTTTTTGATTATGAGGTACTTTTGCGGGTCTTAAATTTTCAACTGTAGTATTTGCTGCATTTGAATTTGGTGTTTCATTTATGTTCTTTAAACTTTGGAGAAGTCATCTGTATTCCTTGTCTACTTATTGCTTTAAAGCCCTGTGGTTTTAAATGAAGTTTTTGCAGACAGTGTTTGGATCACTGGTGTCGTTTGTCATGTACCATGACAGAGTAGAAGGTAGCCTGGTCAAACTGGTCAGTAGAGACAGGCTGTCAATGAGCTTGTTTATTTTTGCTTTATTGTGGAGGTAACTGCAGGTGCTGCTTTATCAAGCACAGCAGTTATGCTGTTGCAGGGGATCATCTCGCATAAAGAATTTGTACCACTTGTTCTGTTGAAATTTGCTAAAGCAAACCATGAACTGCAGCTCTAATCAAAACTGATATCATCATCTGTCAGCAGATAATAGATGGGGTTCAAAATTGTAAAAGAGAAAATTATTAAGTATGTGAGATGATCAGGGGTTGGAGTGTATGACCTATGAAGAGAGAGTGAAGAAATTACTTCCTTAGCTTGGAGAAGGCTTCAGAGGTCCCACTGTCAGCCTTCCAATACCTACAGGATTTTGTACATCAACAAGACTTAGTCAAACAGGCACAAACTGAGATGAGAGATTCAGACTAAGTTCAGAGAGAATCAGTCTTTTTCCTCTTGGGACAGTCAAGCAGTGGATCAGGTCGCCTGAAGAGTTTGTCTCCAGCATGGGAGATTTTCAAGACTGGGATGGATAAAACACTGGAAAACCTGGCCTGTTGCCATAGCTGACCCTGCTTTGAGTGGGAGGTTGGACTAGAGGCTTTCTGAGGTTGCTTTCAGTTTGAATTCCCCTGTGATCTCATTGAAAAACTGATACATGTGCATACACCCTCTTCTGCCTCTTGCTGGCACATCAAATGAGAAAGCAGTAGAGCTGCACATACCTGCAAGTGCTTGTCTGGGTGTAAGACAGTTCTTGAGCTGTCAGCTCCCACAAGTAGGACGCTATCCCTGCAAAGCTGATGTATTTAAAGATGCATCTCTTCCTTTTTTGATGCTTTTGTATTTTTTTTTTTTGTTCTAGCTCTCTTGGTTGTCCTGTAAGCAGCAGACACTGATTTGAAAAAAAACTACTGTTTTTCTGAGACCACAGTCTTTATTAATTTGCTCAAACTAAAGTCTTAAGTTAGGTAATGAAGCACAGATAGATGGCCCTTGTTTCTCAAATGGAAACAGCCCTCTAAAATAGGTTACTTTTCAGAACAACATTACTTCCTCTTAGTATATTTGATTATCTGGATGGATTTCCCCCCTCCTCCCCACCCAATATGTAGGAAACCTTTTCCCTGAAAGACTTTGAGAAATCTTACTTAGTACAAAATCTTACTTAGTACAGTCCTTGGTTTGGATTTCAATTGACTGGGTTACCTGGCAGGTGTTTGAAAGGGAGGTGAGGACTCTGCTTTGTATTTAATGCAATATATATATAAGAAATGTGGGGGGACCTAGAAATAAGTGTTTGCAGATTTTGCAGACACTAGAACACTATTTGTGAAAGTCAGTACAGAGGGTATTTCATTTTACATCCTCTATGAGATAGAAGGAAACACTTTCTAAACCAGTGTTGCAAAGGCAAGAAGTGTGAGTGTGTTTGTAGAATTTGTAGGTGCAAAATTGGGCAAATTTACTAATGTTTTTGTGTTCTTTTTTACAGTTTGAAATGCCTATTTTCCCATTTCACAGGGCAGTTCACCACTTTTTGGTCACTTTTTTTTTCACATCATGCCATTAACCTTTCAAAAGTGCCATCTGTGTGGCTATTAATACGTATTGAGTCCATTGGAAAAATTTGGTGTGTGTGTTTTGTTTTTTTTTTACACTGTCAAGAAGTGAAGTGGGAAGTTCTCAATTATTTTTTATTGTATAAATATTAGAACTCTGTTGTTGCCTGACCAGGGCTTTATAGTGTAAGTTTTAAAGCCATATACAATTGTAGGGTTTTCAAAAAATATTGCATAATTCCAATGGGTTGGAATCACCAAGATTGGAACCTGAGAATGGAGGGCATGCAATGTGTAAACTGGGCAGATAAATTCAGCTAACAGCAGTTCTCTTGTTCTCTCTTTGAAAAACAACCCCCCTGAAATTTGGATGTAACTTCATTTGTGATTGCTACATATTCTTTCCAGCACCTTTTTGAAAAAGCACACCCTAAATTTGCAGAATATTGATTCTTCCCATAAAAGAAACTCCTTGATTATTGAATTTCGATGTGCTGGTCTGTTTGAGGTGTTTTGTTTTGTTTTGTTTTTTGTGAAATGTGAAGACTTTCCCCTCAAGTTTTAGAGTGTGTTTTTCTGGTTTGTGCTGATGAAGTGTTGGCAAATCTGGTTCTATATCAGTTTCATTGTGATGGCTTAGTGTGGCTTACCTGCTGGGGGAATAAACCTGACTGGAAAGTGGTCTTGGCCTTAGATATTATTTTTCTTTGGTACTGTAAAGAATGATATTTGTATCCTGTTTTGCAGTATTTCTTCAAATGCCTTGAACTTCTAACTCTGTGATAGAAGGAACTTCCACATAAAATTTCTCAAGTGTGTGAGATGTAATAATCTTCATATTACTCTTTTTAGTTCATGAAATTGATTCTTTTCAGTAAAGATACAAAATTACCAAAAAGATCTTTCTGTGCAGGGGATAATTTGTAGGAGTAAGTTCTGCAATACCTATGTTCTGCTCTTTTCCACTGTGGGATCAAAGTTGTGAAATATTACTGTTTGTACATATTTGTGGCACAATGTGTGGCTAAATTTAGTAGATATTGAGGATAATAGTTTGTTGCTAAATACAGAATTGTGTTTGGGTTGCCTAATAACTAATTGCATATGTCTGGGCGGTTCCATCTCTAAGGACATATCATGGACTTTTAGAAAGATTTTGATAGCAGAAATTATATTTAGCAAAGAGAAATTAGTCTAGAGATACCTTGAGCTTCATGTCTTATCTAAAGTGATCTCTAATGAGAATTAATATTTTGCACATCTTCTTTCATTAACTGATGCTAACTTTTTCTCTTGATTTTGTATATATATATATATATAAATGTCTTGATTCTTGGCCTGCTGAATTGTCTTTATAATTTTAAATATTTGTCTCTAAACTGTGCTCTGCATTTTGCATTCCCCTCTTATGTGGTTTGCTCTTTCCAGGTCAGTGCTGTGTTCTCCTAGTTTATCCCTTCTGTTGTCTCTCACACAGTGCTTGGAATGGTGTCTTTACTGCTGCTGACCACAGAAAGCTCCTGGCCATAAGAAGGGAACGGCTGTAGGGATGTGCCATAATGATTGGAGATCTGTAGTAAAAGAATTCTCTTTCAGCTGGCTGGCCCTGAATTTTGTAAAACAACCATAGTTATGCATCACTGGTGTCTGGCATGTGATAAACCTAAAACTAAGACTGTACTGGGAAAGGGCATCGCGATTCTTGGCTTCCATTCGTTGCTGCAGCACAAGCTCTCATTTCTGATTGCTGCAAAATGAACTTTCTCCTCCATTTTCTAGTGTTTTTCCTTCTCTTCCTCTGTTAAATACCTTGTATCGTCCTTTTACTTGTAACTCCCATAGGTTACATTGTTTCTCACACACTTGCTGTAGTAACAGTAACTTTACTTTTTCCTCTGCTTTTCCTGCTTTTTCTGATGCTTAGTGTTAAGTTCTAAGTCTGAAACTGAACACTCTGGGAGATGAAAAAAATTAGAAATTTTCATAAAAAATTTCTAAGTGTAGCTGCATATGGACTTAAAAAGAAAGTATAATCAGAAGCAGGGCTTAGGAAAACCATGTCATAGCTGACTTATTTTCTTGAAGCCTTGCTCAAAGTTAAACCAGAATGTTACTGCTGGGATACAGGTTTGACCCATAAGTTTTACATTCTGTTTTAATGCAGTAGATCACCAACTTCACCATTCTTATTAGATTGTTTTTGTCAGTCTACTTTAGAGGGGGAAGAGAGGCTGATCTTACTTTTTCAAGTCTTTCAAAGAAATATCTTGAAAAAGATTTGTTTAGTGGAGTGGCAAAATAAAGTTTTCCATTTTAGACTAAGACTTTGTGGGCTTTTTTTGGAAGTTCAGCAAGAAAAAGCTGGGGTCTTAAAGAATGGGTACAAAAATATTTAGCATTTCTGAAATATATAAACTAGAGAAATGCAACAAAAGCTTGAATTGTCTCTGAATTCTGATGTGACAGTGAAATGTGCCTGCAGTAGTAACTTAGAAAATCAGAGAGATTTTCTTAATCAGCAGCTCCTAAGATATTTAAATGTTGGGAAGCTGTATATATCAGTGCAGTTGAAGAAGTAGGACAGGAGAAAAGAAGGAGCAAATTAAGAGAGACATCTTTTGTTTTAATGTGCAGGTCCAGTTACTAAGAAAGAAGGAAAGCCTGTACTTCCTGATAACTTTATTTTAGTCAGAACATAGTGTTAGATATTCCTGTAAGGGCACAATCAATATTTTGGAGAGATTATATTTAAAATTGATCATGTTGACAGGTTCCCTATATATACGTCAGTTGCTTTTCTAGCTGAAGAATTTGCAGTAGGATTGGAAATTGGTCGCCCCAGCTCTGCTCTTTTACTATTGATCCACAGTAGTATTTGGTTTGAAAAACAGGTTGTGAAAGTTAAAGATGGATGTCCTTTTCCTGTGGTCTTTCTTTTCTGTACACATGTTGTTAACTTTAGAGCAGCCGTAATATAAATGCTGGTAAAAAAAAAAAAAAATAGTGATGTAATTAACTTTCTTTTTTTTTTCTTTTTTTTTTTCTTTTTTTTTTTCCTTAGGAGATTCTATGCACTTTTGAATCTATTTCAATACTTCTGTGAAGGGCAGAAGGAGTTGAATTCTGCCTGATTCCAATTTTCACTGTTGTGTATAGATTCTTGAACTAAATGTTATCCAATCAATTTAGTTACTTAGCCTTTTTCAGACCTGGAGATTTTTCAGTACAAAGTGTTAGTACAACTTTCTGGAAGTTTGTAGGCACTATTATATTTAAACCAAGAAACAAACCTTTGAGACTTAGCAGTTCATGTTTAACACTCCAGGTATCCATCTCGAATTGAGAAGATAGATTATGAAGAGGGGAAGATGTTGGTGCATTTTGAACGCTGGAGCCATCGCTACGATGAGTGGATTTACTGGGACAGTAACAGGTTGCGACCTTTGGAGCGACCAGCATTAAGGAAAGAGGGGCTGAAAGATGATGAAGAATTTGTTGTAAGTGGCACATGTATTTTGTCTTAGACTTTTGTTAACTGCTTTACTTTTTTTCTACATTAAATCTCTCTAACACATAATTCTTAATATTTTTGAAAAAAATTGAAATTATTTAAGTATTAATTACTAAATTTGTTTAAAATAGGATTTTAAACCTGGAGAAGAAGTCTTAGCTCGTTGGACAGACTGTCGGTATTACCCTGCAAAGATTGAAGCAATTAATAAAGAGGGTATGTATTGCAGTAGTCCATTGGTAAGATCTGATTGAAAATGCTGTGGTGTGGATTTAGTGTGCTTAAAAAAGTAATATGACTATAAAGTTTTCCTCTCTGCTCCAATATTAAGTGAAAATGTTTTTATATATCAAATTTAGTAAAAAGTTTGGTTTTTATCTGTATCAAATTTGAAAACTGAAATTTCTCCTAGAAGACAAAATGCTTTTTTACTGTTTTTACTGTTTCACTGATCAGAAGCTCCTGTGCACAGCCTTAGGACTGTTTTGTACTAATGTTGATTTCAGTTAATGTTATATTTAAATTTTCATAATTTAGTTCTCTTTATTGAAGAAAAAAATGGAAATAGGAAGATAAAAGAACACAGATTAAATACTTCACAGTGGTGATATTCCTAATGAACATAAGAAGTTGACATTTTTACTGTAGTTTAGAGCAAATGAGGATTTGGGTGTAAGTTGAACTGTTTCCTTAGTGTGAAATTCCCATCTTAAATGTGTATTCCCATCTTAAATATTATGTAACTATTTCAGTGAGTTATGAGCAGAAGTGACTCAATAGCTTAAACATACTTGAAATTGTCAAGCTGGACAAAGAGTAACAGTATTAAAGCAGGGTTTCATTGGTGTCATTATGTATGTTTTTTTTGTTCCTCACTTGATCCTGACTAGTGGTAACACCTGGGTACTCTTGTCATACAAAATAACATGCAAAACATAAAGCTTTCATAGTAACAAGGTGTGTTTGTTTCTTAACTACTCATAGTGATTCCATCAATCATTTCTAGGAACATTCACAGTGCAATTCTATGATGGTGTCATTCGGTGTCTTAAAAGGATGCATATCAAGTCTATGCCGGAGGATGCAAAAGGGCAGGTAAGAATACTTGAAGCAGTTGCTTTGTTAGGTTTTGTGTAGTTGTTTGGGTTTTCATTGTTTGGTTTGGTTTTTTGTTTGTTTTTAATATCTTGAAACAGTAGAAGTGTCTAGTAGCACAAGTAGATTTAGATTAGATTTTATTCTAGGCCCTGCACTGCCTTGCTTCACCAGTTTATGGATGGTGCCTCAGAGTGTGCTGCTCCAGTGGCTTTGCCTCACTGAAATGTCTGGCTGCTGGACACTCCATTGCCAACTAATCTGTTCACAAAGCCTTGTCTTACAGGGTCTGCAAAACCAGGGGCATCCAATGGCTTTACCCTCTGGTGTCCTTTCAGGAAAAAAGCTTTAGCTTGTCAGCAGCCTGTGCTGCTGATTTTCTTTTTTTTTTATTTTTATTTATTCCCCACCCTCTGCCTATGTCTTTTGTTTGCTATTATGAGAGCTTTTTGCCCAAGTGTTCTTATAAACATGACTTTGGGCTTTTCCCCTCTATATCAGAGCTTTAGGGCAATCAGACAGATAAGTATTTCTTGCCTCTTATAATGTCCAGTCGCTGTTAAAGAAGAGATGCTGAGTAGAAGTTGAGGGAGACTATGAAGTAGAGGACATGATTTAGTCACTAGGCCTATCTTTACTTGTGAAAGGGAAACATTGAAAATTCTTACATGCTTTCAGTGCAAATGCCATTGCATTTATCTTGCATGGTAACTGTGTTTTCATATTTAATGAGAAATTATTCCACTGAAACTGTTTGAGACTAAATCCATGAAAACTGGTCTTTATTTGCTCTTAGTTTTCTTCAGAGTACTCCTAACTTTGCAGACTTCAAATACTTTATAATTACCATTGTAGCTATCCATATTGTGACCAGGGCAGATGGATAATTGAATTGGCTTGAAAGCATCTCCACATCCTGGCTTCCAGGGTAAAGGTAGCTGTATGGTAGGGTTGATCCTCTATGCAAGGGACACTGGAACTCAGTGCAGACATCACTGCATTATTTAAAAGATGTTTCCTAAAGGAGATTAAACTGAAATCTATAGTCACACTAACCCTGGCTTCTTGCTGTGGACTTACAGTAACTCCGTTGAACCAGTGTGTAGTATGGGTAATGTGATTGTGACCGAAAAGAAATAAGCCTTTTGTGACAGTGGAAAGAGCTCCCTAATTCTGTCCTGTGCTTTTTTAGGGAGTAATGTTGTATCTAATCTTGAGTTACTACTCTTAGGCCACAGGCAATTTCAGCTTAAAAAAAAAAATAGTAAATCCATTACTTCACAGCCATTATGTTGTCCAGACTTGTTTAGTGGCAGTCCAGCTCATCTGTTATTTCTAATTTTTCTCAGTAGTTGAGAGTTGTGGTGCCACTTATGCATCTTGGGGGTTGAATGTAGGCTTCTTCAGTGAAATCTTGAGAAGGAGTTAGGGGCACAAATTTTCACTTTCTGATGGATTTAGAATTTTTAAGTTGTCTGGATACAAGAACACCTCCAACTGTGCTTTCTGTAATGCTTATTGATAATAGCTGTAGCATTTAGTCCTGCAAAAGTAGAAATAAGCATGAAAGTCTGTGTAGCTTTCAAAGGCAGAGATATAACTTTTCTTGCAACTTCTTTTGCATATAATGCAATGGAAAATGTTTTTCTAAGTGTTTTTGTGTTATTTCAGAATAAAAACACGAACTAAGATTTGGTTGAAAATCGGTTATCTGAGACTGAGCTTTGTTTAAGCCTCAAACTCCCATGGATGGTTTTGTTTTTTGCATTATTTATTTTATAAGAAAATATTTACTAAAATTTATATAAAGCTTACAAAAATGCCAAGACTGTAAAATGATTTTAAAAATTAAATAGAGTTGTCAGATGCAACACTTTATGCTTCATTTAAACGGATAACTTGTATTTTGTGCATTTCCAAAGTAAAAAATACATTTCTGGGGATGAGCGTAAGCTTAAGTTACTTCAAGTTTTAGTACATCAATAAATTTAACAAATTTTAAGATCTTTGTGAAAGGTGTGTGCTAAACATGCAGAATTTGAATTACCTGGAGAGAGATAGAGATTAATTAATGCTTTGATTTGAGCTTAGTGTGACTCGGAGGAAGAGACTGTAAATGCTATGGCACTCCAACTATTTCTGAGTTGCAGCAGAAGTGTGTTTTAATAAGACTCAGTTGTGAGAGTAGAAAGGCAAAATTTTTAAGAGTGGAAAATACTTGTGTGTCTCAGTGCAATGAATCTTGAGACTCAGCTGGGGTTCAGATAAGCACAAATTAATCAAAATTGCACAGATCTTTGACTAATGTAGTACAGAGAGGGAAAAAAGGGATATTGAGACTGCCCTTGTGAGAGCACATATGAAATATTTGGATAACTTACTTTTTCTGTTTCATGTTTTTTGTTTTATCTTCGATGTAATCAGGCGCGCGAGAGGGAGCAGATAGCGCCGGAGCTGAGATTAGTGACGGAAATCGAACCAAAAGAAGTGAGTTTTGAGGAGGGATTTGAAGGAGAGGGAGGGGACTTGGCACACAGGAAGAGGAAGCTGAGGAAAAAGCGTGGATTTGCGAATGGGCCAGAGGAAAAAAGAAGATGTGACAGGAGACAATGTGAGCCAAGATGTAGGTGGGGCAGACTGTAGAATTGAAAGGTGAGGGTAAGGAATCCAGGCTTGATGTGGAATCAGCCAGTCAATAGATTCATATTTTATGTATGTGTATGTATGAACGTGTGGGAGTTGGAAGTTATGGTGTGACAGAGGAGGAAAAAGCAGCTGAATCTTTAGTCCTATGGAGAAGCAAAAAGGTGGTGGTTGTAGGCAGGTGAAGGGAGAGCGATGTATGTGTGAATTCTGCTATTGACGCAAGGGTTGGATTTTGGAAATTATTCTGGTTTTGCCTTCCCACTGTTGCAGGATTATAGTTACACAAGGAATATTTTAAAATACAACTTTTTTAGCCAATTGATGTGTAGGGCTGTTGAGTAATTTCTGCTGATGTATTTTTCGATCGTGTAATTTCCTGTGTTTTGATTTAGTGAATCTAATTAGCATAATGACAGTTTTCCTCAGTAGTCATAAAGTAATGCTTTGTTTTCTAACTGCTGTGGGCCATTACTATTCTCCTGTCAATTTTCTCAGCTTACTTGAAAGATGAATTTTAGTAAGAAAGAAAAAGATGGAAATACACATTTTGGATTTTATTTTTTATTTTTTTATGTTACATATGTAAATGAGAAGCTCACTGAAGTGAGATACTGAGGGAAGTGGGAAATCAGGCTGGATGATGCAGAGTAAGTGGTTCCGAGTTACACAACTGCTTTCAATAGGGAGACAATATCAGGAAATGAAAGAAAAGTAGGGAAAACTTCTTTTAGAAGAATTTTGCTTTTACTCCATTAATTTCTGATGTGTTCATATTTGGGCCCTTGGCTTTGTATGATCTGGGAATTTGTCCTACTATTAAAATTTGTATCTAGTTTCTGTGATATATATAATATTTAGTGTCCTGCTATTACGGTTGATAGAATAGATATACTGTTAGCCTGAGGGAGATTTCAGAATTTATTGTGCTTTAGGATCCCACTATTATTCCTCAATTGTTTTGTTAATTTTTTAGTAAAAATTCTGAAAAAGACACAAATGTATCTTTTTGAAGGCAGAATTCCTGTGCACTACAAAAGAAATATAGTCACCTTAGAATCTTAGATGCTAAATAATTCTCACATGTCGGGACCTGTGCTGCTGAGCAGTCACTCAACAGGAATTCAAGGTTAAAAAGCAGGCATTAACTGTCACTTTAGTGCCTGTATGTTTAGTTCAGAGCCAAAACAAAAATGGACCCACAGTTTCTGAACAATTTAGATTCACAAAATTGTTTTAAGTTGGAAGGAACCTCTTGATATAATCTTGTCCATCCTAATTGGTCAAGGTTCTCTTCATTGAGTTTAAATTTACATGTTAATCTAGGAAAAAAAGTATAACTGTCATCATAATGAGTGTGTCTCTTTGGCTTCTAAATGTTCAACCTTTGTTTCATTGTTATGTGTCTTTCTACTGTAAGCTCCATGTTGTAAGAACAGTATCTGAACAGTGGAATAAAATACAAAGAAAACCAGGAAACACCTTTCCATGTTGCACTTAGACAAGGCTACTTGGTTCAGCATTGTCTTTTGAACCTTGATATCTTCTGAAAGTTTTTGATCCCAGGGTGCTTAGCTTGATTGAAAATTAGGGTGCCCTTTAGAACATATTTTCATGCAGGCTGCATTACTTCCCCTTCCCACTTTTATCATAACATCTAGTCTCCAGCCATGTTACTGATCCTCTTCATCCCTTGGCCAGGGTACAGTGTAAGACTCCTACTCTCAAGTCTCCTAATTCCTCACCACCACAAATAGCTCAATCCTTTTTATGTCCTGCTGGATGGCTAGGGCTCTGGATGGACTGGAATAGGTATGCTCGTTTTGGCTGGCCAAGAGAGAGTTGTGTGCTTTTGACTGACAATGCAGCTGGCAGTTAGACACACTCGTTTGTGCTGGCATGTCACCAAGTGGCCTCAGTAGTTGCCTGTTGTGTGAGCATTGCCAAAGTGCTTCCAAATTTTGCTGCGGTGTAATGTGTGTGTGTCTGCATCTTGCATTGAAAATGTGGACATGTAACACTTTATCTTAGAGGAATCAAAACTGTTGTTGTTTCTAAATATATAAGTTGGTGCAAAGAAGAAGCATAATCCATATAAAGTAATGATTTAAAAGTATTGAGCTATGGAAAAGGAAAAGCATAATGCAAGGAGAATTAACACTGTGTTATGATTTCCTCATATGTCAAGGCAAAGAAACCCTCAGCAGAACAGAAACTTGAAAGACTTATATCTAACGAGTGGGGAAAAGGTTGCATTGGAACAAGATCTGTAAAATCAAGCTACTTTAGATATCTTGTGTGATGACATAACAGCAAGGAGATATTCCAGAGAAAAACAGTTGGGGAAAAAAAAAATACTATTTTTAAAGCACTCATGGGTAACTAGACAAAAGGTGTTTTTCATATTTTTTTTTGTGTGTGTGGTAGTGCTTGTAATTCAGAGCACTCAGATGCTTAATTCTGACTGGTTGATCATTTCTGCTGCCTTCTATATTGCACACAATTTCTCCACAGAAGAGTCCTGTACCTCAGTGTTATAGAAAATTCAAAAAAATACTTCAGTCAAAAGGATCAAGTTACAATTTTTGCAGTCAGATTGATCCCTGATATTCAGGATCAAGACTCCTGTCAGGAGTCTCATGTCAGGACTCCCAACATAAGACAGGAGTCTCATCGCTCTGAACTAATGGAAGGAGCTTGGCTCAGCCTAGGAAGCTCTTTCCATTGGCTTGTAGGGAAGCTTGACTTGGTCTGAATGCCAAAACGTAGATTAGATTGGGATGTATTCACCCCTTGAATGTTTCTGTATGGTACAAATAAGCAATTACACAAAATGACACTTAATTACCATAAACATAGATAGTGAAATTCAGTCATATTATAGAGTACTTTATTGGAGTTAGTGGGTGAAACCTGTAATATGTCATACAAAAAGAGTAAAAGAGTCTGTAGTTGCTCTATAAACAAAGGTGTAATGAGACAGGAGTTATCCCTGGCTTATCAATTTAGTTCAGGAGGAATTCCATGCAGCTGGACGCGGCTTTGAGGCTATTGTAGCTTTGTATAATAGATCAACAACTATGGAATTGTGTGTTTCAGAGCCAGAAGGGTAAGAAAAATATCAGTCTTCTGGGATTGGGAGCTTCTGGGTTTCTAAAGCAATGACACAAAAGTAGTTTAACAGGGAGTGTGTACCAACCAGAATTCTATATACAGTGGGATTTGAAAGATTTTTTTTTTTTTTTTTCTTTTTGTCCATGTGGCACACTGATAATGCTTCAAATCCATTTGGACAATTTGGGAAAGTCTGTTTTATCACTCTTGAGTAATAACTGTAAAAATAAATTGAATTTCATTTGAACATTTCTATATAAAGCTCACTGGGTTTATGAGTATTTTCTGTTTGAGTCTTAGGCACTTTATAATACTTACTCACCATTTTTTCCTTTTTGGAGGATTGGATAGCTTTGGTCAAAGCTGCTGCTGCAGCAGCAGCCAAGAACAAAGCAGGAAGTAAACCTAGAACCAGTGCAAACAGCAATAAAGATAAAGAGGACAGAAAATGGCTAAAAGTCCCTTCAAAAAAGGAAGAAACCTCAACCTCTACAATCATGCAGGAAGTCCAAAAAAAGGAAGAGGAGCCTACATCTAGTGACACATTTGGTAAAAGCACATTCTATAAATACATCTGTAAATTGGTTTTTCTGTAGTGTTGAACTTCTGTTGCTAATTTTGCAGTTAAGTAATAACCAATATTTCTAGAGGAAAATGTCTCATTTGCTGTTATGATAACTTTCTGATACATAATCGTAGTTGGTTCAGAAACTATTTTTATCAGATAAATCTAGTTCAGTCAGCATTTACTGCTTGTGATAAACTTCTGACTAGCTTTATCAAGAGCAGAACATAGCTTTTTATTGATTTCATTGTATAGTTTAGTTGCTATTCCTGCATCTTCTCTTACCTGTGATATAATCCCTGATCTCGTTTTAAGAAAAAATTCCTATATGCATGATATATCCATATTCAAGGCTGTTTGAAACTGTATCTGAGTTGATAAGATCTGTTCATTTTAAGTCTTTAATGCTTATTTCTCATTCAGTAAAAATTACCAATTTTGAGATAATCTCCATTTATTGTTTCATTATGTAATTCTAGATCTTCAGAATGTGTCTTTTTCCTTTGTTATAAACATTTAAAGTTTCTTTACTAAGATATTTAAAATATTCTAGTAGCAATTCTGAAGTATTTAAATGTTTTGGGTATTATGCATTTATTAAATGTGAGTTAATGAGGTTTTTCTTATGTTTAGAAGTAGGATTTCCTGTAGTGGATGTTCCAAAGATGGCCTTTGTGCAGGCAGAGAGCACTTTATCACACAAGAGGAAAAGTAATCTAGGCAACTCATTTCAGGCAAAGAGAGCTCGCCTAAACAAGATCACTGGTAAAAGACTTTTTTTGTTGTTGACTTTGTTTTTAATGAAGTGAAATATTCATGCTTATAAAGAAAATATTGAAGTAGGTTGCATAGAAGCACATTCGTAAGGCAGATGGTCACTGCAGTATGTAATTGTTTAGAATTTTAGAGGAATTCATAAATGGTGAAATCTACCTGGTTCATAAATTGGTTGAAGACTGTACTTGGTCTTTTTAGTTTTTTAGTATAGTAGCCATCCTGAATTGATTAATTTCTTGAGCATATTTTACCTCTAACTGTAGAGTTTTCTCCATTATTGGGTGAATTTGGGTTTATAGAACTTCTTAAGATTGTAATGAATTGCATACTACCACTGTAAATTAAAGCTATGGTTAGCTGTGGAGAAACAGAAAATATTTTTTCTTAAAGTGAAAATGTTGCTAAAAAGAGTTTCTCATTTAGAAATACACATCCCTACAAATTGAAACTATGAAGACCTGATTTTTTTTTTCAGTGTCTAAATTCCCTACCTTTATTGCTCAAAGGTATTAATGGAAAACAGGAATGTTACTACAGAATACATGCTATACAACAGGAAATTAAATAATTTATCTTTAACAGTTGAAAAATGCATTTATTCCAGAATTTAATAGAAATTTACTTGACTTTGAAAAACTTATTTCAATTTATATTCCTCTAAATAAGATTATTGTGCTGCTAGCTTTGATCCTGTCAGTATTTAGGAAAAAGTTTTATGTTTGTACCTCTGCTGGGAAAGTATCAGATGCATTTCAGAAGCAAAAGGGTTGGAAAAAGTTGTGAAGTCCCTCCATTAACAGAGGAGCCCTTGGACACACTGTAAGAGAGAAATTTATTCCACTCATTATTCTAGTCCATAATATTTCATATGAAGGCTGGTAAACTTCTCTGTGCTACAAACGAGAGGGGCTTTTTTTGTTAGGATTTTTTTGGAAGTAGATAAAAATTCTTACTTGTTTCTATAAAACAAAAATAATCTAATTTGCTAAATTGCATAGTGAGAGTTTTTATTAGTACTTGTTTTGGCTTCTCCAGCCTTGCATTGGTCTGCAGTGGAGGATGTTTAGTCAGTTTTCTTATGAGAGTGGTTCTGTTTCAGTCTGTTGGTCAGTAAAAATAAAATGGCCCAAATCATGGAATGGTTTGGTCTGGAAGGGATCTTAACATTCACCTACTTCCAACTTCGCTGCCATGGGCAAGGACACCTTCCACTAGATCTGGTTGCTCAAAGCCCCATCCAACCTGGCCTTGAACACTTCCTGGGATGGGACATCCACAGCTTCTCTGGGCAACCTGTGCCTCACAACCCTCATAGGACAGAATTTCCTCCTCGTATCTAATCTAAACCTACTCTCTTTAAGTTTGAATCTATTCCCTTTTGTCCTATCATGACATGCCCCTTCTCCAGCTCTCTTGTAGACCCCATTTAGGCACTGGACTATAAGGTTTCCCTGGAGCCTTTTCTTCTCCAGGCTGTACAATCCCAATTCTCTCAGCCTTTGCTCACAGGAGAGGTGCTCCAGCCTTCTGACCAGCTCCTCTGGGTGCCTCCTCTGGGCTCATGCCAGCAGGTCCTTCCTGTGTGCTGGGACCCACGAGCTGGACACAACAGTGCAGGTGGGATCTGAACAGAGCAGAGGGGCAGAATCACCTCCTTCATCCTGCTGCCCACAGTGGTTTTGATGCAGCCTAGGAAAGTGTTGGCAGCTCATGTCCAGCTTTGCATCTGCTGTCCAGCTTTTGATCCAAGAGGGAATGGAAAGAAACTGTTCTTTTTGTACAAAGGAAGCAGTCTATAAAAACCCATCTTCTGCCTCCAGGATTGTCATTCCCAGAAGGCTCCTTCTTTGGTTCCAAGTTTTGTTAATAGATGTCAAATTTCTCAGCCCCATTTCTACTCTCCTTTCCCATACTACATACATTTTCAGTTAAGTTCCAATTTAATTGCTGCCATGAGCAGTAGTAAAGATACAGAGACTAGAAATGTATACTGACAGAGCCCTGTTAATTTCTTTCCAATAGGAGTTAGTAGCAGAGATATCAAAAGCAGCTGAAAAACCTTTACCTTTAGAAATTGTATTTGCCTGTGGATAGATTCTTATTATCTCAGGAGAATTATGAGAATCATAGCAGTGAGACAGGTTCATACAGACTGATCAAACCATGATTTTGCAGCCATCTGACTGTGTTACCATTTTAAAAACAGTGTGTCTGTCTCCACAAGACATACTTGGCTAGCAGACAATGTGTTACCTTTCAGTGAAAGAATATTAATCCTTTACAAGATGAAATTTGTCATGCCTTGTAGATACTTCATGTATCTGTTCTCAAATTAACACACTTCCTCAGTACATACCATAGAAAGTCTTTTATAACAGTACATTTTGAAAATGTGACTGCTAATGATCAAACGTTTTCTTGCCACATGTTCTTTGTTATGCATTAAATAGTCATACATACAATATACAATATATTGTATATCAATATATACTTGCATTGTGTCATTTTTGTCTCCAGCACAAGCTTTTAGATTTGAAGGAAGGTTGAGAATTATGCTGGTGTACTCATCAGAGTGTCTACAAAATAATCAAAGCATTCTAGTTGTTAGGAAAACATTTACTGGGTTCTCATGGTTGTACTGGGGAAATAGTGCAAAACACTATTGCAGGAGGTTGTATGAAGGGAACTCTTCCCTACGTTTTAGTTCAGCATTCAGCGTTTGATGCAGAAGGGTCTTCTTGTCTGCCACAAGGCCCACAGCTGCATCAGGTGTTCTTTGCTCACCATTCAACAAAATAAAGTTGCTTCCTTTACCCCTTCTTTTGCTACTAGCACTGGTAGCAACTACATTTCCCAAAGGTGAGGAATACCTCCTGCTAAGCACATATTGATGTCATTTTCCAATCAGTTTCTGCCTCTGTTGGAATGTTTGCTTCCACGTCTTCTCCTGCTGTGTTGGTACCTAAAACCAGGTAATAGCTGCAGTGAGCTTGCAGAATAAAACATTCCCGGTTCACTATGCCACTCCCTGTTTTGCTTTCTTAGATGCTTTTACAGACAGAGGGTGCTGAACCTGTAGTCCTGGTTTGCAGTAGCTTTTGAGATTGCTTTGTCCTGCAGGCTTGGGGCCTGGTTAGAAAAAACACTTCATGGGGTAGAGAAAAAGGAAATCATAAGGATTATATACATTGGCAGATCTGAATCTAGATTCATTTGATAGCTTGAATTTCTGAGCAGGGATCATCCAGCTAGAACGAAAAATTGAGAATCTGAGAATGCTCTGGGTTGGAAGAGACCTTAAAGGTCATATAATTTCAACATTATCCACTAGACCAGCTTTCTCTAAGCCCCATCCAGACTGGCCTTGAATTCCCCCAGGAATGAGGGACTCTTCTCTGGGGAACTGGTGGCTTACAGAACCGTAAACGCATCCATAAACTGTAGCTTGTTTTTTTTGTATTTAAAATTCAACTTCATTTGATTTTGAAAATGATTTTGTGCTTTTTTATATAAATGCATGATGGCAAAGATAAAGAACCCTGCGATTTTTGCAGCTTGATTTAAATAAGATAATTTGAGTTAAAAATGTTTATTTAAGTCCATAAGACCCAAATCTATTTTGTAGTCTAATGCAGAATTAAAATCTTACCTGATAATTTTATTGGTTTTTATCTAATAGGATTAAGTAAGTTTCTACTTTTCAGTTAACCTAAACTAAAACATAACTTAATCCAACATAAATAGTAAATGAGATAAAACACTTGGTGTTTATTGTTGAATGCTGAATTTTTTTATTTTTATTTTAATGTCTTGAACAGTTCCTCAGAGCCCAGACTTCACTAATTTATAATTCCTTGGACATTGTGACCTTTAAATTAATTTTGGCCATATGAAAATTTTTAAGGAATGTAATAGCAATTCTCTCTGAATTTGTCAAGTTATTTTTGAGGACTTCAACTCCTCACTCCCAATATTGATGTTCCCAGAGATTATAATAGCAATTTTTATTCAGATTTATATTTTTTAGGTTTTATCAGTTCTCTGTTTTCTTAATCATGTAGAACTTCTTCTGTCTCTGCATTGTTAGACAATTAAAGTTGTGTGAGGTACAACTGAAGCTATTCCCATATGCTTTGCTGACAGAAAGCTTTCTTGTATTTATAATCCCCTTGTCTTTACAGATTTTTTGTAGTAGTGATATTGTACATAAGTTTGTAAATAAAGTTACATATTCTAATATATTATTTGCTCCCAATATGGTCATCTTATTGAGGTAATTTGGGAGCTCCACTACTAGGAATGTTTGTTTGGAAATTAAATCCCTTGTTGTATTATGTTTAAGAAAGGTTTGCATCTGTTATAGTTAAGAAGTAGTAGTAATGTGAATTTCTCAAAGACTGGAAATGGGAGAAAGAGAAAGAGAAAAGTTTTGTAAATAATTCTGATTTCAAAATTTATTTCTGTGTCATACGTTTGGTTTTAAAGCTCAAGTGCTTGGGCTTTGGAAGGATGGCAAGACTTTATTTTAGAATTGATAATTTTATTTTCTTCTTGTCAGTAAATATGCCAAGGAAATGCTTCCTATATAAGCATGCTGTTGTTGGAATGTCCTGTAACTTTTTGGTTTTTCTAATTTAAAGTGGTCAGCTTTGTGTGGAGCCATTTCAGAAGGACTCATTTTGTAGATTTGTGCAGTTCCTATTTCTTGTCTCAATATTTTGCTTCTTTTTCTACAAATTCTTGTTGTAAGGTACTTCTAACTAAAAATATCTGCAACTTTTCTCTTAAGGTTTATTGGCATCCAAAGCTGTTGTTGCAGATGGTGCTGAAAAAAAGGAAGGCAACAAAGAAACAGCTCCAGTCCTGGAGCAGGTATGAAATGGTAGAGTTTGATTCTTTTGCAAAGTTCCCACTGGAGTGTGCCATGGAGATGTAGTACCTACAACATTAAAAATTTCCCCTTCAGATATAACAGGGAACTGAAAATTTCTTATGTTTACATTTCTGGCAGAGCCAGAAATATGTAATTTAATTGTCTCTAAACACAGTGTTGACTTGAATTTCAATAATGAGCTTTTGTGTTAGAAAACTAACAGAAAACAAAATAAAGTCTCCGTGTAACAAATGTGAGGAGACCAGTGTCCCAAGGTCCAGTTTTATAGCTGGAATGACAACTGGCTTAGAAACAGGCCCTTACACAAATTTGATTTGTGTTTGAAACAGGGTTTTTGACATCGCATAGAACTTCTTTTAAAAGAAGTTTCTTTTATATTGTAAGAATTTGGTGTTGTAGGCTTGTATGTGTTTTATGAACTGCTCAATGAGCCATACATTTTGCAAGGGTGTGTATTTTAATAAATACAAAAAAGAAACTTTTAAATAATGTTAAGGGTCTGATTTTTAAACCTGCATATTGGCAGGATATGGAGGCTGCCGTTTTGTCTTTGGCTTGTTGCACTGTGTTCAGGCATTGCTTGACTCCGAGCTGTGCATTGTCTTGCACTTTTAAAGGGCTGAATGCCTGAGCATGGTAAAGCAAGCTAAGGATGAACAGTAGTCTTGATTCAGGACATCTTTGTTTTCCACTTATTTAAATCAGAGCCTTAATGTATCTTTAATACAGCTTTTTTGTATGCATTTTCATTCTCCTTTAACAGCAGCATTTGAACAAAGTAGCCTTGCTGCCTGCAATTCTTTAACAAGCACTTCTGTTCTTTAGCCCCGGCACACTCTATGAACAGTCCCTACCCCAAACCTGATTTGATATTTTGGTTGTACTGGTTCTTTAGAGCTGATATATAATTGCATTGCTCTGGTTTTTCCATTGATGCTGCATTGGATGAGAGTCAATGGAACCTGATTTTCTGTTTTTGATGCTGTCACTGTCAGGGCCAGCAGAGCCACTGCAGTACCGATGCATTGACCGATAGTTTGCATAAAGGTTTACAGTGTACTGACATGACATTCCATTTCTCAAATTTTTGCATATTAAAGATGCTATGATTTTCTTGCTACTGTGTGTATATTTTCAATGTGCAAAAAACTGTGAAATGGCTTACAGCATGTTGTTTTTGGAAGAATCATTACAATGTAAATCTTGCCATGCAGAATCCCATTGCGGTAAATGGGACTTTGTGGTTTACATAGACTGTGTATGCAACAGTATAAACTGCAGTGCATATTTACTATAACCTTTTTGTTATTTCTTAGACTTAGTAACTCGGCTGTTCCTGTTTTATTGATCAGATATAAAAAACAGATGTCTCTGTCATTGTTTACATGCTAATGGTCTGAAAAACCTCATTTTTTTTGGAAATAATAGTTAAGCTCCTTTAAAGAGGCATCTAAATTCCCAAATTGCCCTATTCATTTGCATCTAACTAAAACCAGAAACCTTACAAACATTTAAATGATTGACTGTGGGAAGGAAATGTTTTGAGCTTAAAGCTTTTTTTGCTGAGTTCCTGCCCAAAATGAAATTAAAATGGCCGAGTTATAAACCTCCCTAAAAGGTTTTCCGATAACGAAGCTGACATTCCGTAGAGGCTTTGTCTGCTACTGCTATAAAATTGAATGGATGAAATATCTTGTAGGTTTTTTTAATAATGTAATACAGAATATGGTAGAAATATTCAGGCCAATAGCCGAAAACTGACTCTGTTGATGCAAGTTTTTGTTTATATTTATACATTTTTAGTTTACAGTTGTCTTAAACCCAAAACCTCAGACAATTAGTTGCAGATACAGTAGTTTATTTAATTGTATTAGGGTATGTCATGTTATATTTCCTTTTGACCAAGACCTGAGTAGATGGATAACATTAATTCATTAAGGTTTTTAATGTTAATTTGTCCTGTTAAGAGGTTAAGCACCTTATCAAAATCTTAATTTAATTTTTTTAATCTTGTTTAAATAACTTTGTAATTTGAAAGTAATGGATGCTGTAGTATGTCTTTCACATCTGTGAAGATGAACAATAAAATTGTTTATTTACAAGTTACGACTCTAATTAATTTCTGGTAATACCTCTCATAACCAGCATAGGTATACTCTACAGTTCATGGAATATTTTATTTAAATGAATAAACTGCACTTAGTATGTGTGTAATGGAGTTATTCAAGGTAGAACTGATGTCTGCTGAATGGGATGTTTTGCACCGGATCATTACAGGGATACTCCCAGCGAGCCGTTCACGTAGCATTCAGGGGTGCCCTTTTACAGACAGAATGTGCACTTGTGGGGTTTTGTTTTGCCTTTTTTTTTTTTTTTTTTGTTTTTCCTCCATTGGAGCATGGAAAATTCTAGTGGAAAATAAAATTGTAATTTCTAACAAAACTCAATAATACCCTCAAATCACCAGAGACTTGATGTTTCTAGTTTGGAAAAAGTGGTGGCATACGTTCTAGAAATACCTCTCTGCTTTGTTAGTTCTGGTTTTATTAGATGGTACTATGCTGTATGATGCAACTGGGATGAGAAGGGAGACAGGCCTAAGAAATTATATTCAGATATTGTAGTTTGCCCTTATTAGGCAAGTTGTAACACATGCACAGTTTTGGTAATGTAGGAAGAACTTCCAGTGAAAAATTTAAAATGTTAATGTCTGTCAATGCATGCTAATGGTCTAAAAATAGTACTGTTTGTGTTAAGAAGAATGAAAATTGAGGAATTTGGCAAGATGCATTATATTTTCCTTCAAAAACTGTTTTAACTCTTTATCTGCTCATTTTCTCCTGACAGTTAACAATCTATTTAACCCTGTGGTGCTAGAAGTTGTGATTTCTTCATGTTTGCGCAAACATATAATGTGGTGAAATCCAGACTCCCAGCACTGAAAGGGGTTGTGTTGAGAGTGTGCTTAGTATTGGAAACTTTTCATTGTTTCAAGCATTCCTTAAAGGAGCATTATCAACTTTTTCAGGTTCTCAAAAATACGAATTCCTTGCTAAATATAGTTTTCCTGAGGAACTGCCTAAAGTTTTTATTTTTTGTGGTTTTTTTTATTTTATTTTTTTACCTGTGATTGGGGAAATGACTGTGTAGGGAAAATCTTGTCAACTTTTTTTTAGAGCTGCAATCCTTCTGAGGAAGGATTCTTTGCTCATAGCAGTGCCAGAGTTCAAGGAGTGTCTGGACAACACTCCCAGTCATGATTCAAAGCAGGCAGCCCTGTGAGGAGCAGGGAGGAGGACTTGAGGATCCTTCTGGGTCTCCTCCAGTGTGAGATACTCTGTGAGGGAATCTCAGTGTGTGTGTTCTGGCTTGGAACAGATGCTCTCCAGGTTCTGCTTGGAGACTGCACTGACAGTGCAGATGAAAGGGAAAACTAAAAACGTTTCGTTGAATTTTTAAGGAAGAAGGAAAATGTTTTATTTTCAGTTTTTTTCAGGTGTTTCAATTAGTAAGAGTTGAATATTCTGAATACTGAAAACAATTGGTAGCGCTCCTTTAAAAAAAGCAAAATTTAATGTGATGCATTTTAAATAGTTTTCATTTGTACTTAAAATAATGTTGCTTTATTCTGTGTTTGATTACTAAAATTGCTTTTAAAAAGATCAAAATAGAATACAAGAACTACAACGAAGAAACTGAAATAAAAGTATCAATTTTTTATTATTTATTCAGGAGATTTCACCTAAACCACAAAGTCAGAAAAAAAATGAAGCTGATATTAGCAGTTCTGCCAACATTCAGAAACCTGCACTGTTATCCTCAACTTTGTCTTCAGGAAAGGCTCGCAGCAAGAAATGCAAACAAGAATCTGGAGATTCTTCCGGGTGTATAAAGCCCCCTAAATCACCACTTTCCCCAGAATTAATACAAGTCGAGGATTTGACGCTGGTCTCTCAGCTTCCTTCTTCTGTGATAAATAAAACTAGTGAGCACAGACATTTTAAAAAGAATACCGTAACTACTTATAAGAGATATACAGAAATTTTCTTTGGTTGTAAATGGCTATTGCTTTTAAAAATGAATCTGCTTTAAATAAAATGTCCAAGTGGGAGAATTAGGGGTAGGTCACTATTTTAAAAGTCAAGTCACATACTAAGGCATTTGAATTACTCTACCAGAAATAATACATTTAAATAATATACTGATATTTATAGAGTTGTGGCTTTTAAGGGTTAGCTTTACCTCTAGCTTAAATCTCCACACTAGCATTAACAGTGATACAGGATAAATCAAAGCTCCCTTCTGAAAAGGGCCTGATTCATTAAAAAGAAAAGATGTACACTTTGGTGTGGACATTTCCCTCTCTGAGAAACTTCACCTTCAGCAGGCTGACACTCTGTACCTGTTGGCTGTGGCAGTCGTCACCTTGTGTGATATTTCCTCCAAACATGATGTGAAAGAGAAGATGGGTTCAAGATCTGTGGTGGAGAAATATTAAAAATTGTGTTTCCTTGTCCTAGAAAAATCCCATGGGTGTTCAGCTTCTTAACATGTGTAACTGATTTGCCAAGCACAAAAATAGTTTACCAGAAGACTAGGGAAAGCTTTATTCTACATGCTTGAATACACTACTCTTTGTGAATATTAAGGTATTTCTACTTTTTTTTTTGAGATTACATTAGGTTTTTTAGGTTAGTGTTGCTTAGTGTCAGGTTCTTTGCCTAAAGAACATTAAATGATGAGGCCAAAGGCTGACATAAATGCAGGTTTCAGTAAGTCAAATGCTACATTTTTTTTTTCACTTTTAGTATAGTGATTGAGGATGGAAGACTCAACCTGCATCATGTGTTCCCCTTAACTTTGATTTTGTATTTTCACTTACGAGATAAGTTTCTTTTTTAATCTTTGCTCATAGATAACTTTAAATAAGTGGGAGAGGGAGGAGTGCAAATTCAGCCTTCTTTATTCAGGACACATTGGTAAAAATTGTATTTTGTCCCCACAAAATGTTAGCAGTCATCCATATTGTAATACACCTTCCATCCCCACCCCTAGAGCAATGGTAAGTAGATTTCCTGGAGCATGCTTATATTTTGGATTAAATTGGACTTCTTGTTGGACTTCTCTGTAGCAATATTTTTTTAAAACTAGGTAATTTAAAGCTTGGTTACTTAGTAGCTTAGATCTTGTTAGTGTTGTCTTTAATTTTTGGTTCCATGTTTTTTCTACCTCTAATGCAAAGTTAGTTTTGCTGTGTCTTAATTTTTTAATCTGTATATCTGACTAAAAACTGCTTACAAAGAGGAGAGAACAGTGATTTACAGTGTAATAGCTACTTAAATGTTTTTCTAAGGCAAAATTTTGTGGAACTGGGTAATATTGAAGAGGTGTAGGGGAGTGTGGGTTTTTTGTTTTTAATGAATCAGGCCTATATTAACCTATATCAATCCTCCTCCCCCGTTTGGGTTTTTTTAAGTATAAAGTTCTGGAGCCTTCTTACTGTGCCATGCATTGGCAGTATGTGTTTGAATTTCAGCTGAGGTATTGATATCAGGTTATCAGAAGGCAGGAGGTGGGATATAAAATTAAACACTGTTTTCAATTTTTTTTTTAAGTTATATGTTAATACTATCCATGACTTTTTAGAGCTTTAACTGTGATCATTTGTTCTGTTTATTGTTAAATCCTATTGCCCCCTTCCATTATAAGTAACCTGCTGCCTGGGTTTTAAGGGGAGGGTTGCTTACTGTAAATACACTGCTTGCCTAAAACAAACACCTTTACCAGTGGGGAATTAGGTGCCCTAGTAATTTATAATCAGTAAGCCAGAATCATGTCTTGAGCATAAATCTTTCTTTGTTCCTGGTAGTCACAGTTTTGTAATTTTACCAGTTTTGCTGTGATTACCAGCTTTGCAAATAAGAGCTGTTTAAAGCACTCCCCACCTTTAGATTTCAAATGCTGCGGTAAGATGATGGTGTATCTCTCTGCTTCATGAACATTGAAAGATCTCTTTTTAGGTCCATCACAGCCAGTGAGTTCCCCTAGATCCTACAAACATAGCCAACGGAGAAGAAGATCACAGCGTTTAGCCACTTGCTCCTTGCCTGATGATTCTGTAGAAAAAGTTTCTTCTCCCTCTTCAGTTACTGATGGAAAACTGTTCTCCATCAGTGGTCAAAACCAGCAGTCATCAAAATTGGAGGGTAATGTATCTTAATCTAATAAAGAACTGCCCAAGAGAAATTGAATCATAAAAAATTAGACCTTTCATGGTTTTCAACTAATGGGATATTTTGAACTGCTGTAGCTAAAGCTGTTTGCTGTTCCTATGTTATGTAACGCTGCAATCCAGACTGTTGTTTGTTGGACCCATGTGTATTTTTTAATATGAGATTTTTTCTTTTATGTAGTACCTGATGTTGCTCATGTGTCACTTGAGAAGCGTGGACCATGTCTGCCTCTTGATTTAAGCCGTAGTTCGGAAGTTACAGCACCATTATCCGCAGAATCCACTTTCCGTAATGAATATCCCAGTAAAGACAAGGAAGATATTCAGATGATTACATATCTTTCTTCCAAAGCAGTAACTGATGGAAGAGTAGCTACAACAGCGTCAGGTAAAGAGATTCAGTATACAACCAGAGAGATTTGTAGTTGTAGGGTTAAAATGTGTGTATTCAATCCCATAGAAAGAGGGGATACTTTTTATTTTCTTCTCTGCACACTCAAAAACCTGCCTCTCTTCTGGACTCCATTCATCTGCATATTCTTTGTCTTCACTGGCTTACAGCTGCTTTAGCACTTCTAACATGCCTTAAGGAGAATCTGAGAGTGTGGAATGTAGTAAGCAGTATTTCAAAAATACTTTTGCTATTGCTAAAAGTTGTAAAAATAATGAACTGATTCTTTACTAACATACTAATTTGTGGTTTCAGCTTTAAAAAAATGCTGTTCTCAAAGACAGTCGCTGTTCCTCTGCTTTGTGTGTGTTTGTGGTGGAAATTCTGTCCTTCACTTGCTACACTTAAAACTATTTCTGAAAAATCCGAAAAAACTTTTATATAGACTTGGTCACCCTCAGCACAGAGCCCAGGGCTGCAACTCTGTGCTGCCTCTCCCTTTGTAACAGTTTACTGACTACCGTGGTTTACATGAAACACTTGGATAGAGGTAACCAAGAGATTTGGGAAAGGATTTCCACAGTGGACCTTAAAAGTGGGATGTTTTCATACGGTGTATGCTAGGTGTTCATATAATTTTTTCTAAGTAAGTCTTGTATGTGGGTTTTTATACTGTTTTTAACTGGCTTCCAAGGAAGAATTCTCTTAAAGCCTTTTTTTTGTTTTGTTTTGTTTCATGAGAAAATTGTTCAGAAAAGTAAGAAGGGAAAAAAATTCAAATTATTATATTCTGCTCAGAAAGTTTTTTATAAATACGAGTGATAGTAAGGGAGGACAGCATGACCTTAAATGATAGAGATATGACACTTAAACTATATCTTAGTCTAATAATCTATGAATGTCTTAAACTAATTTGTCAAAATAAGGGCTATGGGTATCTCTAGTGAGCCACCACTTAAGCTTTTTAAAATATTAAAATATTACTTAATTACTTGAGTGGAACCATGTGTCAGTCTTCATTTGCCCTTGATACATGGCATAGCAGCAGAATTACTGATTCCTGGGAAAATGACTTCTATAAAAGTCCTTCTTATGTCATGTCTTCTGCCACTAAGAGAAGTGCTTTCGGGAGTTGTGTATTTGCCCACTCACTGAACAAGATTGTAAAAGAAAGCAACAGCTCCCAACAGCCATCTGTTTCCTGTTTGGTAAAACTCTTTTTCAGTTACTAGAAATTTAACTTCTGGTTTTTCTGCTATATTTTCTGGCTCATTTTACGTATAGCTGTTAATGCTGGAAGTTGCCTGCTCCTGTCATGGGCCTGGATTGGGGCAGAGTGAGCCAGTTCTAAATCCAGCACTCAGAAGTGCACTTCGGACCTGATTGTTGAGCTGGGTCTTGGTTTTGGCCACAGCTGAAGCAATAAAATAATAAGCTTCTTTTAAAGCCACCTTCATTTAATGACTCAGAATTTTGTGACATGTCCACACAGTTTATGTCAGGGAAAAATTCCATGGTAAAATTGCCTGTTTTTACAACTTGACTCCATAGTGGGAAGCCGAAAATGCGTGCAACCTCTACCAGAGAATAGAATTCATACTGTATATAAAGCTTAATGAGTCTTTTTTTAATATCTATAAAATTTTAAGAGTTACAAGCTCTAAAGGAACTGATTTGCCAGCTACATTTTTTGTCTTCTGGTTTTTTGCCTTCCAGGTACATGTGTTTTGTTCCTAATTTTCATGTATTGCAGTTATCCTTCACACAATAAATGGAACTGTGTCTTGAGCTTTCATACTGACTTTCTGTCCAAATGTCAGAAGTTTTCAGTAGGTTGCATCATGTAGCCCAACAGCTTCTTGAGTATCAGCTTTGTTGCTGAAAGACTAATCTAAGCAGTTTGGTATTTTTAATTCACAGATTTTGTGGCAGGTTTTGGATCTCTCTGACTCTGTCAGTGGTGTCGCTAGGACTATAACTAAAATTCATTTGTGTTTTGGGTTCACCCCAGTCTTTTAACTCTGGTGGAACATGTTTATCCTTATAATCATATAGGAAAAAGAAAAATGTCAGTTTAAAGTTCAGGTTTGAAACCCCTGGAGTTAGTATACACTACTGAATAAATTTGTGTTCTCTACTTTAGAAGGCACCATTTTGCCTTTGAAACAGCACAGGTTCTCAAGTCACATTCCTGAAGCACCCCTAATTACACCAAATTTGTGCATGCTTCAGGAAAATAAATAGGATCCACTCTTTCTATCAGTACTTTCCTAATTATCTGTTTAAGCAATAGCAAGCAAATATATACAGGAGAGGTGCTCAAAGCTTTCCTTTCTCATTCCTGTAAATTCTTGAAATATCTGAGAAAAAAGTTAATTTGAATTATGCAGAAACACCTACCTAAGTGCAGTTTAATATACTACATTGTTTAAATGTACGCATTGTGGCTCTATCCATTACAAACTGAGAACTCTGGTTTAAAATCCAAACTATTCTGTAATTGTGTTTTCTTAATCTGAAAGAACTGTTATAAATCTACATCTGTTTATGGTGTTCCTGCTGTTAAGAGATTATTAACACAGTCTGGACATACTTAGAGTTCTAGATTTTGACATCACTGCAGATTTTGTTAAGTGCACATAAGTTAGACCTGCTATCTTTGTAATCATTGAAATAGGTAACTGTGAATAGTTTCAGAGATACCTTGTGATGATATTTAGCCTGGAACAGCCTGGTCTGATCCCGGACCCTTCTGTAACAGGGCTGAACTGGTTTAAGTCCAGAGATGCAATTTGTGATGTAGAAATTTTGACTTCTGATGGAAGCTATCAGTTGAGTCAATTGAAAAAATAATTTAGTGTTGTTAGAAATTATGCATTTTAATGACTTTATTCAGAAGGTACCGACTTGGTATTTTCAGAGGAGAGGGACTAGGTGCACTGAAGTGCAGATGCATAAATGGCGACTCATAGTATTAGCACATAGCTTTCAAAATCATTGCTCAAAATAAACACCTTATCATTTTGTAGAGGCAAAATAAAAACTCTGTGATGATTCCCTCAATCCAAAGGCTCCAAGGAAGTACTGTGCACTTTGACAGACACCTGTACACTACCCATTAGTTATTGATCAGAGGTACTGTTTTACTAAACTATTCTGAGGTCCTACTTGCAATCATCTGATACTGCACACAAAGAACTAAGAATCTTTGCTTTCATTTGCCAAATTGCTTAAAATGCAGATAACTAGTCTTTGGTCACTTTAGTATTTCAAAGACTTTAAATCCACAGTCAGTCAGAATACTTGCAAAGTACAGTAGTTTTGCCTTTCTGCGCATATGAAGTTTAGGTTTTTCTGTAGTTGTGCTTCTCTTTAAATTTGTGATTTTCTCTTGTTTTCCGTAACCCTGCACCATTTATGTTACTTCAAATTTTATATATTGAGCAAACATAATTTCAGCAAGCAATCTGGGTTTTGAAGTTTAAGTAAAAGGAAAATATTGTTACACTTTCTAATCTAACAATATAATATTTATAATGCTGATATAACAATATTATCACTAGCTGTTATTTCCTATTCTAACACCTGTAGATGATTTTGCTAGTAGGGTAACATTAGGTTAACTATATCGGTGAAATTTGCATTTAAGACTGAAAGCAAAGAAACATTGCATACTTTTATATAATTTCCTTGGTAACAGTTTAATGCAGCAGGAACAAGAAACAGCTGATGTACAAAATTTTCAGAAAATGAGTTTGGTCACTTTTGCCAGTCTTACTGGTTTACCTTGCTTTTAAGAGGGATAACCTATTGTTCATCTTGTTACTTGCTCACGTTACTTTAGGATTGTTTGTTTTACTTCATCTACTAACAGTCAGATTTACTGCCTAATTTGAATGCCTGCCATTCTAATCTCTGCCCTGAAGTTCCCACTTTAGGCTGGTTATGAGGCAATCAAGAACCTCTTTATGGGCTTATTCTTCCTAATGACATCATTTTGGACAGGGTCTAGTATCAGTCTGTGAAATGCAATTAAAAGTCTGTTTAGATATAAAATTGATCATATGCACTGGGAATTCAAAACACTACATTAAACATGACCAGCATGATTGATATTTCTATTGCAATATGATTTAAATTGTATATTAATGCAGATAATTATATTTATGATATTATTTAAACATGGAAAGCCATGAAATAGAATATCAGTCAACAAAATAACTTGCTTCATATTGCTACAAATCATTTGAGCTTGATGAATTGCAATAAGCAGTACCACTGCTTGCCCTGTTGTACTTAAGGCACAACATCCTGTCCTGTGCCTGTACTTGCATGACGGCGCTTATGTCACTTCTCTGTGCCATAACAGGGGAGGTAGTACTGGAAACATGTTATAAACTGGACTGGGAATGCTGTGGTTTGCATTTCTTTTTAATCTGAAATTAGTCTTCTAGTGATAAAATTGATCTTGGAATGGTGACAAAATCAGTAGTTTACCAAGTCTAATCTCTGGTTGTCTTTCTCTGTGCTGAGTGTTAACGGCAGACCTCCCACGTTCACTGTGTGGGAGGTGGCTGGCTAGACTCCTTAACAGGAATAAAATTGCAATTAAAAGTAGCAGTTAAAAAAAAAAAAGCTAGTAGTTCCATAGTTACTTGCCCTTTTGACTGACTGCTTTGTCCAATTTTGTGGTTATGTGTAAGGCATAGTGATTGCACAGTTGAAAAGCAGACTTTGCAAGCTTTGACACTTTATGTAGGGTTTGAGAATTTAAGATTCTTTATCTAAAATGATTTTCAGTTAAGTTAAAGTCAAGAATAAAATTGCAATGTGCACAGGCATAATAGTTCCTATTTTCAAGTTACTATAGAAAGGCAGTTTGGAGAGTTCTGACAGCAAGATGGGTATTTGCTTGACTGGGGGGATTTCTGCCCAATATTAGTGTTCCTTCAAACAGTTACTGATTACTTTGTCAGATGTACTTATGTTGAAAATTATTGAGATACTGAAATCTGTTGTGTTGTGGCTGTTGGAATGAAATCGTATTTGGATGTCAGGTCAGGATTTCTTCTCAATAATAAAGTTTAAATACTAATTCATGTAATGTTGAGATGAAATTTCTTTTGAGATTGCTTGGATGGGGTGTTCTCACATCTTTTCATCAAAATGGCAGTGATCTAAATGAATTACGTGCATTTGGGTGATCCTTTTGCGCTCTTTTTAGAAATGAGACAAGACGTTGATAGCATGATGATGTGGGAAAGTGTCACTTTTCTTTTACTAATGTGCTAAAATATACTTATTGCTCTACAGATGGCAGAACAGTTCAGTCCTGTAACAGAGACAAATGGTAATTAGGAAACCCAAGAAAGGAATAATTTGGATAGTGTTCTGTGTCAGTGATAAGTATTCCAAGCAAGCTAAATGCACTTGAAATACAGACAAAGGCAAGAGCCTTAATCAGTCTTGAAAGGTGAGATGGTTGATTTGAAGCAGTAGATACACTCAGGTAGCCCCAGGCGTGGCCGTGCAGCTCGAGTTGTGTGGCAGGAGCCAGTGCACAGAGCTGAGCAGCTGCTGCTGCCTGGGTTGCACAGTACAGAGCTGTGCTGCAGCTGGCCACACCTGCTGTGTGCTGTGAGAGGTGATGCACCACTTGTTATTGTTCTTGCTGGCCCTTCAGCTTTCCAGCTAGTGGCATTTTGGTTGTGTTCCCAGGAAGGCTCATAGGAGTGGGTGTTGTATGAGCTGTATGGTATCCCAGTAGAATTGGGTTGGTCTGCCCCTATTGGGAAGGCTTGAGGTGTTCTTGCCTTTTCCCCAGAATCTTTTTATGACTGATGAATTTACTAAATTACCTTAATGATGCTTATTTAATGCATTCCAGATCAGCTCCATATTTTGTCTTGTTGAATATCTTGGCCAATAGCAGGTATATTTCAGAACTGTTTTTTTTACATGCTTATGTTTTTGTTGGGGTCTTCTGTTGAGAGACACCAAAGGTAAATGGTGCCTTCAAGTGTTTACAGCTGACATGGAAAAACCTCAACCCTTTATGACTTCACAGAGCTGCATTTTTGTACAATATGTCCTTGGCATGGTCCTAAAATGTCCTCAACGGTCTGATGAAAATTAGGCTTTCTTAATTGGACAATAGATTAATTAGACAATTAGACAATTTCTTTGTCTAATTGGACAATTCGTCCTTTGTCAATTTGGACAATTTTCTTAATTAGACAATTAGATGAATACTGAAGCTCTAACAATATTGATGGACACAGTAATAGAGAGTTTTGAATTACCTCAATAATGTTCTTTATAAATAAATTTTATTCTACTTTGATTATTTAAAAATTGTTAATATTAGCAGTGAAAATTATAATTTTGGTTTTGTTTTGTTTTCAGTTTGTTACTTCCTAACTTGCATTAGATAAAGAGCTAAAAAAACAACTAAATATTTCACTGAATAAACTTTTCTAAATAGTACAAGATAAGAATTATCAGTATATGATGCCAAATTCTGGCAAATCACAGTATTTGTACATGTTATTCAAATGTGGATTAATGAAAGAAAGTGAATTATTTCAATATTATTAAAATCAATGAAAAATTCAATAAGCAGAAATGTTTTATACACAGGACTAAAAATGTACCAGAGCCTAATTTCTCTGTTAACATAATGGAGCATTAACTTTAATGATACTGACAGTTTCAGCACCTTTAACTGTTACTCTTGTTGTGGTTTCCTATTATAGTGGGAACAAAAAGAAACAAAAAGGCTTAAAAGTGTCAGCAAAAGCACACTTTAACCAGTACAGGTAGTAAAAGTGAGTGCAAATTCCAAAATATAGGAAGAAACCTTCTGTGGCGTGTATTGTTTTGTATGTAAGACTTAAGATCTAGGCATTCCTGTGCAGTAAAGATTTGTTAAGTGTGATGATGGTATGACCAATACTGACATTTCAGTGATCTGACCCAGCCCTGGCTGGCTGCAATCCTTATGGAAAGCTGAGTAAATCCATCTTCTTGTTTTCAGTACCCTTGTCCCATGCACATGCCTTGCATCTGAAAATGCCTTTAACCAATAGTCTCAAGTTACCCAAATGGAATAGTAAAAAAAAAAGTTTTTCCACATTGGTGAGGTCTGAAGGGACAGAGGTACAGAGTTCTGTGCCCATAAAGGAGAAGTGTTTTGAGAGTCAGAAATAGAAAATATTAAAGAAAGTGATTGATAAGGACAAGGATTCAGAAGTTGGTAAACTATAATACTTTTTGTTTCCAGTGCTTTAGACAATAAAAATAATTGTAAAATGACATTAGAAATACTTACATTGTTTGTATGTTTCTTATCATTGTGTGCTTTTAGGATTTTTTGCAGTCTAATGACTTTTACAAGAAATTAGGTCATCAGCCAGACTTTGGCCTTATGTGATATATTCTTCAATTTGCAGGTGCAGCTAGAATGGAAAGAAAAGGAAAACTGGAAGAGAAAAGTTCTTCAACATATGGTATGTAGAGAGCAAGATAAGTTTTATGAAAAAAAGAAAAATTCTCTAACACTTCCTGTCTCTGAAGAGCAAATGTAAAAGCACAGAAGATTTCTTGGGCCCAGCTGCACTTTTTGTTAAGGTCTTAAAAAAGACTCTTTATGTATATGTCAGGTTTGTAACAGAAGATAAAATGAAGGTGCCCATAGCAAGGAGGTTGAAGGATCCTAAAGTACCTATAAGAGGCCCACTGTTTCTGGATTTTCATTTGACTAGGTTTCTTTTTTAGTAGAATGTGTAATACTGGCTATTTCATTGTACTTTCAGATTTGAGATGGGAGGAGCAAACAAGGATTACTAGCAACACATTTGTCAATTTGTGAAATAAAATACAGATTAAGAGGACTCTGTTTTTATCCTGTGTTCAAAATAAAATAAATTAATCGAGGCTGGCTAGAATTACTCCTTTTTTCCCAGGAGTAAAGGTTTTGTCTCTGTATTCCCCAAGAAGATAAGACTGCTCCAATTTCTGTGCAGGAAAAAATCCTGGCTTTGAGGCTTATTTTTTGTAGCAAGTCAATTTCCTTGTTTTTTGTCTAACTGCTGATAACTTAAGAAATTATTGTGGAGCTAAAATGTGGGATGTACTTTGTCTGGGGAGAATTAACAGGATAAAAAGAATTTTTCAGAGTCAAAGTGCTTGTCCTCGTGTATGGACAGTGCCAACAGTGGTTAGAAGTGAACTGCAGCGTAAAAAAGTATGTCAAATTCTAGTCAGAATCAGTTTTCTGTGAGGATGCCACTGTGTAGTGCACAGTGCTGACAGCAGCAGCAGATTGGTGATATTGAATTTCCTCCAAATGTCTTTCTGTAGTCCTAATAGTGTTTCTAGAACAATGTAACCTTTGTAACTGGGAATTTTGCACTTATGAAAGCTTTTTCTCTTGCTCAAATATTTTTGTTATAAACTGTAAGTAAAATAGAAGTTATAAGCTATTTATGTAATGTTATGTATTTTGTGTATTTTACTGTATTTTTTCTGCCTTGATATCTTACTTGGAAATACTTATAATGATAAAATATTTGTCAAATGAGATTTTTTTTTTAACTATCATACCAGCAATTAATAAGAGGTGTGTCCAAGATAACAAGTAAATTAATTGAATCATTTTGATCTGACTAGACAACTAGAGCTTTTGATTTTGAGTACCTTGTTTAGGTTAAGCTGTTTTAAATTGTTAAATTTTTATTGCAGGTAAAAAGAAAGAAAAAGAAAAGGAGAAAAAGGAGAAGAAGGAAAAAGATCATAAACCAAAACAGAAAAAGAAGAAGAAAAAAAAGAAGAAATCAAAACAGCATGGTAAGTTCAATTTATATTTTTTTAAAGTAAGTAAAACCACTCAGAGTATTTCAAGCATTAGATAGTAAAACTTGTTTGTAAACAATATGAATGTGAAATATCCAAGGGTAAGTTTTAGCCTTAAATATGAAAAGGACACTTGGGACTTCTTTTTTCTTGCATTTTTAGCCTGTCTCTCTCTATGTGATAGACACACGTATTTCACAGATGTTTCTTCTTCCTCAGAAAGATATGCTTGTTATTTTCATTTCTTTAAATTAATTTGAAACTCTGTATACATGTCATAGCTATTTTGCTTGGACATTAAAATTATTGTAGTGTTTGTTGCTGCATTTCAGTGATTTGCTGGATGCAGTGCACTCCCTCTTTAACAGTTACTCCTTCACAGCTGAGGTTGGTGTCTGTTATAACAGCCTTGTCTGTTGCCTTGACAAATGGGGTTTATATTTTATGGATTATGTGTTTCTCTGTCCAAAATTTGTGCTACAACATGAAAATGCTTCCAGATCATGCAGTGCTTTAGTGTGAATTGTGGGTTTTGTGTACTTCATCTTTATACTGGAACAATGTAATTTTAAGCTATAAACTTCAATTGCTTATTTTACTTAAATGTCATTGGGAGCTTCTTAACTTGCACTGAGAAGTCATCTAGGTATTTGCAAGAAGATACTGATGAATGCTAGGTATGTGCTCAGTATTGTTCTTTGGTTTTATCTTCTTGTGGTCATAAGGTGATTTGTTGTGGGCTGGGTTTTGTGGGGTATTTTTGTTTTGTTTTTTGTTTTGTTTTGTTTGTTATTGGGGTTTTTTTTGGTTTTTTCATCTTTTTATTCCTTTGGTCTTTTTGCCAGTCTTGAAACTTAATAGCTTGGCAGAGGTACCATAATTAGATTCCATTTTCTAGGAGCCTTATCCAGTGTTTCTAAATATGAGAAGAAAACATGCCCAATGCCTCAACAAATAGAAATCTTAAATCCACATGCAAAAAGCAGTTTTATTATTTGCAAATTCATTGTGTGACAATCTGGGTTTAACAGTCCAATTAAAGTTTAACTTTCTTTAACTGGGGAAAAATTTAAAATACTCCAGTAGATTCTGACTCTGGTGTCTGACCCTGAAAACCCCATCTGTCAGAAGAAACAGGACTCTCTCCAGGACTTTATCACTCCATTCTAGGTGTGGACAGAAGTTGTAAGTGTGTGAAGCATGATCCTTTTGTTTGAAATGAAATTGATGTGTCTTGGGCACAAAAAGGGAACAGGTACATTGTCTGCCCCAGGTAAGTCTTAAACAAGGCTTTGAGACAAAACAAAAACCCCAGCAAAGACTGGTTTTGTGCTCTGAGTATGCGTGTGACTTACTGATTGTATAAAACCCATGTGTAGCATAAAGTAGGCAATGCCTGTTATTTATGCTGCTCTGTTGCAGTGAGGCTGAAAGCCATGCAGCATGAAGTAATCAACTCAGCTGCTCCTTGTGAATACACTTGGGAAATGCTGGAGATGGTGTGCTTTGGACAGAGACAGTAAAGAGGAAAGTGGCTTCATGGAAGGTGATCTAGGGGAGAAGGATATTATAGAACCCATAGCAGGAAAACTGTAGTGATAGGTGGGAGCAGGAATGCTTCCTACTGAAGGATGAAAGTGTAGTAGTCTGATTACTTGCTTATATTTGAAGTACTAATTTTTAAGAGTAGCAAATGGGTAGCTACTTGTAATTCCTGATTGAAGCCATGGGCATAATCAGGTGGGTCCAGCGGAAGACCATGATGATGATCAGAGGGCTGGAGCACCTCCCCTATGATAAGAGGCTGAGAGCCTGTTTTAGGCTCTCTTATACAAAAGAGGATGCTGGGAAAAGACCTTATAGCAGAAAGGATTGGGAGGGACTCCTTAATTGGGAATGTAATGATAGGGCAAGCGGTAGCAGTTTTAAACTGAAGGAAGGTAGATCTAGATTAGATTAGATAGTCAGAAGAAATTATTTTCTCCGGGGCTGGTGAGCCACTGGAATGGGTTGCCCAGAGAAGTTGTGGATGTCCCATCCTGGGAAAATGTTGAAGACCAGGCTGGATGTGCCTCTGAAAAACCTGGTCTACTGGAAGTGCAGGGGAACAGGATGATCTTTAAGGTCCCTTCCACCTTAACTTCAACGATTTCCAACTACTTGACTCTCCTAGGACAGTCTCTTCAGTCATTATGATTAGGGATAGGCTTGCAAATGTTTTTCTTGAGACTGTTGCAAATAGTTTGTTGGAGGAAAAGATACAATGCTGGTTGTAAAGATAAATGTCAGTGCCACTGTATGACCAGCAGGCAGAAGCACATGATGTTGTCTGTGCTTGTGTGTGTGCTATAACAGCCTCATCCTGCTTCTGTCTCTGGCTGAGCAAGAAGATAGTACAGAGATGTGTAAGTTCAGTGGGGATTTCTGCAGCAGCTGGGCTCAGACACTGTCTGCCCAGACAGCTCCTCTGGATCCCAGTCTTTCCAATTTCTGCGCCTGCAGATATGAACTCATGAGGCAGCAGCCCTACTGCAGTACAGACAGTCTCACTTCCCTGTGCATTCTCACACACTCCCAGTGTTGTCTAGGACTCCCTGGGTCCCCAGAGCCCCCCACCCCAGCTCTCCTGCTTAGAGAGTCACTTCCACCCAGAGCTGGCCCTTACAGACTGACCCACTGACCCATTACTCCCAGGCCATTTCACCTGCTCATCAGCTGGTCCAGCTTGATCCATGCAAGCAATCAGACCCTTGGACTGGCTGCAGGTGCTGTAGCATGAGCTTATGGGTCTCTGTGACCAGAGATGCCTGGCATGGGGCTGGCACTGTTGTCACTGCAGTCTCTCTGTGTGCTGGCACCACAGACAAATGGACCCTTTCACCTGCAGTGCTACTCCATTTCCTGGCACACAGACCATGTTCTTGAACCCTGAATCGAGAGCCCCTTCCCCAGGTGATAGATGGAAATGAGATTTAATAAAAATTACAGAATAGTTGAGGTTGGAAGATACCTCTGGAGGTGCAGTGGTCCAACCCCCTTGGAGGGACACTTAAAACCTCTGCCAGTACAGATGGGATGCAGGGCATGGCCAGGCAAGTGTAGTGACCACAAAACTTTATGAATATGTGGCTTTTTTCATCCTGTTATTCCCATTTTCTCCTCATAATTATCCTTTCTCAAATCACTTCAGTTCATCCATCTTCCCCACCTTTATTTTCTTCCCTAAAGATTTCATAGTAAGACATTTGCAAACCCAAAATTATTTTTCCCCACACCCCAAAGTGCCCTCCACTGGCAGCCCCCTGGGTTGCAACTGCCCTTAGTCCAGAAGATGATCCAGAGAGCTGCTGTGGGTAACACATCCTAATGGGTTTCATGCATGGATAATGGAAGTGATGGCACTGCTGGGAAAGTCTGAGACGGGCTTGGCCAGGGGCTGTTTGTTGTTTGCCTGCTCATCCTCTTCCTTTGGGCTTGTGTATGTGTACTCTCCTGGGATGCTCCCTAGCCCATCCCAGGACCTGTTGGCTCATGGGATGGTCCTGGAAACATCCAAAGAAAATTTCCCTTGGGCTCCCTGTGCTCCTCTGCAGGGGTACAGACAAGCTTTTATCATTTAAACTGACAGGGTCATCTGTGTTTGCTTCTAGGTAGCAATGCTGGTAGTGCTGCAAGCAGACTTAAGGCAAAAGAGAGAGTCACCAGCAGCATCTCTAAGGATAGCAGAAGGTGCAGGATGAATTGTGGAAAAAAGAAGACTGCATAATATTCTAGGAAAAATTACCCTTCTGTACATTCAGAGATGGGGGAGTTACAGTTGGTGATGCTTACCTATCAAACTTGATTATGTTTCCTACTGGAAATTTTTAAATAAAATGTTACAAAGAGCTTTTGCCATTTCTTATTTACAGTTTCGTCATCCTGATACCTCAGCGTTGATAGTCTTTGCTTGTCAACATAATGCTGCAGTAAAATCTATATACAATTTTTTTGGTTTTGTTTTGTTTTTTGCATTTGTTATAAATTTTGCTTTGTAAAAGTGACTTCTTTTCTTTTAACTTTTCAGATTATTCAGATTATGAAGACAGTTCTGTTGAATTCCTGGACAGGTGTTCCTCTCCCTTAACGCGGTCCTCAGGCAGCTCTCTGACATTGCGCAGTATGTTCTCAGAGAAGAACACTTCATACCAGTATCCAAGAGCTATCCTGTCTGTTGACCTTAGTGGAGAAAGTAGGTTGAATGAACAGCAAATTTCAGTTTATAAGTTTAATTTTTTAAGAAAGAGAATTTTAAAGGAAATAATTTGGTTTATGTTTGGGATGGTAGCTATAAATATGATGACTGATTTATTTAAATAGATGGAGGATCCATCTATTTAAATCAAAATGCTTACACTCCTCAAGCTGTTCTACATTGTATGGCTTTGGTTAAGTTTTGCTACTTTGCATCTGAGGAGAGCACGTTAAAGACACTTAGCAGAATTCATCTTGAAATCTCATATACCAGCAGTGTGTTTGAGAGCAATTTTTTTGCTATTGCAGATTAAGATTTTTACCTGTCAAAACTCCCTGTATTTCTTTGAATTATTGTGTCTCTCCACACACAGTTTCACATGTCCTTATTTCTATTAGACCTTTCAGATGTGGAGTTCTTGGATGATTCTTCCACAGAGAGTTTGTTACTTAGTGGTGATGAATACAATCAGGATTTTGATTCAACTAACTTTGAAGAGTCTCAGGATGAAGATGATGCTATCAATGAAATTGTTAGATGCATTTGTGAACTTGATGAAGAAAATGGCTTTATGATTCAGGTAAAAACGTTTGGTGTGTGGAGTTGTATTTTCTGTGTGAATGTTTTGCTTGTGAAGGTGCCCTTTTGATGTGTCACAGACTGGAATTATGTAGAGACCTGTACATAAGTGAACAAGAACAAAGTGGATGCAGAGCTGTTTCTCTAGGATGGGGTTTCTCTAGCAATTTGATATGTAGGACAAATTGCTAGGTAACCCTTTTCTTTATAGCCAGCTGATAAATTTGGAATAAAGTATCCTCTTCCACACACAAAGTATTGCTTCTGTTCTCCAGACCATCCTGATTATATGAGCCATCCTGGCTTGGCCCTTGTGCTTTGCAGTAGCACTTGTAGAAGCCTCTCTGCTGACTGTAAATGTCCCTCCTCTGCATGCAGCATGTCTCCTGTGCAGACACTGAATACTGTCAGTACTGTGGTGTGTATTTCATCTTTAGAATAGCACTTCTCACACTGGATATCACTACCAGGTTTTAGAAACTGCTGAGAATGTACATCTTAACTTGGTATAGATAAAAGGGAAGAAGAGTATGCCATGTCTGCACAGCATTCAGGTGTTGATGGATTGCAACTCCTTCTGCTTATTTGTACTCCAATGAGGAGAGCATTTCCCATCCACGAGCAATTCCAAGTATTTTTTCTCAAGCAATTTATAATGCAGTGATTAAATCAAATGCAAAAAGCAGTAAGGAAGAACTCAGTTGTCAACAACGTTAAAAAGGTTATGAACCTCCTGTGTTTCCTATCCCCATTCAAAATCAGGTTTGTATTCAACTACTTCTGTGGTACAGTTCCTGTTGATAGTATGGAGCCCTTTATTGAGATTTAAAGGAAACAAGTAGGGCTGTCATGTGTTAGTGGACTTACTCTTCTGGAACTGGCAGAGCCCTGGAAATGAAGGGCACACGGGCTGTCTCAGGGAGCAGACTAAAATGCAGTGCTGTGTTGGAGAAACTGAGCAGGAGCTCAGCTGTGGAAATGTGAATGTGGAATTCCACAATGTGGAAAAATGGACTGGTTTAACAATCTTTGGAGACAGGAGGGGACACCATAGCTGTATTGACAGGAGGAAAGGTGACTTCCCTGTTTTGAACAGGTTGATGCTCAAAGGCATGTCAAAGAGGAGAGATTTACAGCAGAGAGCTAGCAAATGTTTAAAACACTTGCAAGCACAGAGTTGAGAAAGGGAAATATCTTTATAAGAGGTAGTTTCCTGCCTGATTTTGAAGTCCAGTGGCAGCCTGATTTTTCCTCTTCATGCTTGTCTCACTGAGAGCAACCAGTTTGCTGTTTCTAGGCTCTCATGTCTTACCACTTCTATTTTACTCTCCTATTCTCTTGTTTCTCCTCTTTCATTTTCTCTTAATTTTCTTTTTCTTTTAGATTTTCCATTGGTGCGATATTAAAAGCACATCTTTCTAGCGCACTGGAGAGATGCTTTGTAAATATAAATAATTAAACTGAAGAGTTTTCTACTTTTCACTGTTATGCTGTAATGTATTACATTATCTTTCTACTTTACTATAATATTATACTCCTGTCTTATGTTTCGCTACTAAATATGTAGGTGCTAAAATACTGAATGTTGTAATAAAATACTATATGATATTACATCTTCAGTTTCTTTTTTTTTTTTTTTCCAGTCTGGAGTTTGTGGTTGAGGTAACTTTCAGATCTAGAGCTCTTTTTTTAACTTGATGTCTTTGTCTACCCAAATACAAATTGCCCAACTAAAATATTCTTGCTCAAACCAGCTATTTAAATTCAAGTGCTGTTCTCTGCATATCTGAGTTTTTGCACCTACTTGTCTCAGTTTTAGTTTTTGCTTTTGTTGTTTTTTTTTCTGACATCAGTGTGAAGAATGCTTGTGTTGGCAGCACAGTGTATGCATGGGACTGTTGGAGGACAGCATTCCAGAGCAGTACATCTGTTACATCTGCAGAGATCCACCAGGTACGGGTAAACCACCTTTATCTGCAGCCTTGCTTGGGATTTTTGAGCAGAGATGTTACGAATTTTCTTAAATTGTTCAAGCTTTGTCTGTTTTGTGTTACATGTGACACTTCTTTGGGGCAAGTGATTCTAAGTTTGGCTCTGGGCAGAAACTTCTTTGTTAGTAACATCATGGTCACCTATGCTAAATCTTATCCATGAGCTTAGTTACCATAGTTTTACTTGTTGGAACTTAATTCTCCCCAAACCTTAGAACTTTGTCAGTGTAGTCTGAAAAGCCTTTCTAAAGAAGTAATTTTTGTTCAGGGATCTATTCTGCCAATACTTGGAATCACATTTGTTAATTTAAATAATTTCTTAGAGGAAAAGGACTCAGTACCGCAGTACACTCAAACATGCTGTGAATGGCATTTCATAGTAATTGCAATTTTATAATGTTTATGTTTGCCCAGAACTGTGTAAAAGTGTGGAACTGAATATTTAAAATATGGGAAAATCTAGCACATCTTATATTAAACAATAGTGCACAAACAGCATATGTTGAACTTCAGATAGTTAGGTCAAATTTGTAAGAACTAGGAAAACTATTTACTTTCCAACTGAATTCATTTGATGAGGAAGATGTTGATTTAAAAATTATTCTGTGATAAACCCGTTTTTCTTAATAGTTATTTGGAGCAAAACAAAAGAATTTGGAAGTAAGTTTTTTGTGTTTTCTTCTGACAATTGATACAAATGCACATAGCTGTCTTCTGGTGAAATATCCAGCACTCCAGCTGTTTCAAAAGGGCTGTGAGACTACAACCTCAAATCTACTTCCATTCTAAATCTAAAAAGTGAAATATGTAAATTGTTCGCAGAGTTTTTATTAGCTATTTTTGAGATGACATATTAGAAAAATAGAGCTTTTTCCATATGCCCCAGTGTGAATCAAAACTGGTGGTAGAGAGTCTTGTTTGAGAGTTCTGTGTGGTGTCTCTTTGAGCAGCCCAGCTTTTCTTACTAAACCCAGCTAATTTGTCTTGTGCTCTTTCCCTGCACTGTATTAGGTACTTCGTTTTCCCCTGCTATGCAGAGTCTGTGTCCCTAATTTTTATCTTCTCTCCCTTCCTAACCATTACTTCTTTTCTTTCTATGTCAGGAGAAAAAAGTCATTCTCAATGTCAGTATTTTAAAGTGTATTGGGATAATGGGCAAAAAGGAGATAGACAGGGTATTCTCCTGAAAGGTATGAAGGGCTTCCATCAACCTGTTCTTTGTTCTGTCTATGATAGTATGATTTGAAATCGAGTGTAAGATATTGCCGTCAGTCTGTCTGGGTGCCTTGTTGTAAACAATAATATTGCAATAATTAGCATTATGCATTTTTAGTTTTGGGTGGGTGTTTTGGTTTCATTTAGTTATGGGGCTTTTTTTTAAATTTGTTTGGGTTTTTTAGTAGTTATTTAGCTACTGTAGAAGCTCTAGCTAAATAGTGAGGCCCACATACACCAATACCCTCCCTAGAAGTCTGATGAAAGGCACCTCAAAGGGGAGTGTAAGAGCTCTGCTGTCAGATAACTTTGAAATACCTGCTTTTCCTGGCCTCTAATAAATAGATATTGACTTCAGTATTGAAGCAAGACATTTGTCTTTTAGAAACAAACTGGGTGTTTTGGATATGTCCGTATAAAATCCACTCTTTAACATTTCTCTTGGTAACTTCGGCTTTCTTTTTTTAAAAAAGAAATAGTAAGTTGCAGTACTTAGATAAATAAAATACCAATGTAAACTTTTTTTTTGGTGGTTATTTTTTATTTTGGTAACAGCATAGATCTTAATATCATATAGCTTGATTGCAAAGCTGATTAGATTTTAATTTCAAATGCTGTTTAGAAGGTATTGAGGTTTCAGGCTTATTTTTTTTCTCATAAGTTTTAAGACTTTATTCTTAATCCACTAAAATTAATTTCTTACATATTAATAGCAAAATCTTGAGTCATCCTTTCATGGATGTTAGATATTTAGACAAGTACAGCACATAATTATAGCACTCTAGTTGTAAATAATTCTGGTGTGGCTCAATTTGTTTATTGCTTACCCCAGGACAGAGGTGGAGTGCCAAATATCTCTATGACAAAGACTGGCTAAACAACGGACACATGTGTGGATTATCATTTTTGAAAGAGAACTACTCTCATCTTAATGCCAAAAAGATCGTGTCAACACATCACCTACTGGCAGATGTTTATGGGGTAACTGAAATACTGCATGGATTGCAGCTGAAGATTGGCATACTGAAGTATGTATCACTCCAGGGTTTATTTTCCAGCTGTATATATTCAAGTAGAAGAGACTACCATTATTCTATATGCATTTTTCCCTGACGTTGAAGTTCTTTCTTGTATAATATTTTAAATAATTCAAGTGCAAGATGTGCAGTACCCTCAGCTTCAGCAGGAGCTAGGTGTTCAGCACACAAGCAGGTCTGGTCTAGTGGGATTATTGGTGAATTTTTTCGTAAATTTTGTGTTAAAGGGACACAAAGATTTATCTTAAATTGATGAATGACCTAAGAATACTTCCTGTTTGATAATCATGCTTATCAGTACCTAAGATCTAGGAGAACTGAATGCTTAAAAGTAGTGTTATCCATAACTTGCTTTTTTTCCTCCTCTTCATTGCAGAAATAAGCATCACCCAGACCTTCATCTCTGGGCTTATTCAGGGATGAGAAAAGAACAAGAACAAAGAACTGTTGGGGTAGAGAAAAAGTTAGTGACTTTACAGGATGCTGTTAATCCAGCTGAAAGGACGTGTCATAGTCAAAACCATAAAGAGCCACCCAGTATACCCCAGAAGATGGAAGAAACGTATATCACAAGTGAGCACAGTTACCAAAAACCACAGAGTTTTAGCCATGACTACAAAGCAGTCACTGACCCTATGAGCTCAGATGATGAAGACACAAGTAGCTTTGAGGAAGATCAGGAATATCATACAGAGAATAAAAACTGTTTACAATATTCTTTTAGAGATGGTGGCATGAATGAGCAGGTAAGTATCATTCTTCATCTGGGAAATTTTATTTGGAAAAGTATGTTTGTATGTTTGATAAAGCTGAAGTATCTATAGGTATTTAGAAATGTTTATTGCTGTAAGTCAACATATTTATCAAATAAGTCAGCAGAAATCACTAGAAGCAAACTTGGATCACTGCAATAGTTCCAGGTGAAGTATGTTCATTTCAGTTGGTGTATGAAATACAAGGTATAGTTTAAGGTATTGCCTATGCTAAAAATTTGTTGTCAATCTAATGTTTTGAGACAAAGGAAACCCTATTTGTAAAATTCAGAGTCTTGGAACAGAACTTACATGGTTTTTATAAGGTGAGGAAAATGGGACAGGTTTCTTTTTTTCTCTCAGTTTGGTTATCTACATGTGTTAGGAGGTTTTTGTTGTTTTGTTATACCAAGGTTTTTTTAATAGTGTTTATTATTGTATTGTATTATTTTTTTTAATAGCAGTGCTACCTAGAATGCCATCCACAAGTAATGATTTACTGACCAACTAATTTCTCCTCATGTTCAACTGCTTTTCAGTCTTCTATATTGCATATTTCTTCTAATGAAACATTTTTAGTCAGGATTATATTTTGCTGTTTAAACATCTCATTTTGACATTAATGGTTTGAATCCATTATTTGGTGGAAAAGGTCTGAAACTTGTTAATCTGGTTTTAGTGAACAGTTCTCTGAGCAAAAACCAAAGAGAACCAAACCTTTCTGTTTTCTACAACACCAGCTGTATGAGGATAAATCGTCCAACTCATCCCCCTTTTGAAGTACAGTTTCTGGTGTGGAAGAAATGAGTATGATACATCTTATTTCTTTTTAATTTTAGTTCTAAATGTGGCATGTAAGCTGTATAGTCTGAATGGGGAATTTTTGGCTCATTCTAATTAAAAATACATGTTTCTGTGCTAAATTTACTACATTGCACAACTGTATTTGGGTTTATAGTAAGGAGAAATGCAGCAATGTCAAATACTATTGCCTTCCAACAGTAGTTTAACAGTATAAATAGTATAAAGATATTTAGAATTAAAGGAAAATATGCATGAGCAGTTAAATAAACTAATATTTTCTTCAGAGATTCAAGCATATATCTTAAAAGCTAGGTGTCCTCTGTTTGACACTGTCCCAAACAGATCTCTTCTTGGTTTAAGTGTTCTTTCCTTTGGGGACACATTGATCACCTGCCACCTTTTTGATACCAAAATAAGGCCTTCTGCCTATACATGATATGCATGGGAAAATTCTCCTTGGTTTCTCCATGAACATGTTTGCACTTACCTTAAAACTGACATTGGAAGACCATTTTTAAATGATCTGACTTCTCTCTAAGATGCCTTTTCTTCTCTCCTTGTCAATGTTTGGTTGGAGCTTTGAATTTTCCTTTCTAGCATTCTTCAGAGCTTTTTAATATTCTGGTTTTCCATACTATTTTGTTTTACCCTAATCTGCAGTTCCGTTACATACTTCCATTTCTCTTACAAACAGTATTTGGATTAACTGTTATCAAGTCCCCTTTTGGGCTATGCATTATCTTTAAAATTATATTTAGTTTCCTTGGTTTTGCTTCAGAAAGCACAAGTGTTCCCCACCTGAATATCCTGTTATTTCTTGTCCACGAGCTGTATCTTTAACTCTTCTCCTGCCATCACTTCCTGATTACCTACACTGATCTCAGAGGAGAACCTATTGGATTTTGTGGATTCTTTCTAAGGAGCCAATTGAATATAGAGGTCATTAGATGAAGGAAAAAAAAAAAAAAACAAACAAAAAAAACTATGATGTTATTTAGATATTTAGTTACTTACCTTTGAAATTTTCTGTAACTTACTGAAACAGGCTGAAAGACAATATTGGTTTTAGAATTATGGAGTTTGATCCTTTTACAGCAAGGGAAAAGTGGCATTCCTATGGTATTAGAGAGGGTCTGAAAATAGTAAGGAATAGATACTTTATTTATATTGGGAATATTTTCCATAAGATTACTAACAGTTTGATTACTGAAAACACTGTGGAAGCAAACCTGATGTCTTCAGAGAAGGGATTTTAAATATCATAAAAGCATCAAAACTCTCATACCTTTCAAATCTATCTCTGATAGATAATTTTAACTCCTTTAGTGAACGTTATGAATATTAACAATGCTTTTCCCATCTGAGTTGCTAATAAAGCTGTCTGCAGGTCAGTCAGAGTTTTATTTGTTTGGTTGGTGTTTTTTAATTGATTTTAAGTCTTAAAATGAAATTTGGATTTTTTTGCTTAAGTGCTTAAGCTTAAAATCCATCAGTTCCTATGTTGTTCCTTACCTCTCTTCTCACTCTTCTCACTCTTCCTATACTTTACTGGAGAAAAATATTTTAATAATAGACCTAACACCATTTTTTTCTTATGTGGTGTGGAAAATTAGCTGAGCTTTTCAGAGAAGTGTATTAAAGTATTCTTTGCTGTGGCATTTGACATGTACTGACACAGTGTGAGCACATGTATCTGGCATTCTAGTCCTTAAAATAAAATATTCAATAGTTAAAGAACTTCATTGGATATGAAGTCATACTGGATATAAAATGGAAGCTGTTAATCCTGCTAATTACTGGAGATGCTGAGCATTTTTAACTCATTAAATCTGATCTCCTTCCACTCAGTAGCTGAAACATCAGCCATAGAAAGATTAGGAACTCGTGTATTATCTGTGGCATGCTGTGAAGGTACTAGTTTTATTGAAGAGGTTAATCTTCCTCAGATACTATGTTAGAGTAACTCCACATGTTACTGTAACTGTCCCCAAACAAGTCCAGTTCTGCCCCAAACTTGTTCTTGGAAGATAGGTGGGGTCATAGGAGGTAGGGAGAGAAGTTTTTTGTCTTAATCAGCAAACAGGACAGATTGTCCAAAGAGGGTGTGGAGTCTCTCCCTCACTGAAGATACTCCAGAACCACCTGGACACAATCCTCTGCCATGTGCTCTGGGATGACCCTGCTTGAGCAGGCAGGTTGGACCACATGATCCTCTGTGGTCCCTTCCAACCTGACCCATTCTGGGATTCTGTGAAATAGGATGTCCAGCTTATTTGTGCAAAATAGTGATTGTTGACATCTTAGATACTTCTCCATTGTAGAAAGTTTTCCATGGAAACAAACGTTAGGATTTTGCACATTTTTGGTGGCAGTAGATCCATGCAGTTCAGCACTTTGTAATTTAAGTTACTATTTATATAAAAAGGGTACAGAAGTACAGTCTGTCTTACTGCATTGAACAAAGTATTTGAGCTGATAAACTTCAGTGTTGGGGAAATGAAGCAAAAGGTATAGATGCTTATTTATGTGGAATCTGCATTTTGTTTTAGTCTATTGATGTGGCATGATATGTGGCTTTCTGAGTAAGCTTTTTGTCATGTATACAAAAGTACAGTTCTAAGCCAGCAGATTATATCATGTGACTCAAATGTTGAAATCAACACCAGAAATTAAAACAAAGCAAATAAAAAATCTTAAATGGCAATTTTTTTCTTTCTGTTGCTCCTATGAAGAATTCTGCAGAAGGAAACACTGTGTTTGTTTGTAATGAAAGAAAAGGCTCAGAAGAACAAGTGGACACACATCTTCAATGGCAGCTAAATCTCCTCACCCATATAGAGAATGTACAGAATGAAGTCACCAGCAGAATGGACCTGATTGAAAAAGAAGTTGATGGTAACTGCATTGCCACATTGCTTATGAATGTACCTGTAGCAGCATCTCTTATAACTAATGTGTTCAAAGTGATCTCAGGCACTGACGATGGGCTTTTAAGTATTCTAATGTTCAAATTTGGGTCCCAGAATTATAAGCAGAGCTTGTATCCTTGATTTCCCCACCCCCTTCCACAAGTTTTCAATGCCCAAAAAAGTAGATTAAGCACTCAGAACCCCTGAGCTCAGGCTCAGACTTCAGAAAGCTTAGATGACTTGTCTAGTCTTTGTCCAGATATGAATCATAAAGTTGATGGCTTCTTCTATGCCTTGATTGATTTTTGTCTGATTGTTCTAGTAATTGACAGTATTTAGAGATAAAAATGGTGTTTATTGTGCCTTCAACTGTTTTTTTATTAGTAGTAAGCAAGTGGTTTCATTAAGACAAATCAGTCTTCATGAGAAATCTTGAATGAAATTATATTGTACAAAAATATTGTAACATATAAGTGTCTATGACTTGCCAGTCATATTAACTAGTAATTAAGGGATCTTGTAGTCTAATCCTAGGAGTCCTTAATTAATCTTTTAACAAAGTTGTCTTATTTCTATTTGCAGTTTTACTTCCAGTATCCCTGTTTTTCCTAGGCAGTGTTTCTAAACTAACAGGGTTGACCTTTTCCCTTCTCTGTTTCTACAAGCAGAGAAACTCCTTGAAAACATTTGTTAAAGATTGGAAAACCATTCTATAGTCTGGACCTTGTCCACAGGAGCCTGTTAAAGTGGCAGAAGCAAGCCTTGTGTCTAAGGGTTGCATTTTCTGTTCCAGAACTGTCAGAGTAGACCATGAATTGAAGTTTCTTTTTTGTGTGTAGAGGGTAAATTGTGAGCCAAGGGTAAAATTTACACCCAGATACCTTTTTAGAGCTACAATCAAATCAGAAGATTGGATTGTTCAAGAGAAATACGGAATTAGTTGGTGTTTCCATAATGAAATTTCTTCTGTTGAATAAGGCTCAGTGTATTTTCCCTTTTTATGAAAGACAAAGTAAGAAAGAACAGTTTAATATTTATGGAAACTGTTTCTCAAAGACTTACTCTAATCAACTTCTTCTTTTTCCTTCTGTAGTTTTAGAAAGCTGGCTTGATTTCACTGGAGAACTGGAACCACCAGATCCTCTGGCAAGATTGCCTCAGCTCAAGCGACGTATCAAACAGCTCTTAATTGACATGGGAAAAGTACAGCAAATAGCAACACTTTGCTCTGTATGACAAAAGGAAGAATAAAGAAGTAAAAATAGGTTCTTTACAGTGAATTTTCTTATTAGCCACAAGACTGACAGGAAGACAGCAAAAAGCTGAGCATTTATATGGTTCTTTGCAGATTACATTAATAGCCTGAAGCTTTAGAAAGAAGAGAGGAAGTTTAGTGTCAGGAATCTGTTTTATTGAAAATATGAATATTCAATGTCCAGGCTTCAAAATTATATATAATATACTGAGAAAAGTAAATTTCTCAGGATTTTAACATGTTAAACAAGTAAATCCCCAGATACAAGAAAATTCAATAAACAAAAAAACCAAAATCTCTTTGAAGAGCAATGCTACTATTTTGGAACCCTTGGGAAACATTTCTAAATTAGCACAATTCAGCTGACTAAAAATACAATCCTCTTATCTTGCTGATGAAAGATACAGAGAGAGCTGTATCTTCCCTACAAGGAAGGTTTTTAGATTATTCCTTTCTCATATGAATGTTCAGGAAATCAAACAATACTAGCTTTGATTTTTGAAAAAAATTACTTGTCATGGTCTCCCTTTTAAAATATTTTTTTAAATAGAAATCCCTAGAACAGCACCCCTAGGCTCCTTTAAAACAGAAGTGGAAAATAGTGATCAGATGTGCCAAATAATATTAAAATCACTGGGATGAGAGTTTGATTATGACTTAGGTGAAGGTTTTTTCCGAAGTCCTACTCGGTGCCAGCAGTCCATCCAAAATTGTATCTAGTTTATATTTTTTTATGTTCTATAGCAGTGTTCAGGAATCAAGGTACAATTTTTGTCCTGGGTAGCTCTGTTCTGATGTCGGCCCTCTGAAAATGTCACCATCCTCACTGGGGATGGGGAACGACAAGAGCAGTAAAACTGTCTGTGACTGTGGAAATTCTAAATACCATTAGAGAAAAAAATCACAAGATACCTTATCCAAGTTGTTTTTATAAAATTTTTCAGCTTCAGTGAATGAAATGTCATGAAACCAAAGGCAACCTACTTGCTCTGTTAGCTCTTGCTGAATTTTGAGCCCAGGACTTTCCCTGTGCTGATAAGTTGCCGCTGTACCCAGTGCTACATCTGTGTCTGTGTATGTATATGTGTATAGCTACATGTACATATATACATACCATACACATTTCTACCTACACATGTCTAGTTTTATTACCATAGACTACAAGAACTGGTGGTTCATATTACCTTTTAACAAGCAGTTTCTAAAATTGAAAATAATGTATGTACAGGTTTTGAAATTTGTAAAATATGACTGTTAAAAGGAGGCTATTTAACTGAGGACTTTAAGATACTTGAACATTTTATGCCTCATGTCTGTTTATCAGTTCTAGTTATCTGTATAAATGCATTTTAGAACCGATAGACAGTAAACTTGAATTTACCTTTTGATATGAGTACAAGCCACTGTACATTCAAAAATTATTTAAATTTGCAAACACACTGTTCTATATGTAAGGTACTGTATGTAAAACTGTTTATTAAAACTATTCTGCATACTCTACATTTTCCACTTTTCTTCCTGATCTACATACAAATGTAAAAAAATAAGTGATTGTTATTGTGTACAGACCATCAAAAAATCTTGGAATGCCTTTTAAGGATGCATACAACTGAAAAATGTGCCAAAGATGGATTATCTGGGAAAGACTTTGCAACCAGTGCATTGAACTTTCATGATAAAACCATTATTGAGAAAGAAAGCAGCGTGGCTGGTTCATTGCTAAATTAAACCTATCCTGACCTTTCCTCCCTGTCTGTCATACCTGAAGTGAGTTATCACTCCTGATGGCCAAAGCAAAATTTCCCTCTTACAGAGCAGTTGCTATTTAAAGTCTTCCCGCATCAAGCTTGTGATGTATCACATCACAGAGCTGTCTGATAACATGGAAGTATGGAATGGTTGGCAACTCCATAATGCAGAAAGAACATTAGAGCTGTGGAGATGTTGTCATCTTATAGCAACTGTTAATAAATACTCTGTGTTATATAGTTGATGCTTAAATAACTGCTTCAAACATGAATAGTTGAGTGATCTACTTGCTTTTGGATATGTGAGATGTTTTTATAGACTATTCACTTGCTGCATATCCTTGAATGTGGTACTGTGTGTACTGTATAAGAGAAGTATAAATCCAGATGAATTACTTTGAAACAAAGTGGAGTGTATTTACAGAATTTATACAGCATACACTGTAGCAATATTATGCAATGTGTGTGCATGTGTGTGATGTAATATAATTGTAAATGTTACTGAAAGTGAAGGTGGACTTGGAAAGTTAGTGGGGAGGACAGAGGTTTTATTCTTACTACAGAGATGGAGGAATGGTATCCTGATAAGGAAATCCTAAGGTCAAAGTTGAAGTTGCCCTTGCAGCTTTAATGTGTCTTCTATTTGTATGTATAATGGCCTCTTAATTTACATGAATATGTAATTTTTCCCTTCAAGATCCTGCCTTGTTCAGGATGGACTGTGCTTACAAAAACAAACTGTTCAGTATTTTTTTTCTGTTCATTGTGTAGTCATGTATTATAAAAATTCCTGCAAGCATTCATATCTTCTAAGAAATACAATCTCGGTGTCCGTACGGACTGTGCTACGTATGATACATCGTGTACTGCTTGAATGTTTCACAAACTTGTCTGAGTTTGCTTTTTCAAGTCGTGGTGCTGGTCTTCAATATGTGGATGTTAGTTTTTGACCCTAGTATCTCAAATTTTCAAAGATTTGGGATGCTTTTGAGGTTTTTCTTTTAAACACGAGTCAAGTGCCATAAAAATGCTAAATGTTTTGCACAGAATGTAACCTAGACTTGATTGCTTTGCTCGTGTGCCAGTCAACCCCAGTGTGATCTGGCTCTTACCAGAATTTCCTCCTAGCTGGCCTTATCGAGAGAATCTTATTCCTGTAAGCATAATTTTCCATCTGTCTTCCTGCTTCCTCTCTAAATGAGCCAGGGATGTACAGTCAGTCTATTTGCAACATCATTTATTTGGGTGTGAATTGTGGCTGCATTGTTTGATGGAGAGGACAGACCCTCTCTGAGGAAAAAATAGTAAATGGCAATGTAAAGACTGTTTGATACGTGTGTACAGAAAAGCAAAATGTTTAAATTTGCAGCATTCTTTCAATGAATAGGAGTTCTAAAGAGTAATAGACAAAAGGGAAATGCCATTTTACAGAAGTCTCTTGTGATTTCACAGAGCTAAATGGCAATTTAAATGGCAGTGGAGCCTTTGAATGCCCAGCTTTTTGTCTGAGGTTTAGTTGGGGGTTTGTTTGTTTGTTTTTTTAATGGAGGTATCAGGGTGATTTAATTTCAAAGCCTGCTCCTACTTGTGACCATACCGAAGGCATCTACATCAGGAGTTCTGTGTTTCAGTTGCAGTGAAGGCAGGGCAGCAGTACTGCAGTCATAAATGAAATGTAGTGTTGGTGCTGTGGTCTGGTGTGATACGATGGGGCTGCCACGTTCTGGTTACAAAATGGACATATTCAGGTCATATTGCAGGGAATGGGTTGGAAGATGCTTCCTGTTAACCCTTTTCTTGGGTAGCTGTAGGTCGAATAGTGCCCATATTTTATATACTCTGGCCTTACATGCATAGATGTTTGTTCAGTTGTGGAGTGGTTTACAGTGGTAGAAGCCTGTTGTTTTCTTTCAAATAGACAAAGAAGATGGGTTGCAATTTTCTGATAGATTTCCTGTATTTGCTGGGTAGCAAAGAATTGAAACTGTTCTTCCATGGATGCAGTAATCTTGTATGGCTGACAGCCACTTTTCTCTCTTAATTTTGTCTCTGAGCTTCTACATGTGCTCATCTGTTCATTTTGCAGCTTGCATCTGTTTTCTCCTTTCGTTCTTCAGCTTTCTGCACTCTGGCTTCTGAGGTACCTGGAGGGTGTCACTCCTCTGTTCTCATGCCCAGTTCCTCCTGGCTGCTGTGGGAAGCAGTCGTGGGGAAAGGCCTCTTTGACTCTTCTATCCACAGCCTCCAGAGCATTCTGGGACTTGTGTACAGTTGGAGTGTGTGCACCATAATCAAAATCTCCAGGTGTTTTTGATGCCTTTCTTAAGTAAGCCTCTTCTGTCTTATGCAATTGGTGATCTTCCTCTACTCCCATCTGGCTTCTAACTTAACTAGACCTGAATTAATGTTACAGCAAAACCCCTCTGGCACTGTTGGGCTCCAGCAGTCCTTACCAAACTGAGGGTTGGGATGCAAAGGAGTCATTCAAACATTACAGTAAAATTGTAAAAGTATTTGATGTTGTAAACCACATTATTTTTCCCTTGCATTTAAAGGGAAGCTGTAATAACGTTTCTTCACTGGAAATTCAAAAGGCACAAAACAGATCCTGAACTGAACTGGAGCTTGGTGTAAAAATCAACAAGTGGAGGATGGGCAGGACTCTGCAGGCAGGGGCTTCACAGCCAAAGAGCAGTCTGGCTGTCCCAGCTGCCTTGCCCTATTAGTAGCTCTGTGGAGGTGCTGGTCTGTGTGTAAAGGGGGTGTGTGCAATGATGCCATTCATTTACGAGTAGGATTGTTTAGAACACTGGAACTGCAGGTTTTTGCTCTACTGCTTAAAGATGTTTCAGTATATGCACCTTAATTTTGGAGTGCTTATTAAGGTCAGAGGCTTAATCACTTTTGAAATGCCCATTGCTATTCTCACATTTTTTTAGCTCACAATTTTTTTCTCTTGTACTGATTGCATATGGCTTTAGGTGAGGTTTTTGCAGAGGCTGTTTGAAATGCTTCAGTAATGGTTTCTATTATAATTTGTTATGTCCTGGGCACTGGGTGTGGGGGTCTGTCTTTAGCAATAAATATTATACACTATGTGTATATGTTTGTATATGGAAAACAAATACAGAGCATGTAACAATGGTGAAAATACACTGCATCGAGTGCAGATTGTGCATTTGGCAGCCATTCTGCACCAGTCTGAACAATCCAAATGAAAAATTGGAGACCACGTGGAGAAAATGAACTAGCATGAAAAATCATTCAGGACAGAAATTCCCTTCCCTTACTCTGTGGGCTGGATAACTAAAGCTAGTTCAATTGCTGTTTGCTTCAAACAGCTGTCTTCCTTTCCTGAAAACTGGCCAAGCCTCCTGTGTTCAGCTGTAGCCATGTGCATCAGTGTATTGTCACTAAACACTCTGAGAGAGGCAGCACTGCACTATGATTAAATCTTCTATGAGAGAAGCAAAATACTTCCTTCTGTGATTTGTTTTTTATAATAGCAATAATGTTGACTGCATTCTAATACTCACAATAAAGGTCTGTTGAGATTGTTATGTGCCTGGGCTCCCTTTCCATGGACTTCTCTTCTGGTGAGCTAATGAGTGCATATGTTTTAAAGCGTTAGGGAGTCTTCAGTTGTGTGTTTAGCCTGCAGTCCTTAGGTTATGTGCAGTCATTGATACTCGCTTTTCTACATTGCGAGGCTTGAGGTAATCTTCAGTTGTATTTTAGCCTGTAGGCAAATTATACAATCAGTAAATTATTTACAGTACTAAATTAATGTATGTGGCAAAGTAATTAGAAGATATTTCTGTTTCTGAACTGTTTTAGTGTTTTAACAATTTCAGGGTTTGAGTTTTGCAATGCACTTTATTCTTTACAATTAATGTCTTTCAACAGTGTATTCACAGTGATGGCATCTCCTCTTGTGTGCAGACGTGTGCCTTTGTACAATCTCATTACGAAGTAACTTTAATTTGCTTTTAGTAATTTATTTTAATATCATCCACAAGTTGTTCAAGACACTACTGTGGTAGAAAACAAATAAGCTAACAATTCTAAGGAAGTTCTTCTCTTAGACATCCTGTGGACAAGAGCACAAATGATAAGTAGCAGATGAATGAAATTAGACAGAATCTCAGTAAGTTACTGACATAGAAAAAATTGTTTTATTCACAGAAAAAGTCAATATGATAGTAAATGTAATGAACTTAAAAACTTTAATTCTGAATCATTAATAGTTGTTGAAGGGGCAGTCTCAAAGTAGGCTCTCAAGCATAAGATAGAAGACCAGATTGAGATCTTGGAGCAACACACTGAAACATTTTTTTTAATTAGCAGACTTCCTGAAGAAGAGGTTTTCCAAGTCAGACCAACTGTCTGGCTAGCCCAGAGTCTTGTCTGCAGCAGAAATAGAAATAGGACGTCAGATCTGTACAAACATACTACGAAATATCTGCGCAAATTGACTTTTTTGTGAATGTGTCTTTTACTTCTGGCAAACCAAGGGTTCCTTTACCAAAATTTTTAGGTCCATTAGTTTTATCTGTCACTTGACAGAGATGGACTCCTCAGGTTTAATCCATCTTTTTCATTGGTGGCTTATGGAATTCACAGCTTTGTTGTGTGGCAGGAGCTTTTTTGTCCTTGAACTTCCTTTCTGACTCCACTGGCTCTTCACCATTGCCTTTAGTTCAGAGAAGGTTAAATACTGCATTATTGAAAAGACCCAAAGCAGTTTTGTCCCATCAACACCAAGGGTTTGGCACCCTGTTGCTGTCCTTGTGTGACTTGTGGTGACTTTTCTCACTGCCTCAGCTTTTTTTTTTCTGTCAAATTTTGAATCGATTCAAGTTGCAAATCCCGTGTGTCACTGTGGCTGCAGACCTTGCTCCTGCTTGGGGTTTCAAACCAATCTGCATCCCAGGTGTTGTGAGAATAAAATACCTATTTTTCTACCTGGAATCACTGTGGTACTATTGGATAAAGGGAAACTGTTATTTTCAATGAATAAGTAAGAAAAAAAGGCCATTTTATTTGTCTGAAATGGTCAATATCTGCAGGGATAAATGCAAATTCAAATATTCTTACATGGGTTTCTTTAGGTTCTTCTGTCACCAAAGGCACTTTTCCAAGTGGTAAATTATTATTTAAAATTTGACAAGTCCTGTGCCCACTCTTCTGATCTAGCCAAGTTTAGCATGGAAATAACTGAAACTTCCCTATCATTCTTTCAATTTGAAGAGGGTGTCATGTATAAAGAGAATACACTGAAAAGTGTATTATCTGGGGCTGTCATCTTGTCGTCTTTTGATTTTGCATCACATGAGGTCTTAATCATAGACAATAGAGATAAGTGCTTCAAAAAGTCTTGGAAAGAAATGTGCTGAATGTAAACTTTAGTTCTCTATCTGTAAGTGTAACAAATGGTATTAACCTTTCTTATGTAGCTTTCTTAAAATGTATGAGAGTATTGTCCAACACTGGTGCTTTATTTAACACAGGAAAACAATTTCTTGTTTGAAATGAACAAACTAATTGACGCAAGCATCATTTCACAATGTTTTCAGTTCTTAAATTTTTTGCTTCCAATTTGCTGCCTCATCTAGGAAGCTCCCTCCAGTTTTTTTTTTTTTAAACTTAGGTTGACTTCTCAGGCTCAAATTTTATTTGGGTAAGAGTAATTTTCCTGTGGATACAGATGTCTGTGTATTTCTATACAGGAATCATTTATCCCTGGGCCTTTCAATATGTAAAATTGCAGTTGCACAAACTGTCTCTTCTGCTAAGAAAGTGTATGCAAAACTGGAACAATGAATAAATGTCTTCTTCTTTGAGGTTTGTGATTTCAGTGTCTCATCTTACTGACCTTTATCTTTCCCACAGCAGCTGTAATTTGTAGTATAGATTGAGTAGCTTTTGCTGGTAGGTACAACAAAACAAAACCCTCATTTCCAGCAGTAGAGCAATGATTTTGAAGACTTCATAGTTTTAAGGCTGTATTAGCCACAGGGACCTTTTCTACTTCTTTTCTGCTCTTCATTGGTGAGCTAATTTAAGATGTTACTCCATCTTTTCTCAGGTGCTAAAAATAGAGGTCAATACCACTGTCCCTTCACTGAAGGTTTTCTTACTTTGTATTTGACCAGCCACAGGTAGCCAAGTGCCTCTTTTACTCTGATGAATGTGAATTCCACACATTGCTTTGTAAACAACTTTTTTTTCCTTTTTAATCCACGGGCTCTTGCATCCCCTTGAATGTGCATGTACCAAGATGTCCACCTTGGTTTGACGCACATCTAGAAGTGGTTTGAGTGATGCCAATTGCCAAAATTCCTTTTCTCAGTTTTTTAAGAGACTTTTAAGACTTGGCTATTCTTCCCAACTTGAGTAGTTCATAGGTTGTTTTTTTGAGTGTTTCTGAAAGAAATAAACATCATCTTGGGAATCAGCAATATGTAGATATTGTGACTTTGTACTTCTTTCTGATAAAAATAGCCCATTGATACTTCATGCTTTCCTGTCTGCCTTACTCCATTATCAGCCTTTTATAGCGAAGAATAAAGAAGGAAAGTGAGTAGTGACCTTAATAAACTCCTCTCCCCATTTGCTGTACAAGGAACCTGAATGATACTTTTCTAGTAAATTTAGAAAATTGGACTAAATCAGTATCACCCACAGACCCCTGGAAACATCTGAAACATCTGGAGATGTTTCCACTGGCTTGGAGACATCACAGTGCCTGCAAACACTGAGCCTGCTGCCCCTGCAGAACCTGTCTGCAGCACTGGGCTCTCTCTTGTTGCCCTCCTGTGTCTGCCCCATTTTGCAAGGCTCAGACACAAACCTGAGAGCCTTGAAGCGTCCTTGGGTCAGAAATACATGTTATGGTCAAACTTTCCTGATTTAGCCACAGTTTAGCCAACTAATTACTGGTTATTCAGTTGGATTCTTTTGTTCTGCATGGATATTTCCTTACAAATCCTATGCTAATCCAGAAATTTAGTCTCTTTCTGTGTCTGCTTGATCAGGGATGTTACAGGATTTGCCATCTTTATACCTCTAAAGGTTGCCTTTTTTTGGTCTATCATCTATGCTGGATGTGTTCTTAATTTTTTTCCAACTTGATCTTTCTGTAGGTGGTTGACTTTGCTCAAGTTCAGTTGCTTGAAAGCAAATTCCAAATATAGTCCCACTCATTTTTAAAAGCCTAGTAATGTGCTAAGGCAAGCTTGTGCTGCTCTTGCAGATCATATTTACCATATCCATCAAACACCATGGCATGGCAGTGGTCTACAGCGAGCACAGGAGGATGTTTGGATCACTGCTATCATGTTCTTAGTCTGTGGGAGAGTATCTGCAGAGTTTCTAGGCTATCTAGTACCCATGAATCACAGACAAGAGTGCTGCTCTCACTTTTTCTTGAAATCCCAGGTTAAATCCAGCTTCAAACATGTCTTGTTATTATTTAAGTAATTATTTGGGGCGTTTATCCAATTATCTTTGTACAAGTGACGGTGAGTTCTCATAATTCCTGGTGCAAGTAAATGCTGACCCACAGTTACAAGAGGTGGCCAATTAACAAGTGAAATTCTGGAACCAAGGAAATAATATTTCTCATATGTTTTGTGTTGAGGATCTTGCATATAATTAGTACCAAAAAGCTTAACTTAAGAAGCTTCATGGTCATACTGATGTTACAGCTGGAGGATGAAGCATATGAAGTGAAGCTGTGCCTGTCAGGTACTTGGCTGTGTTAAAGTCCATGGTGCAAGTGGGAGTGAAAGCAAAAGATGGAATACAATTGACTCTGATTCTCAACTCACTTTAGCCAGTGAGGTGCAGCCATCCTGTTTTTCTCTCAGTAAATAACCACATTATGAACTATATTCACTCCTAATATGCAGCACCCAGAAGTCTCACTCTGGTCTGTCCCTCAGCAGGCTCAGCTCTCTGGGAATACAAAAATGTGCAATTCCACTAGGGAGTACAGAGCCAGGGCAGGTGAGAGCCAGAGCTCTGCTCAGAGTCATGCCAATATGCTCAATTTACTTATTGGAATAACTGAGCCCCCCTGCCACCCACTGTGCCTGCTGCCATTTGGCTCAGTTGTGCTCCCTGGAGCAGGGATGAGAGCTGGCTGAGGGGAGCCAGGAGGGCAGTTCCAGCTGAAGAGACCTCCTGCAGTTTGCTCAGAAGCATCATGTGCGTCACTCAGCCAATTCTGTGCCCAGCCAGCAGCACAGAAGTGAACCCATCTGCAGATGGGTGCTATAAAAGGGCAGCAAAGGCTCTGTGGGGTGCACAGAGCTGCCTCACGAACAGAAGGGGATGGGGCTCTCCCATTGCAAAATGGGCTCCATCCCATTTTGCACCCTCTGTTGCTTTATTAGCATAGCAACAGCCAATATATTTGGTAAGTACACTTGTCCTTTTCATCTGCCTGTCCAAGGGTGACTGGTCTTTGTGCTGCTTTTTTGTTGTCCTGATGAAGTATATCATGATCTTGAGTCTTGCACGCTGCAAACGTAGCTGGTTATTGTGTGCTGTGCAAAGTAAGGCTGGGCTCCTGGTTAAATATTAAACTATAAGGATCTTTAAGTGGTCAGGCTTACTTGGGTTTGTGCACCTGGATTTTGGGTGGAAAAAAAAATGTATTCTCATGGGCTAGAGAAGGACCATAGGTAAGAAAAGGTACTGCTGCAGGGTTCTGAAGTTCCTCAATCACATCTTCTACTTGTAGGTGTCATCATCTAATTTAGGCTTGAATGTAAAGATTTTGGGTAGTCTGAGTGGTTCCCCCAGTTCTTTGGCCTGAGTTTGATAGTCCTGCACAACCAGTGATTTGAATCACTGAATAAATTAGTCATTTAACTCAGGTGTCTTGGTAGACCCTCTCTAGCACTGTACACAGGGATCTCTGCACATCCCAGAGCCAATGTTTGGAGTGAAAATGGGGAGCTTTGCCTATGTGATGTTGTCTATAGGTGAGATCACCTGAAATTTTGCAGTCCCATGAAAATTTTCATGTAGTCTTAAGGGGTCACAGTAAAAGCTCACAGAAACAGGTGTGATTGAGAAGCATTAGAAGCACACGAACCATCTGCAGCTGTAGAAGTTCTGTGAGTTGCAAATTATTTCAGGCTGAAAAGCATTCAGAATCCTTATGATGTGTTTGCACTACAGCGTGTGATCGCGCTCAGACCAAATACTGGCTTAAACAAACATTTGGACTGAATTGCTGTACCTGTGGGTTTGTTTGCTGTATTTTTATAAACTAATCTGTGGTATTAAGAACATGACATTCATCAGATTTTGAGGATGAGGAAAGTGTCAGATCAACTAATCTGCTCTGTAAAAAAGAACTTATTGAATTTCATCTTCCTACATTCTACATCTAAAACAGCAGCAAATGCTGCTTTGAATGCATTAAAAATTTGCTAGGTGGCTTCAGTAGTTGATCATTTGGCCCATTGAAAATTGAGAGCGCTCCTAATATGAGTTAGTCTGATACTACTACTAGAAATTGATTATTTTCAAATCTTTCATGAGATTTAGAAGAAATACCTCTCCTTTTGGTGAAATAGTGAGTGACTTAGCTTAAATAAAGGATAATTACTCAGAAAATGTAATGGTGTGTGTGGTTATGCAAAGGGCTCTTATGTGGTCATAGGCACAACTAACTAAAGAACCCCAAGTACCAGAAAATTATAGCCATTCCAGTACAGAACAGGGCTGAGGCTGACTAAACACAGGCCTGGGAAAGGGGTTCATGATCATCTCCACCATGTGCTCATCCTGCAGCTGGCAGAGCAGTGGGTTTGTTCAGTACCTCCCTGTGCTGTCCCACATGGAAACGCACACAGGGAGCGATGGGAAAACAGCCAGAGAGGACCCCTGACCCTGGGATATTCCCCTGCAGCCCTGGCACTAGCAGGGTTTGATAAAAATGGGTTTGTGGTTGACACCAGCCTTAGGTGTTTTATCTTCTTGCTGTTTTCAGAGTATCAGACTGATTCCCAACCACTGCGTCCATGTGAACTTCAGAGGGAAGAGGCTTTTACAGCAGGGGAAGCCTACGTTCCTCAGTGCTCAGAGGATGGCCAGTTCAGGTAATTCATCCCTGCTACTCACGTGCAGACACATGATGGGACCTTTCATTGCTAATGAAATTTTAGCTCATCTTGAAGAGCCACTGTATCAGTAGACTGGAGGATGAGAGGTGCAGGAGACTTGAAGGGACTTCCCTGAGCCATGTTGCAGATCCAAATGAACCTAAATGAATTCCCTGTTACTGGAAGTAATCTCTGGGTTAAGAGGTCAATCGAAGATTAACAGGCTAACCTTGGCCACATTATTTGCATGTCAAATACTTGGTGCAGTTTGCAGAGTGATGCAGTTTGCTGTTTTCCTACTTGTGCTCATGGGTGAATGTGTGTGCCAGCTGGCACACTCAGCCAAGTGACTGAGAACTTATCCACCCTCATTAGTGGCACAGTCAGGTTTCTTTCTAAAGGCAATGAGGGAACTAAAAAGCACACAGAGAATAGTGATTTAGAAAGCAGCATGTCAAAGGTGCAAGAAACTGACAAGATAAAGCTGAGGCTGAGTACAGATTGTAATTTCTCTGAATTTCTCAAATTTTTTTTGCATCTGGTAGCAGCTGTGACCATTCTAGATTTGACTTAGAAACTGTCTCAAAGTCTTTGGTGAATCTCAGATCATGAGAATTAGGGTTCTGTCCAACCTGCTTGCTTCCTCAACGACTTCAATTCACATATCTGCAGTTCCTGAAGAGTTCAGAGAATTACTAGAATTAAGGGTTCCCACTGATCAGAGTCAGCAGAAACTCAGCTCTTGCCAGTTCCATTATTTGTGATTTTAAAGTATTTGGTGTGGTGTGGTTTGCTTTATGGTTTTATGTCTGGTACTGACTGAGGACTCTACACACACAGAATAAAATGTTACTTGTGATCTTCTTCAGGACAGTCCAGTGCAGTAGGAATGGTCTTTCCTGTTGGTGTGTAGATGAGAATGGTGTTGAGGTTCCTGGCAGCAAACAGAATGGATATCCTATATCTTGTGAGTAAAAAGTTTCTATTTTTGCTTAGATTGAGTAAAGAACCATTTAAACCTGTGTTTGAACAGCTGAAATCAAGAAAGGGCTAGCCCCAGACTTTGGTGGACTCTAGTTTGTGGTAATTTGTTAGGTCTTTCAAGTGGAAGTTCTGGAGTTTCTTCAGGGCTTATCATGGAAACCTCATACACCTGGATGTCTGTATTTAAGAAGGTATCAGTAAGACAAATTGTGAAAGATTGATTTAATGTGATGGCTTTTGAATTGGAGAGTTTCAGCCCCATCTGTGGTGGGCTTCTCTTTACCAATTTTCATAATGTCAAGGTCCTCATGCCACCCGGGTGGCAGACTTAGAACTTGCAATTCTGAGAAAACTCAGATACTGCCTCAATAAATGATTCAGTGCCCAACAAGAACCCTCCTCTAACAGTGCCCCTCTCTGCTACTTCAGGCTTGTCCTTTTGCCAGCTGCAAAAGCAGAGGATCTTGGTGAGCCGATACATCAACAGCAGCAGCATCTCCTACATCCCTCAGTGCCTGGATTCAGGAGCTTTTGACGAGGTGCAGTGTGACACGGAGCTGGGGCAGTGCTGGTGTGTAGATCCAGAAGGAATGGAGATTTATGGCACCAGACAAAGAGGAAAGCCAGCACAGTGTAAGAAATATTCAATAAAATAATGGGTTTTGTAGGTTTGAAAAGCTTGGTGTGAATAAAGACCAATAAGATTATTGAGTCCAATTCCCTGCTTTTCATAAAAACAAGATGATTCACCTCATTGTCCCCGCCTGATGTAATGAATGTAACCCCCTTTTAACCAGCAGGGGGACCATTCAGCTGTTTGTGGGATGTAAATACACAAATAAACATTACCTCTTTTCCTCATTAGGTCCAGGGAACTGTGAGATCCGAGATCGTCGCATCCTGCATGGGTTTGGGGAGAAGAGCCCACCACAGTGCTCAGCAGACGGGGAGTTTCTGCCTGTCCAGTGCAAGTTTGTCAACACAACAGACATGAGTGTTTTTGATCTTGTTCATAGTTACAACAGGTAAGAACTCAGGCTTCTGAATCAGGAAGGTAATCCTGCATACCCCTTCAAGGTACCATCTGACTGCTTTTTTGTGATTTTTGCTACATGGAGCCCATATTCTGTAACTGCACATTATTGTTTTCTGTTAAAGAATGAACCAAGTGAAAAAACTTCTAGTTTTCTTCTAGTTTAAATCTGCTGATTAAAAAATAAATATATTCCATCCCTGCAGTCTAATTGGTGTGTCCTCACACAGTTCTGGATACCGCTTTGTGGTCTGTAGTTGGAAAAATAGGCTAATTTTGAGACAGACAGTCAACAGCAAATTAGGTAAATGCAGAAGGAACAGAGGAATTTGGATATATATATGAGGTAGGAAAGACCATTCCATATGGGAGATGAAAGCAAATGGACAAGTGATACTTGTGCAAAGAGGAAATTCCATCTGATAATGAGAACGTCTTACCTGTCTAAATATTAGGCAGTGGCAGGGTTGCTCACATGGGAGAAACAGCAAGTGATGAGCAGCTGTGCTGGTGCACAGCTGTCTTTAGGTGGTTGTAGAGGGCTGGGGAATGCTTCAGAAACCTGGATCTAATCCCTGTCTGTGGGACAGGAAGCTGTTGTCCTGTGGAGGAGCTGAGAATTAATGCTGTGATGGAGATATAAGGGCTGAGCAAGGAGAACTGATGGGAGAGGAATTTGTTTTGGCACAGATGTTCAGACTCTCCCGAGAAACCTTTCAGTGTCTGGTGAACCTCAGTTCACTGGCTTGGCACCTCAGCCAGCACCAGTTTCCCAGGTGGAAGGCAGTGCACTAAACATCTCATTGTGACTTGGCTCTGTGGCAACATTTTATAGTAAATGTCAGTTTTGCTGTTTGGAGGGGTTTCTCTTTTTTTAATTTAAGTAAAACTGAAGGGCAGGTCTGAATGCACAGTGCAAATTTGTCAGAGCTTCAGGAGAGGTTATTTTGGTGAAAGCAAAATAATGGGACTCTTTTGTATGTTGGTCTGTGGAGTGTTGAAATGCTAAAAAAGCAATTACAGTGGAGAAATCAATGCTTTAAATTGGCATTATTTTTTCCTCCCACTGGGAGATTTGCCTGCAAACACCTGTGAGATTGGATTTATTTTCTGTCCATGTCAAGTAATTAATCACAGCAGGATCATTTTAGTCCCAGCTGTCTGTCTTCTAATTATGGCATTGGCTTAACCTATTGCAATCATATCTGAGTATTTCAGGTCATTAATATATTTATTTTCACACTACTGCTGCCTGAAATGTCATTATTCCTTCCCCTAAGAGGGCAGAATGAAGAGTTGAAGGGAGGAGTTCCACAGCAAAGGATTGTAGCTGAACAGGGATTTTAACCCACGTTTTATGTTCATATGGAAACAGTGGAGAATGTTTCTACAGACTGATTTTTGAAATTTAGATATATAATCCTAACTATCTTTCCAATTAATTTCCCTAGACTTTCATAAATATTCCAGAGTAAGCCAGTATGTTAAACCCCCTTCCCCAAACAAACAAATTAGGAAACTCAGAAGTTTAGGGCGAAGACTTTCCCAAATAGAAGACTTCAAAAAAGAATGATGAGCCCAAATTTCCTGCATCACCTGCAGGGCTTGGCTGCTGTTACTTTTTTGCATGGACTGTGTCCAGGTCCTGCCTGGATTGGCAGCCATATAGAACTCCCTGTAGCAGATTGATGGGAATTCTTGAAATATCAAAAGCCAAGGAAGAATTTTTTTACTTTCTTGCTATAATCAGTAGTGAGTTGTCTTTGATGGAAGCTAAGAGCAGAGATTCATATTTTGAAAGCAAACAACTTCACATTTATTTATTTTCCTGTATTTTTGAGTGTGAGCATTCTTGTTGAAACACAGAGACATTATAAATTTATCCATAACTTAAATGTAGTCACAATTTATTTGGACTGGCTCTGAAAAATGTGTAATTATATGTTATTGCTACTCATCTTGATGGCTGTGATTAAAGAGTCTGAGAAAATAGAAAATGTGGTAAGAATTGTATTTTCCACCTAAGGTGAGAAAAGTTTTACCTTCTTGCTTGTGTGGACCTAATTTATATCTGTGATTTATTTAGCTATACTCTCAACTTGTAAAAAAATAACCAGAATGAGAAGATGTGACTACACATCTGCCCCATTTAAAATAGTGTAATTGTGTGTGTGACTTTTTAATGTTGAAAATGAAAGAAAGCAGGATGCAGAGTTTTTCCATTGAATCCTGTTTCACTCAGATTGAGGTTGAGGTGCTGAGGTGATGAACTCCAAGGACATGAGCAGTGCAGAAAAAAGATCATGGTCCTGACTGGGCAGTGGACAGCGCTTGATAATCCAGGGGAGCTGAAAGATCTTAAAATAGCCCAAGCTGTTTATGTCCATGTGCACATTGAAGACCGTAGGAATATGCTATTTATGTGTTTATACCTTAAATTATATCATTTTTATACTGGCAGAAATTCCTCTGTGCCATGAAGTGTGACATTTTGATGTCTCTCAGCATGCCAGTGCCAGCAGGGGAGCAGGATTTGACAATCCAAAGTGGAGGGAGTCAGTGAACTTTTAATTTGAAGATGTGGAAGGGTGCCAGAGCAAAGCAGCACTATACAGGGATGTACAAATTCTGAGACAGGAGCACTGCTGGGTAACACTGGGACAACCCTGTGGTTACAGCCCCTTACTCTGACAGAGGTGCTGCTGCTTTGTGCACTCCCAAGGCTGTGCTGTGATGTTCTGTGGAAGCAGAAACATCCTCTGCTCTCCTGGCAGGAGGTGGTGGTGCTCCCAGGAGTCACCTCTCCCATGAAGACAGGCTGAGAGAGTCCACCCTGGAGAAGAGAAGGCTCCTGGGAGACTTTATAGCACCTTCCAACATCTGAAGGGGGCTACAAGGGAGGTGGAGAAGGACTTTTAACAAATGCATGTAGTGTTAGGACAAAGGGGAATGGCTTTTGACTGAAAGAGGGTAGGTTTAGATTAAGATGTTAGGAAGATATTCTTTCCTGTGAGAGTGGTGAGGCACTGGCACAGGTTACATACAGAAAATGTGGATGGCCCATCCTTAGAAGTGTTGAAGGCCAAGGCTGGATGGATCCTGAGCAACTTGGAATGAGCCCCTGCCCATGACAGGGGGATGGAACTAGATATCTTTAAGGTTCATTCCAAGGAAGGAAGAATTCCAAGAGCCCAGAATGTTCTGTGATTCAGACAAAGTCTTGGAGGCAGCAAAGGCCCCTTGCTCTGCTCACCTGAGCACCAGGTCTGAGCCAGACAAGCATTTCATTGCTGTTCTCAGGTTCTGTGCTCTAGAGCGTCTCTGGGGCTGCTGGAGTGTGGCACTGAACTGAGCCTGGTCACAGTTTCTCAGGGTGGGTGTGAACTGCTTTTCCCAGTTAATCAGTGCCTAATCCATTTCTTATTGCTGAGTGTCCTAATCCACCAATTTTCTTATTACACAAAAACCTAATTTGTGTAAGTCTCTGAAGGTGTCGAGCAGAAAATTCCACTGCCCTGCTGCTAGGTTTTTCCAAATAAACCACGTGGAGCTGGGACACCAAACCTTTATAGTATTTCAGGGCAAGGGGATGTGTCTGTAAAATGATATGATTGTTTTAGAATTTAGCACTTCGAAACTAGGAAAACTTCCCTTTTGCTTGGAGAAACCCTAGGATGTCTGTCAGTTTAGAGCACATTTATTATGGATTTCCAACTTGGATCCTATTAACTTTCTTTCTTAAATAATTGCTTTGCTGGTATCTGGCTGCTGTCAGTCCTAGAATATTACACTGGAAACCATCTCTTTGATCTCCAGAAGCTGTTGCAGTCCTTCTCCCCGATGGGACCCCTCTGTCCCACCCCCCGTGGTGAGAGCCCGCTCATCTCAAGGCACAGGCGGTGGAGGGAGTCCTGGAGTGGATACAACACGGACTCAAAGTATCTAGACACAGGAGGCTCAAACTTGCTGGAGTAATCCCGGGTTTATTGTCTGTCGTCCATCCGGGGCAAGAGAGAGAGCGAAATGCTCTGGGTCTCATCTCTTATACCAGGGGGCAGGGGTGATTAGGGGATGCAGGGAGGTCACAGCCAAGGGGAAGGGGGAAGGGAAAGAAGGTTTTCAGGTAGGAACTCACATTACACAAACCAGAGGTGAGTTTTACCCTTGGGAGGTACCAAGATTTTTAGATGCACTACAACAAGAAGCCGAAGTCAGTCTTGTACATTAAAAGCCCTTTCTCCTTCTCCTCAATGTGTTGAGCCATGCCTTGAAAATGAAAGATATTAGTGAGGTTTTTATCAGCTTCTGTGCTTAAGTGCAGAAATCATACATGGCATGTAAGGAAGGGGAAGCAACCTGGTTTTTTAGGCATTCTGCCATCTCATACAGATTTGTGGAAGGAGCTAATGAATGGGTGTTGTAATAACATTAAGCCAAGGCCCATCTATTTTACACTCTGACAAGCTTCTGAAGATGACAATAGAATTGAAAGTGAATTAGATGCTGCTACATGCTTATGAAGGCTCAGAAACCTGTTTGAAGGGAGATTAACCCCTGCTTGTTTAGAAAAATGGCATTTAGGAGAGTTGCTATCCTGCTCAAACAGTGATCTGGATCATGTCAGAGCCTGGTTGCCAAAAGGAGACCAAAGTGTTTTGCACTGGCCTTGTACTCTGCAGACATCCTTCTCCCACAAAATCAGGAAGAAACAGCTGGTACTTTGTTGTGGTCAGTGGGCTTCCCTGGGCTCCACACAACACACAGAACACTACTTTTTCTTCCAGGCTCCCAAGGGCTTTCCAAAAATTTAGCTCGGTGAGGGAAACGTTCCCGGAGATCTCTGGGTACTGTTACTGTGTGGACAGCCTGGGCAGGGAGCTGGCAGACACAGGTAAGTGCCTTCCAGCATCTCATCCTTCAGTCTGGGTGGTGTTGAATTCCCAAGGGAAAGGACAAATAACAACTATCAGTCTTCAAACTCATTTGGAAGTTCAATTCCAGTCTTACAAGGGCTAAGAGCAGTGTGACCAATCTAATGCCCACAGGAAGGGCTGGAGCTCACTAATGAAATCCCACCCTGTCTAGCACAGCTTCAGCCAGCAATGAGTGGAGTTGGTGCCTGGGAGCAAATCCTGTCCTCTTTGGGATGTGGAATAGGATTTCTGAATGCCCACTTCCTGCCCACACTAGAAAGCTCTGTCATATTTGACATGTCCTATTAACAAATCTGGGGGCATATAAAGGGCCTGAAGAATTAACTCTTTTCTTCTTGCTTAGGTGGAATCATGGAATTGTTTGGGTTGGAAAAGACCTTTAAAGACATCTAGTCCAACCACTCTGCAACATCTCTCATAACCTCAGGATTTAAACATGTTAATAGTTGATGGGAAGCTGTAGAAGAAATAGTGTTCTTTTTTCAGCAAGGAGGAATGAGGAGGCTGAGAATCTCCAGACCTTCCTTAGATACTGCGGTTTTAATTTTTAACTTATTTTAAAGAGGAAAAACACAAAGCACAATAGCTTGAAATTTAGATAATAGATGAGTACTTCAGCATTTAATTCCCAGAAAAGAAAGAAGTCCTCAAAAAACCTGTGCAGTCAGAGAAGCTACTGAATGTTTTAGCTTTCAGTAAGCAACCAAAATGACTTGTAGTTGGTTTTGGTAGCATCTGTTTCCAAAATTCCATCAATTTCTATACTGCAGGCTGACCCTAACAAAACCACAGGCTATAGACAATTATGGGATGTTTCTCCTGTTTGTTTTGGTAGATGTCAAGGCAGAAAGGTGGTGCCTGGGCACCCAGCACTGGATTAGGATTGCACAGTATAACTTCACATTTTACTTGTTTAGATGACTGGATTTATTTTTCCTGAGAGTCTCCCAGCTTTTCTCCTCTGGTATAAAGGTGACTTCTTCCTTAAAAGCAGGCCCTGTGCTAAAAGTCTGTCTTTCCCAGGCTTGGAACTGCTGCTTGATGAGGTTTACGACACGGTTTTCTCCGTGCCAGAGCCTGCCCGCACGTTCACGGAGAGCAGCATCCATCGGATCCTGCAGAGGCGATTCCTGGGGATCCAGCTGGCTACCTCTGGAAAGTTCAGGTGTAAGTGACACCCAGGAGATGCCCTGTAAATCAGGTGGCAGTTCTGGAGCTTTTATGTGACAGCTGCTGTTGGGGAGAGTTGTTCTAGGAGTTTTTTTGCTCTAAAAACGTGTAATATTAGAGTTTTGATGCAAGAATCAAGGTCCCTGAATTGCAGCTGGCTTTTATCCTCTGCACTGTACATTCTTTACCAGCAGATTGTACCTGTCCTCTGATCAGTGCTTCCCCATGTGCCTGCAGATCACATTGTTTGAAATCCCATGAACTCTCTATATCTCTTCCCCTGAGATTATGGAGATGGACTTGTTGATTTATTAAATTGAAAGTCTGAGAAAATGCTCCCGAATTTATGTTGGCACACACAGAAACAGTAAGGATTTTACACTGACCACAACACACACCATTCCCAGGAGGCCACACAAGAGTTTGGCCAGCAAGGCTGAACTTTTGGATCCGCCCTTGGGCCCCATTCCTTCCCTGGTCAGGGCAGGGATATGGGGAGAGAGTTTCTCCACATACAGACAATGAACTCTGCAGGATAGGAGGTCAGGTACCTCCTCCCTCCTAGACCAGAGCCCAAACCAAACTGCCTTGGCTGGGGAGAGCTGGAATCTCCTGTGTGATATTTCATCCTCCCATCCAAAGTCCCAAACTCCTCTGGCATCGCTTTCTGACTCTTGCTAAGGAGTCACATCACCAGAAATATTAAGCAGATAGTGATGTCAGTCTTCTGGCCATATGGTCACACAGTTTTTCTGGCTTTGGGACAAGCTGATCCTTCTGGGGAGTCTTGAAGGCGCATTGCCTCTGCACTGCACGGTGGTTTTGGCTCTGTTCTGGCTGTAGCTGGGGCTGCAGCAGCTGTCAGCACAGATGGAGCTGTACCAGCCACAAGATGGAGATGTGACCTCGTTCATCAGCCACCGAGGGGATGAAGCCCTCACGCTGTCACCCAAAGCCACTCAAATTAGGGAATTTGTCAGAGTCCCCTGGATGAACAGTGCCCTCACTGCCTCACTCAGGTAGCTGGGTAGCTGGAAAGTTCTTGAAGGTGAGAAGTGTTTTTTAGGCTGACAGGTTAATATAATCAAGCAAATTTCTGTTCAGAGGGTAAAGTCCTGTATTGGACAGATCATACCCCAGAAAATTTACTTGCTGAATTTTTTGCCTTCTCTTCCTTTAAGGCCAGCTTGAAATAGTAGGGTCTAGGAAGAGTAGACCCAGAAATAGTAGAGTCTTCAGTTCCCTGCAGAAGGAAATGGAGAAGTGGGGTGGTCTCAGCCCAAATCTCCACAGTCAGGTGCAGATCTGTTTGCAGGAGCAATGCCTCATTCTCTTCAGAAACATCAATGTTTGCCTTCACATCAGTCCCCCAAGCTGTACATCTGTCTCTGATGACAACTTTGCTTTTGCACTAAGGGCTAGAGCTCCCTCAGCCTCCAGCATAATTCCCTGGGAGAAATATTCCTGATCTGCCTACTTGAAACTATGTCTGAAAAATATGTTGAGGTTTTATCTTCTGTTTAGTTTTCAGAAATTAATACCTACAGTAGGAAACCATGGGGAAAATTCTTGATGGGGAAAGAGAATGGAGAATTCCCATTTGAACTGCTACTTGATGTGTCACTGAAAACAATCAGGAAATTAAATTTTTTTCCCCCGAATTTTTTTTTTTTCTCTTCCAAATAGGCAAACAGTGGGATCAAACCGAGGTGGCTCTGAAACTTTAAACTTTCCCTGCTTAAGGCACTCTGTTTTCCCTCCAGGCCCCTCGAGGTGTGAGGCTGAGCGTTCTGCAGCGCTGCGCTTCCAGCACCCCTACGTGCCGTCCTGCTCCGCCGGCGGGGGCTACGCGCCCCTGCAGTGCCAGCAGCAGGGACAGTGCTGGTGTGTGGACACCCAGGGACAGGAGATCCCGGGCACAAGGAGGAGAGGACAGCCCCCAGCCTGTGGTATGTATGAGATTTGCCAAAGGAAAAACGAGCCCCTCACTCAGTGCCTTTAGAACAGAGCAAGTCCTTTCTGGGGTCTGACAGATTCTGCTGTTCAGAGATCCTGAAACCTCCCTACGGTTAAGAGTCATCTTCTAATAAATTACTAAATAGCATACTGCTTTTGTTTTGCTGTTACGATCTTTCTTTAACCTTTTGGTTTTGCATGCAGCAAAGCTTTTCTTTGCTGCTCTGATGTCTGGCTCCTGACTCCAGGAGCTGAGGCGGTAATATAAGGAACTGACTGGGGTAACATGAGAAACAAATGATGGTGATTTTGTGTTTTACCTTCTTCCTTTGGTGAAATGGTGTGGAATTTCATCTCCCATTCTGGCTGTGTTTTTCCAACTCTGCCACTGCATATTTTGCCATGAAAACTGCCAAATCCTGTTAAAAACCACCCAATAAACAATTCAGAAAAGGTGTATAGGTTAGGACTTTGAGAGATTCTACAGAGAATACATCATCAAATGAGTGCCCTAAATGGAAATGACAGCAGAAATGTCCAAGGGCTGGAGGGGAGGAGGAAAGTTAAAAACCTTTGCTATGAAGTGCATTACCTAAATATTCAGGATTGTGCTGGAGGGCTGAGGCACAGGGTCTTAATCTGGGGGCTGCCTTGGGGGAAGGCAATTGCTCTGTCTGTGAGACACTGCACAGCTTCCCAGGCAGCTAAAAAGGGAGGAATCTGCCCTGGGTGTCACGGCTCCAAGTGCTCAGAGTGCTCTGGGCACACATAGGCTTACTGTGAAATGAAAACTTCATGTGCCTTCAAGGCTGATCACCAAGGATATTGCAAGGGAACCTCTGAGAGGCCTTGCCATATGTTGGGAATGGTTGTTTTCTCTTTGAGTGTGCTTTGCTGAGCCCTCCTGATAATTTTTTTTTTTTGGAGGGGGTGGGGGTGAGCTGAAGAAAGGAGGGCAATGACTTCAGGCTGCTTGCAGCTTTTATTGGCAGGCTCAGGAAATTTAAGCTGGGAAAAAATTCTGCAGAGGTTTCACAGATTAACTCCTGAGAAGGTATTTCATGAGGTTACAGCTTCATGCCATGTGTGTGTCTCCAGTTCTCCTCTCTTTTACTTCGTGTTCAAAACCCATGTGGATGTGGTACTTGGGGCCTGGCAGTGCTGGGTTAATGATTGGACTCAATAACCTTACAGGTCTTTTCCAACTTTAATGATTCTGTGATTGTTTAACGTCCTTGGCTCTCACACTCAGCACTGTTAACACTGGAGGAGTCAGAGCACCAGGCAGTCCTGACAGGGACATGCTCCTTTCCAGATCTTTTACAGTAGATTCACGCCAGCAGTGCCTTTGGTGTTTATTTTTTCTTCCTCTGTTTTGATTTGATTCAACAGTGGGTAGGAGGGGAGAGTGTTTATGACCCCTGATCCTACATTTGTTTCATATTACTCTTCTTGTGGAATTGTGGCTTACACTAACTTTTCGGCCCTCTGAGGAATGTTCTTCATCCCTCTAACCAAGAGCCAACATTGAAAACAGAAGGGGCCCATCCTACAGAACGTTCTTTTACAAAAGAACTTCTGGGAAGGGACCCTGAGCTCCTGTCAGGAACTGCAGAGCATGACAAGGGTGCGAAAGCAGGAGTGAAAAAGACATCAGTCACAGAACATCAGATTACTTTTTAGCAGCTTTTTAGGTTTCCAGCTTTTATCCTTTTTTAAAACAGGATTTGTGACTGCTTTATCATATTGCTAGGTTGTGGAATAAATGGAGATGGAGTGGGGAGCCCAAGGGAGCTGGTGCTGGAGCAGACTAAAGCTGCTTATCCATCTTGTCCCCTACAGGGACAGCAGTGGTGCTGAGTGGGAAAGAGTGAGAAACATGGAAAATGCACATAACTTCCAAATATCCTCCTGCAGGTGGGAGATGCCCCAAACAGGAGGTTGAGTCCAGATCATTGTGTTCAGCCCTCCCCTATGGAGTTATCTTCCAGGGATTTGTCTAATTGCCCTCTAACCTTTGATCCTTCCTAGCACTCTGGCAACAAATTTCATGATCATGGTTATGTGCTCTACATCTGGGCTGTGAGAAATACTGAATAATAATTGTCTATTCTGATCATGTGGAGAATCCTGCTTTTTTAAAAACCTTTTCCATATTTTTTTGTCCAGGCTGAATGTTCTCTTGTACTGGAAAAGCTGTTCCATCCTCAAAATATTTTTCCCCCCCTTCTCTATAGTTCTGCTACTTTTTCCTCCCTTCTCTTTTTCAAGGACAGGTAACTGTGTGGCATGTGAGTTAAGCTGCTGTGTGCATTCCAGAGATGCAGTCAGTGCCATAACTATCCTGTCTGTCTGATTCTTGGTGTCTTTATATTTAGTAATTCTTTCCTTTTTTGCTGTCTTCTGAGCCCTAAGCTCACTGATGTGTTGCATCCTTACTTGGAGCTGTTGCTGCCTGTGTATCAGTGTACAGATGGGGCTGGATGCAGCTACCCCTGTGACACAGGTTAGCCCAGGATATGGGTGCCCAGGGCCACTGTTGGTACTCTCAATATGCTGACATTTGACTATTTTTGTTGAAACTCTATATTTTTTCCCTTAGAGCTCATTCATGAATGCCATCTGGTCCTTAGCACTCTATTACTGCTAACTTTGACAATCCATTTTCAAACCTCTTGCAACAAACACCTCACTATGAAACTGAAGATCTAGTTAGGAAACTTTCATAAATTCCTCATTAGTGGACATTGTTTAAAATAACTTTCTGTTCTTCCACAATTTATTTCTACTTCTTAGGTTCCCACATTTCACCTGGATCATTGGAGGTTTTTACTAGCACCAGGCATCCTACTAGAGAGCTAAAATATTTGGAAAAGACGTTTTTCATTCTTTCAGCCATGGGAACAGGGATGAGAATTTACATTGGGAAGCAACAGAACCAGTAAAAGACCACAGAACAGAGAACTCAGCAGTGGGGAAGGAATGTTTCCTTTCATTTTGGGTCTTGACTGAAGGATTGTATTTGTAGAGCATATATTTCAACTATATTTCAACTGTATATAAATATATATGTAATATAAGTATATTTCAACCTCCTTAACAATGTACATGATGCATAGTTGAGAAGCAGGTTAATCTATAATATTGTTTTTGCCCCAGTTACTTGAAAGAGAGCAATAGAATCACAAGTCCTGAAGGTTCTAAAATGTATTTTTTTTTCTTTTTTAAATCTGTCTCTAGGTGAGGAGCACTCGTGCATCTCCGAGCGGCGCCAGGCCTTGTCGAGGCTCCTTTATGGCCCTGCTGGGTACTTCAGCCAGTCCAGTTTGTTCTCCACACCAGATAAGCAGTCTGACAAAATTGATGGCTTTTCAAGAGCCTGCCCTCCCTCTTTCAAGGAGCTGTTTCTGGACTCTGGATTGTCATCCCCACTTGCACAAAGCCCATTTGCCAGCCAGACTCCTGAGCTAGAAACCACCCTTAGTGAAGCCATCACAGGGATGTTCCCATCGAGGGAACTGGCTCAGGTGGCACTGCAATTTACTGCCAATCCAAAGCGTTTCCAAGAAAACCTCTTTGGAGGAAGGTTCTTGAAGAATTTGATCCAGTTTAACTTCACTGGGGTACTTGGCACTAGTGGGAAGTACAGCATTGGCCAGTTTTTCCCACAGGTGGATGTGATGGATAATGGCCAAGGCCCTCTGGCATCAGCTGAGGCACTTTCTCTGGAGGTATCAAAGGGAAGCTCCATTTTGAGTAAACCTCTCATGGGCAGCTTTGGCCGCACAGTAACTCTGCAGGACAATCAGAATCTGATGAAATTCCTTTCTTCTGTCCTGGAACTACCAGAGTTCTTGACTTTTCTTCAACAAGTAATTTCTGTCCCCAAAAGCGTAGCTGAAGATTTAGGTGAAGTGGTGAAACTAGCTCTGGGATCCAAAGGCTGTGGTGAGGAGCCAAAGGACTTGTTTGTTCCAACATGCACCAAGGAGGGCAGGTATGAGGAAGTTCAGTGCTATGCAGGAGAGTGCTGGTGTTTGGACACTTTGGGTAAGGAGGTTCCAGGCTCAAGAATTCAGGGCAAACGCCCAAGGTGTCCCACTGAGTGTGAGAAGCAAAGGAGAAACCTGAAAAACCTGAAGCAAAGCCTGCCTGCAGGATCAGATCTCTTTATTCCCTCTTGTACTGAGGATGGAGACTTTCTGCCACTCCAGTGTTATGGGACAAATTGCTTCTGTGTCGATTTGAATGGCAAGACTATTCCAGGAATAAGGGGGAAAGCTGGAAAGCTGATGCAATGTAAGTCTTAGGGACTGGAAATTTAAAGATGCTGTGTTTTGTATTGGGATTTCATGGTTCTTTCTTCATATCTGATTACATCTGGAAATAAATGGATGACGTATGCAAATGTCTTCTAACAGGAAAGCAAGCCAGCTTTACAGTGGCAGGGGGATAGTCAGAAATACAGTGTGTGTCAGCCTTGATATCCCAAGTCCTAAAGGTGGTCAGGGTGTAGGGTGGGCACACTCAAACAGAGGAGCCTGAGATCTTGCCTGGTTACTGAATATGTCATTGGCATGTCTCTACCAGAGTGTGCAGCTGGAGTGTGTGACATCCATGATGCCCAGGAGACCTGGAGCATCCCTGGAGCTGAATGTGACCCCTGCCTAGTGAAAAAGCCCTTTTACTTCCAGACCAAGTCACCTGGGCACGGTCACTGGCTCATCTTTTCATAAGAAACAAAGATTTTCAGTGCCTTAAACTGTGGACTTGATTTAGTCTTTTTAGCTCAAGAATATATCCTAGAATTGGTAAGATACCATAGGACTCCAAACACAGGAGGGTGATTGCTTGGTTGGTTGGTTGGTACATAGGTTTCTCACAAGTCACAAAGTCAGGCCAAAATGGTGAGTTGCAAATGACTTTTGAAATCAATTTGATAGAGTATGAATTGCCTCTCCTTGCCCTTTTCTTTATGGAATATGAAGAAAGAAGGAAGCACATAGGCAGTTAATATTTGTCTTTCTAGTTTCTGTGAACTGAAAATGACACATCAACAGGGAGAGCAGACCAAGAGGAGAGCCTCCTTCTCATTTTGGGAGAAATAGCAGTGTCCAGCAGTTGAGAGTGGTGCATAGTGAGGGAGCTCCTCTGAATAGCAGTTTGCAGAAGTAGTAGGGAGTTTGTTGTAATGATCTGAATTGAGAGGGGATTGATACCCAACAACCCATTTGTAGTGCAATACAAAATAAAAAGGTTCAGAATTCTCTGGTGCTCAAAAGAAGATGAGCCCCCTTGGTTGGTTGGGTTTGTAGACCTGCTTGGTGGCAATGTGAAAGTTGGCTCTGGAGATGGCAGAAAAGGCTTCCAAACCAAACTCACTCCAGTATTTTGAGGGATGTTATTTTTTATAATCAGTAGCAATGTTCTGTAGAGTGTAGGAAGAGAGGACACAGAGTCTTAACATTCTGGTACAGTCCATGAGGTAATAAAATGAGTATTATCCCACTATTCAGATGGTTGCTTTTGCAGTGATTGGCTGAACAACAAATAACAACCTTTACCAAGTATATCTGAAAATACCTGATTGATGTAAGCAGATTCAGGAAGGCATTTAGTGGCACCTGGCCCCCCAGTAAGAACTACAAGTACCCAGTGTACTCACAAATTTTAAAAAACCATATCTATATTCATCTTGGAGGGCTCACATCCCTTTGGAAATCTTGCCCTGGTTCGTGGGACCTTAATATCGTTAAGCGATATTGTACCTTAGTAACAGGCCGGGAATCTTGTTATTATTGGGCTGAGTGGCCAAGTTTATTAGTGGTGTTTATTGTGCCAGAGGACAGGGGTATTGTATGTCTTTGGTGTGTTCAGAAGATGTGCATGTTTTTCTTTTCCCAGGCCCAAGTGCTTGCCAGGTAACAGCTGGTCAGGAGTTTCTGCGGGCTGTGAAGCTCCTGTTGTCAGATCCAAGTGCTGTGCCTCAGTTGCCCAGCCTTTACCTGCCTCAGTGTGATGCTGCAGGTGGCTGGAGGCAGGTGCAGTGCAGTGGCCCCCCTGAGCAAGCCTTCGAGTGGTACGAAAGGTGGATCGCAGAGAACAACGAGGGCAAACCCCTGCCTGTTCCTGATCTATTGAACATAATAGCTGGGTATAAAGAGGCATCCTCTGGAGACTTTTCAGCTTTTGTTAAAGCTTTGTATGCAGCTGGGCACCAGAATGTCTTCCCCACATTCTCCATGTACTCCTCCTTCACGGATCTCCCTCCTCAAGTGCTGGAAGGAAACCTGACCAGTTTATCTGAGAACATTTTGCTGGACCCATATACGTTCTGGCAGCTTCTGACTGAGCAGCTGAGCTACTACCCAGGACCCTATACTGATTTCAGTGCTCCATTAGGCCACTTTGAACTTCGTGATTGTTGGTGTGTTGACAGCAAAGGAGGCGAGCTGGAAGGAACAAAGGCAGGCGTGAACCAGGTTCCAGCATGTAAGTAACAATTTCTGGCATATAATTAGGAGTGTTTTCTGGTCTTTTATGTTATGCCCCAAGAGAGGGAGGTCCCTTCAATTGCTGTGAAGTAGCAGACAATCATTTGTCAGAAAGATCATCTGCACTGCCATTATTGCTGGATGTCTGAAGTAGGATAACTCATTTCCAGTAAATAAGTGGTGGCTGAGCTTTAGGAATAAGGAAAGATAAAGTTTGTGTAGATTTTATAATTTGGAGTTTGCACATATAATGGTTTTGCAGAAGGTACTTAGCCAGGTGGTAAAGGATATTAGAAAGTGTGAAGAGTTATATGGAAAAATCAGGATTACACTGTAATGTAAATGACTTTCAAGGATGCCTTAAAATGAAGCAAGAGGGATTTTCTTTACTGTTTTTAGTATGTGGTCAAGAGTAACAGATATTCCCCAGAAGTCACTAGGAGGAGAGTGAGGCCACCACTGAAGTTCAGTAAGCTCTCTGTCTACACACATCCTGCAACGTGCTGGGCCCTCTTTGGGGTTACTCCAGCAGATGACCTATATTATAAATGCCATCACTGAAATTGTTCTCATCACATAGTATTTTTCCAGCTGTGAAGAAGAGACAGCACAATGAACTGGTAGAGATTCTAGTTGTGTGGGCAAGTGAGGAATAAAGGGGATGAAGCAGATTAACAGAGTTATTTTGTAGGAGCAGCTTTTGTGGAGCTGGTTCAGTGCTATGAACTGCCCTTTCTGGGTCAGTAGATGTATGGAGGGGACAGGCTGCCACTTCAGACCCAAAGGATATACCTTCATTTTCCTTTCTGACTCTCACTTCTGATTATCCACCTTTTTTTGTGGCAGCAATGAGGGAATGTTCTGTAGAGATGTATTGATTCAGATTGTAACCGGTAAGTAATTTAAAACATGGAGTCTTTGACCCAGGACATGGAGAATGTTTGTGTGACTTGTGGCACTCTTAGACTCTTGTTAAAGAGCTAAGCACTGACAAGTCTCCTTTGCTTCATTATGCAATTCTACACTGATTTCAGAGGGAAAAAAACAATGCTAATTAAAAGACCAGTTAGTTTTCACATGCAAATATTTGCTTGATTTAGATGAAAGCTGTTAATATACTCTCCATATATATGCTTTTTTATACAGGCCCTGGTATATGTGAAGGTGTGAAGCAACAGGCCATGAAATTTGTGGAGGATGCAGAGCAGCTCATCCTGGCCTCAAATGGGTCCCAGTTTGCCTTTGGAGAGAGCTTCTTGCTGGCAAAGGGGATACAGCTGATGGACAGTGAGCTCCTGCGCTCTGCTGGGCCCTACGGGCTGGAGACAGGCATCTCCCAAAAGCTGCTGCTGGGAAGTGACTCTGCTCTTCAGCTGGCTGCTTGGTCAGGTGGGTGGAAGGGAGAGGAGGGCTGAATTAAATGAATTCTGAATTGCCCAGAATCTGTGCAAGAACACTTGGTGTCAAATGCAACTTTGCTGAAAAGCAGGTGCCACTCAGCAGGTGTAATTAATCAGGGTCATTAAGCTGCCACTCCAAGAACTGATTTCAGTTGTTTCATATGTATGAGACAATGCAAATGTAAAATCTGGGCATTAACCAGCCTTTATGTACTTAAATTTATTTATTAATTTGTCTTCTGATGCACAGGAAATATTCAGATTTTTTCAAATATGTGCATTTAATGTATCCTGTGTTGGGCACTAGAAGCTTTCTTTTACTTCTCTTTTATAGTCCTGCAGTTCTACTGGCAGAGTCACTTTACATCAAAACGTTCTGCTGGGGAAGCAGCACAGCTGGGATTTCTCCCTTACATCCCTCAGTGTGATGGCCTGGGAAACTGGGAGCCAACTCAGTGCTATCAGAGCACAGGTGAGCAATTTCTATCAAGACACTCTGGGCTATCTAAACAAAAAAAAAAAAAAACCCAAACCCAAACAAGATAAAAAATCCCCTAAGAATTCTAAATAAAAGATAGAAATCCAGTAGTAGTCAGACCGGAGGAAGGTGATGTGGTCTACAAGATGTGTGTAAATTGGCTGGACTCAGATGGCAGCTCATTGGGGTTCAAAAATCAGTAGATATTTGGTTGCTTGCTGATAATTGTGTTCTTTGGGAGTTGGTACCAGGGGCTGGTATTGCTTAATGCTTTCACCCATGACCATGATGATGGTGGAGCACACCCTCAGCAAGTTTGTGGATGATGCCAAATTTCTGGGAGTAGGTGACAGGGCTGCAGTGGGGGAGTCTCACCAGAGCTGCTGCATTTCCATTTACACCACTGCTCTCAGGTGTGGTCTGCTTACCCCTGGATAGCAGAGTTACCTGTGACTTGGATTTACTGACCCCTTTCTGTGGAGCTGCTGAGGGTGAAAATCTTCCTAGTATGCAACATCTAAAATAAAGCTGCTTTTCTTCCCCGGCCAGGTCATTGCTGGTGTGTGAATGAGAGAGGTCGTTATGTGATGGATTCCTTGGTCTCACGCTCAGCAGAACTTCCCAAATGTCAGTTGGGTTTCCTTCCTAAATATTTGTCTTTACCTGTTCTTGCAAATTTTAATATCTATTGGAAATTCTAATATGATATGCATGAAGTAAGGCTTGCTTCTAACCATTGCAAGAAAAGTGAAAATATATTCATATTTTGCTAATGAATTTAATTTCACTGTGTGTGATTTTGGCTTGCATGATTTGAGAGTGGACCCTCTACTGTTGGCAGCCCTGCCTGAGAGGGGGACCGGACCAGTTATCCAACCAGGAATCTCCAGAGGTCCCTTCCAACCTCAGCTGTGATTTTATCAAACACCAATCAGGAATTCCCTGCCTGAGACTGTAGCAGTGCCTAATGCAGAAGTGTGAGGGAACTAGTGATGTAACTCTTTCTCTTGCTTAGGTCTGAAACTTGATTTCATTTAAAAAATGTTTTCTCTCTGACAGGCCAGACTTCATGTCAGCAATCTCGAGCCAATGCCCTAATTTCCAGCTGGAGACAGAGCAGTGCAAAGCTGGACACCTCTACAGCTGATCTGTTCATCCCCAACTGCCTTGAGGTGATTTGACATGGCTGAGGGAGGAGGCAGTTTTACCATGCCACAGTCACGTACACTTTCTGTCCAGGCTCCTGAAGTGCACTTCTATTAACCTGAAAGAAAAGACAAAACTAACAGCTGGTGTTGCCCTGCAGAAGGCAGAATTTAAATATTTTTGAGATGGAGAGTGGGAATAGGAAGCTCTGTGCCTGCCCACACCTCCCTCCCACAGGCTGGCTCTGCCTGGTGCTCTTGCAGAGCAGTGATTAAAAGGCACATCTTAATTGAATGACATTTGGGGGGCTCTTCCTTCCTAAGCTGTGAGAGAATGTCAGTGTGAGAGAGAGCTGGTTGCAGATGTCCCAGAGAAACAGGGTCTGTGATGCTCTCAAAATGTGGCAGTGAGCAGGATAAAGACAGGCAAGGAATTATGTCATGTAATAGAATCATTACCATATAAATAATCATATTTTATAATATAAATCATGTAATCCTTTAGGTTGGAAAACACTGCAAAGATCAAGTCCAACTGTTACCCCAGCATTGCTGAGTCCACCACTGAATTTAAGCACCACATCTACACATTTTTTGAACACATTTCAAACTAGGATTTTATCAGAGCTTTATCTCAGTGGACTTAGTCTACAGCCTTCTTAATGTTTTGACTCAGTGATCTTAGAGGTCTTTTCCAACATAAATGCTTCTTGATTCTCTCAAGGACTAGTCTATCAAATTAGTTATGCTGTATTTTGTGTTTCTTTTCAATATGTTTTAATAATGCACAGGTGTAAATATAATAAAACATTTTAAGCAACCCTTGGGGTATGGATTTTGGTGTGTCTGTATTAAAATACATTGCTCTGCAATGACAGGTCCTTGATTCTTTGTAGACAGGAGAATACACTGTGCTGCAGAGATCTGACACAGATATTTGGTGTGTGGATCCTGTGTCAGGAGAAATATTCCAGCGTGGCAGCAGAGGCTTGGATGGCAATCCTGAGTGTGAGTAATGCTTTGCCCCCTGCCTGTGATGACTCATGCTGTTCCTTTTCAGAATGCTGCCTGTGAAACATGGGAGGCTCATAGTTTAATTCCTCAGTGATAGGGTACAAACTCAGCAACACTGAAAGGGTATCTGAAAATAATTACCCTTTACTTTCAGAACAGCAGAAATAAAACAGTCTAGACAAACTTATGAATGTGTTTCTATGCATTTTTTAATCTTTGATTTCTTACCACCATTTAAACTAATTAAAAATATAAATGATCATATCACTACTTTTAAAATTACCTTGATCAAAAATTTTTACTAAAAGCTAAATTTTTACTAACTTGATTTTTTTTTGCCTCCTAAATATCAGTCTCTAAATGATACACCATCACATTTGTAACAACAACAACAACAACAAAAGATATAAATGAAAAATAAATAACAGCATTTTTTCAACTATTTTTCTAAAGGAGTATCACTTGTATTTTAATCTTTAGAAAAAAATGTGGGTCTTTTTCTAGTAGAAGTAATTTCTAGATTCTACAATTCTGAATTCTAGAAGAAGCTCATTTCTATAATGAAGCAAATAATTTGTTTTCTTGGTCACTCTTCTTTCTTCCTACCAAGAAAACAGTCTGGAAGCACTGCTGGTAAAGTCTTTAGGTCAATTTGTTGCCTTCTATTCTGTGTGTTGCAAGGAATCTGTCTGTTTGCAGGTCCCAGTGTCTGTACCATGCTGAAGTCCAGAGCAGTCTCAGGAGCAGCTGGCAGAGGCTACGTGCCCCAGTGTGCAGGGGACAAGGGGGGTTTCTCCCCTGTGCAGTGCAGCCAGGACCAGGAGAGCTGCTGGTGCGTCTTGGGCAATGGAGAGGAGGTGCCAGGGACACGAGTGAATGGGGGAACACCGAAATGTGCAAGTGAGTCCTGCTTCAGGGCTTTCACTCCTGAGCAAATCCAGGCCTGAGATTTAACCCAGATCCTAAATTCTTCCACTCCCTAGTCGAATTTAATCTTATTTCTTCAGACCTTTAGAGATGTTTGCTCAAGCAACATGCTTATCTTTGTGTTGTAGCAGATTTCAGACCTGCCTGGGCATGCTGTCCAGTTTTCTTCAGGTGTTTTGTGAGGGGGAAAAAAGGAGAAGAGAATAGATCCTTGATTTTTCCCAATTCATAAAATTGGTTGAATCAAACCATTTGAGCTATGAAACCCAGCTATAAGGCCAATCTGAACAACTTGCTGCAAACTTGAACCTGCTCCAGTCTGAGCTGGCTCTGGGATTAAAACCCATTCAGCTGACTAAAATAAAATTTGAAAAATGTATGCTTCTGCCACTCTGGCTTTTGGCTTGTGACCAGAATTGTGAAAAAGATGTGCCAAAACATTGCATATTCACAGAGTATTTCCTGAATGACCAGAGCTGTGAAGCACTGGAATTCACTCATGGTTTCCAGTGAGATATCCAATGGGAGACATTTGGATAAATTTAATTTGCAATGTCCTTTATGCATTTTCCCACCACTGAAGTGAAGCAAAATTAATTAAACTTTCTACAAGGCTTTGTTCCAAAATGTAATGATTAGTGGAAAGCAGAGATGTAAAAAGAAAACCTTCAACAGTTGTCTGCAGGACACTGCTGTTTTCATAGTTTTTTTTTTTTTTCTGATTTTTTTTTTGATTGTTTGTTTTGGGGGAGAAGAGTTGGAAAAATGTTGGGGAAATGAGACCACATAATTTGCTTCAGTTTCCTTTTGTGATTCTGCTGTACAAAGATCAACACAAGCTTGTGCTCACTGACCAAATAGAAGATGTGACACTTGAGGACAGGGGTTAGTGGAGGAGCTGATAGTGCTGGGCTCAATGACCTTACAGGTCATTTCAAACTTAATGATTCTACAATTCTCTTGTAAAACACCTGAATGTGTCAACCCAATTGCCTGCAAGGTTTTTATCAACTAGGTAGCTGCTCAGCCAACTTGGGAATTTCTTTGGGCTCTCTTGTATCAATAGAGAGTTCTGAGGGTGGGGTTTTATGAGGCCAGGAGACCCCATGGCTGTATCTGCCCCATGCTTGTGGTGTGGTGTGGAGATGCCAACTGAGCTCTGAGGAGATGAGCTCCAAAGCAGGGTGGTGTAGTTCCCTGAACCTGGCCATCCAAGGCAGGTCTTTAGCTCTTCAGAGAAGCAGAGCTGCCCACAAATACAGTGCTGCTGCCATTCTGTACTTTACCTTGAGAAAATAGTGAATAATAGTGGTGATTGACCTTTCTTTTTTAAAATCCTGAGCTGAGAAGAACTGCCTTGAAAGTGTAGTGGGGACCTGGTTTTTCTGAGAGCTATTTGTTATTTTCTGCATAAAGATCAAAATAATCTTTAATTGTTTCCCTGGATTTTGAAAGAGCAATGAAAGTTTTCATGATATACAACTTAGTTACTGTGTAAAAATAAAGAATCAAAAGTTAGTTTTCTTCTCAGTCTACTCAACCTCATGCCTCTAGTCCTGGGAATTACTAATAATTGTTCAGGAAAAAGGAGTACTATATTGCTACCTTGGAGATCTTGTCTCTCAGCAAAATAAGCTGTTGTGGTGGGAAAATATGATAAATTTCTCCTCCAGCATCAGAACAAACAGCTGTAAACCGAAAGTAATAACTCAGAGTGCCCAGTACATGCCAGGAGGTTTTCATTAGTTTAATCACTTCCATCAGAGGTAGAATCCAACTTTTTCTAGCTGACATGCGCTGGAGAGACGATGCCAAGTACCCTAGCAGTCCTCACATGCTTCTCCCCTCCTCATGCCCACATCCCATAACTGAGTAGAGACAGAAGAGAGACAGGTTTCCAGAGAAGGTCCTGGAGATATTAATTTCCTTGTGAAAAATCTGTGGAAACACCTATGAAAGAAGTTTAATGGCCAGGATAAGTATTACAATCTCTTTAACAGAGCTATATTCTGGTGCTAAAACCTTGGGAGATGTATCAGAGGTTTGTTAAGCACAAGTGCCAGGTTTCCACCTTTACTGAGAGAGTCTGGCTCCAGAGTCAATGAGTGAAGAGAAGGAATGTAGTGGCCCCATTTATTGAGTTATTGCAAAAAAGTTGCTGTAAAGCAGACTTGGATAAAAATATGCATTTGGCAATTCAGAGAGGCAGATATGAAAGGTTTTTTGTTGGCATTGAAATGCTCAGAGTTGGAAAACAAAGATGTTCTGCACACACTGGATCCCAGATTCATCCTGCAATGTTTTAGTACTTTAACTGAAAGTTTAATACAAGGTTTTTAATACTTTAAATTAAGTGTCTGCTTAGTTATGGTATTAATCTTCATATCTCCATCAGAAGGGGAGAGGGAGGGTGCTCAGACCTGAACCACCATCAATATTTGCCTCCCTTCAATAAATGGGAAGTTTAGAACTGATATGAGCATTGTAGTTTGGAAAATGATCTATATATACACCAAGCAAGTGAATTGTATGATATGATAACATCTTTTTCTTTGTAATTATTTATAAGTGAGGAAGTTGGTTTTTTTTGTTCCTATGTTTCATAGTTCTGGAACTCCTAAGTATTTAACTATTGCTGGATATATTTAATAATTAAGTTGGGATTTGGCTAATATTGAGTGAAGCAGTTGGCTTGTACTGATAAGTAAAAATTAATTATCACTGTAATTAATCTGTATAATAGTCTGTTAGAGTGGGCTAGCAGGGTTTGAATGACTGTATTCATACAGAGTGAATTGATAGGGAAAGTTGTGCTCCATCCAACTCTAAAGCTGTATACTACTGTTTATTACTGTTTATTTATATATATGTATAATATATAATATACATATATATATAATATATTTATATATAATGCATATTCTGCCCTACTGGTCACTAGAAGCATCATGGTGCTGCTGAAGGCACCACAGTCATGGGTTCCTGATCTCAAACCTTTCAAACTTCAGTCTAAAGGGAACTGAAATAGGTTTGTTTGGCCTTGCCTGTTTCCACTAGATATCTTCTGTAAAGGTTTGTTCTGCTGTGGGTTAGAAATCTCCTTCTCATTTCCCGCTTAAATTTATTCATGACTGTTCAAAATGTATCTGTTCCTAGAAACCACGCACGTCCCTTTCTGCACCTGATGCATTGCCCATCACCTTCCATCAGCTTCAGTAAACTGAACCAAGCTGACCTCAAACCAGATCAAAGTTGATGAGTGGGAAAGGCTCAGGGTGCTGTCTAGATTTGAATCTGTAGATATGAGGGGTTTATGGACTTTATCCTAGAAGCCAACATAGGATGTCCCTAACACGTATACCCTTTCTCCCCTGCCTGCAGGTCCGCAGTGTGCTCTGCCATTTGGTGCCTCAGCAGTTGCCAATGGGGCTGTACTTTGTGAAAACGTCCCTGGGCAAGCTCCAAGCATCCAGCAGTGCCAGCTCATGTGTCGCCAGGGCTTCCACAGTGCCACTCCCAACACCTCATTCCAGTGTGACACGCGGCAGCGGCGCTGGGTCTCGGCTGCCCCTCTGCTCCAGGCCTGCCAGAGTATGTCTGACCTGACCTGATCTGACCTGACCTGATCTGATCTGATCTGATCTGCTGGGGCTTGGGGAGGGCTCAGAGTAATGTAAACAGTGCAAAAATCATCTTTTATCACAGAACTACAGTGAGAATAACAGCCATAGTTATAGGGGTGCTGCTAAGCTGAGGTGCAGAAGATGTGTTCTGTCCTCTGCCATCTTCACCTCTGGCTCTTGGCTGGCCCCGGTGCCAGAAACTGTCCCTCTTGACTGTAATAATAGAGCTATAAATAGCTATTCAATCTATATGGAGATTTTTCTTGTTAGTTAAAAGATGCTGGCACCGTAAGTGATTCTGATGGAACTACTTAGTCCTGGAAGAACAGATGAGCACCAGATGTTTGAATTTGGCACAACTTGACTGTTTATTTGCATAATCAAGTCACTGTTACTTCTGCATCTTTTTTGCAGCAGTCTGTTCTTAAGGATTATTGTTGTATTTGTTGGCTGACTTCTGGTATTTTTCAAACCATTTTGCTTTCAAGAAAAAAATGGCACTTTAAATCTTGGAAGAATTTGATGTCCAATTTGATGTCCATTCAGAGCTCATGCAAATGGATATTAATGTTGGTCTTTTCAATTATTTTAAAAAATACATATATTCTGATCAAAATAGCAATTTGTAGCAGTGCTGAACTTTGAGAAATGCAGGTTTTCCTGCCAAGTTTGCAGCTACTTTTCATTTCCAGAATTGGTTACACCCATTAGTCAGTCTTCAGAATGGGTTAAACTCTTCTATTCCAAACTCTAATATTTTTAAACCTTCAATTTCAGACTGGAACTTTTGTCTGTTTCTGATTGTGTTTGTGAGGTTTCTGTAGCATGGTATGAAATAACTTTCATGTTTGCCTGATGGCAGTGGAATTACTTTGTAGGGACAGAGGACAGTGTGTGGCAATCTGCTGTAAAGTTTACTGTAAGCCAAGGACTTCCCCCAGTAATTTGTGTTTGGAATGGAGCATGGTTTTAAGGAGAAATAAAAAATTTCCAACCATTGGAAGGCAATTGAACAAACTTCACAATAATGGAGAATTCACCAAAACACTTAGTAATTTGTTCCAATGGACAATTACTATCACTCTCAAAGATCATATTTCCTGTTCTTTATGTATATATCTAGAGACTGTGGCTAAATCAGCTCTTTAATACTCTCTGGAAAACTGAGCAGAGAGAGGGCTTTGTGCCTTGCAGGAAGAAGCAGGGGTTTGTGTCCTCTGGTCCTGGCTGCCATTCTCCTTGGGTGCTCTCCAGGCTTCCTCATGCTCATTTTTGGGGTGAGGGATGAGGAACTGTTCTCCAGCAGTGACACTTGTCTGTGATGCAGGGAGGGCCTGCAGAGGAGCTGAATGAGGGAGAGTTCTGCTGCTTGTCCAGCCTGGTGGGATAAGAGCCAGCTCCATTTGGAGGTAGAATGACAGCAAAACTGCTGAACCTGGGATAACAAACCTTCCATGAAGCCTGGGATCAGTGTTACTCCAAGGGAGACAAGAAATACGCATATTTTTTTCTTGCTAAAAGCTGATTAAATAGATTTTGATTTTCTGACTGATGAGCTCACAGATTTTGTCATCAATTTGTGTGATTAGCTTCACTTGAGTTCGCTGTCAAAAGCTCAGACAGATCTTGTGGATGTCCATGGTAATGTCATTATTCTGCAAATTTATTCTCTTCTAAAACTCATTCCCAGTTAGTTTGACAAGCTGGGTTTCCAGAAGCCCATTTACATTAGTATTAATTTCTTTCACCATTAAATTACTTTTTTAATAGAAGTGTTTTCATGATTGCATGTAAGAAAAGTGAAAATTCTTGTCTTTCTTTTCTAAGTATTGGCATAATATCTGCTTTCAGGTAATTCTCTGGAACTTATAATTTGCTAAGGCTTATGAAAAATTATCAGTTATGATCCAGATTGTCCTTATCCATCTGTGACTTAGTGCTCCAGTGTAAAATATCTCTTCATTATTATCTATCACTTGTTTTTTTCTCTAATGCAAAATATTTATATTTATCAAGCTTGTGTCTTGCTGCTTGTTATTTACTGACAACTCTACTGCCTTCATCTAAAAGGGGGAGATACTTTTGATGCGACATGAAATGCCAAATCAATGTTGTCTTTTCTCAAAGTAACTCTGGAGGTCAGGCTCCTCATCAGTGAGGTTACTAAATGCCATCTCTACTTCATTTTTAGAGCTCCAATTATTTCAGACAGTCCAAGCTCAAACACACTTTCAACTACGCCTGCCTCCTGAGAAGACATGCAGTTCTGACTACTCTGGATTACTCCAGGCATTCCAGATTTTTATTTTAGATGAATTGAAGGCTCGTGGTTTATGTCACCTCCAGGTAATTTAAATTCCTTATCTTCCATTATCGGTGGATTTTGTTGGTTTGGTTTGGTTTGGTTTTCTTTGGTTGGGCTCTGTGTCACATCAAAAATTAAAAAAAGTGAGACACAGCATAGACCTTTGTCTGTTTGAGAAATGTGGAAGAATGGAATATGCCACAAAATCTGTCAGGATTGGCAGCTATCTCATATGGATGAGTGGGAAAATAAGAGGTTTAGTCTCACACCACATCATCAGATCAGTTTAGTTCCAGTCATAAAAGTCATATCACACTGGCCCAATATTTGTTAAAAATTAGTTTCAATGGGAGAGAATATTTTGACTCTGCTTACAGTGAGCATATGGCTTACTGAAATTCTATTTTCTTGCTTCTGGTTGTGCAGCCCCTTTTGACAGTGTTACTTTGAGTATAGTACAGTGCAAATGATTAGGGCAAGGCAAGAACAAGGAAGTCCTCAGGTTGACTAACTGTGATTTCATTTAATTCTGAATTCAAGGTAAATGCATTTGGAAAAACTGGCTCAGTTTCCATGTGTGACGATTCCACTGTTTATGTCGAATGCCTGAGCGTGGATCGCCTGGGAGTGAACATCACCTGGAGGACTCAGCTGGAAAACATCCCAACAGCTTCTCTCCCTGACTTACATGATATTGGTAACTTTTATTTCTCTGATGTTTCTGTGGCTTAAACCTGATTTTCTTTTAATCATTTTGTTTCCATCTTTATAACACTAGCATTGTGTTTTTGAGCTTTTAGTGTTGATATATTTCCCTTCTCAGGCTGTGGCCACACAGGGGAAAGAAGCTATAATTAAATGTTTCTTTCAGATAGGACTGCCTCTCCCAGCTGCTGTAACTAGGATTGAAAATTACTTTATTGGGCATGATCTGAACTTTATTGGGCATGAACATGTCCCAGATGTTAATTTCCATTAGATAAGTCCTCAGTGGCGGAAAAGTGATTTTATTCATTGTATTCAGAGAAACACAATTCACACATTGTCAAAAACTTAACTGATTTCTTCCAATTTATTTTTTGACTTTTTTTTTGCCCTTTTCCCTTTTTTTCTATTAGTTGCATTATCTTTGACACTAAAGAATGATCCTTACTTCTGACATCCTAGAGCAACTATACAGAGACTGCTGACTGGCAGATGTTTACTGTGGTTTCCACAAGAGTTAGGGATGGTATAAGGAACTTCTTCTAAAGCAGTCAGTATTTTCCTTCAAAATAAAAGGTATTAAGAATATATCCCAAGTTCAAATGCCCTCTGTAGGCACATGAAGAATAGTGGCCTATATCAAGAATTGTGTGGCCAGCAGGACCAGGGCTGTGACTGTCCCCCATACTCAGCACTGGTGAATGCTGAATCTTGAATCCTGTGTTCATTTTCAGACCCCTCACTTCAAAAAGGACATTGAGGTTCTAGAATGTGTCCAGAGAAGGGCAATGGAGCTGGGGAAGGGTGTGGAGCTCAAGTCTGATGCAGAGCAGTTGAGGGAGCTGGGGCTGTTTAGCCTGGAGAAAAGAGGAGATTGTTTTGCTCTCTACAGCTGCCTGAAGGGCGGTGGGGATCATTCCCTTCTCCCAGGTCTCAAGTGACAGAACAAGAGGAAATGGGCTCAGGGTGTCCCAGGGGAGGTTCAGATTAGATATTAGAAATGTTTTCATTGACAGAATGGTCAGGCATTAGAATAACCTGGCCAGGCAAGTGGTGGAGCCATGGGCAATGTTCAGGGGGAATCTGGATGTGTCACTTGAGGATCTCATGTAGGGGTGATTATGCTGCTGCTGGGTTGGTGGTTGGACTAGATTATCTTGCAGGTCTCTCCCAACCTTGGTGATTCTGTGTGACTTTTCTCCAGTTTTACTGCTTTGAAATAGTGTTCCCAGCACTAAACAGAAACAGCTCTGCCTGCATGTGTCCTTCTAACTTTGGGGCTTGGAGATACGTGTCCTACAGCAATTCTGCTTGGTCAGAACTGAATTCAAAGTCCTTCAGGACACAGATGGCAGCTGCAGTGGTCCTGTAGTTCCTGGCAATAGAATTTGATATTGTTTACATCCATTCAGTTGTTCTATATTCTAAGGGGAACACAAACCACAGAATGACAGAATGGTTTGGTTAGGACAGGAGCTTTAAAGGTCACCTAGTCCAACACCCCTGCCATGAGCAGTGACATCTTCAACTCATCTGGGTTCCTCAGAGTCACTTCCAATTTGACCTTGAACATTTTCAGGGGAGGGGCACCTACTGCCTCCCTGGGCAACTTGGTAAAGTGTTTCACCACCATCAGTGTAAAAAACTTCCTCCTTATATCTAATCTAAATATATTTAATCTGATAATCTGATATATTTTATCCAATATTCCATTGCCCCTGTGAATATTCAAGAAGTTTGAAGAAAGTGAATCAAAGTAGAAATGTGTTTGGTTTTATATTCAAGTTTTCTTTTGAAAGGGTTTCTCTTGGAAGGCATTGCCTTTTTGACCCTTCCCACACTATAAATTCCCTGTAGTACAAAAGTTGCTTTATGTGGGAATGCTTGGATGGTTTCAGAGCAGAAACTGCTCTCTTTGTATAATGTAAATTGTCCCATTATGTTCCACCTTCCATTGCCTGCTAAGGCAGCTTTGGGGCCTTCTGTTTGAGGTGTCTTTGGGTGCATTTAAACAGGGTGAGTTAAGTAAGGCTATAATTTTATAGATGCTGTACAGATTCATTATGGTCTCCTGTTCATTAACATGCTTGTATTTCTGCATCTGCCTCTGTTTTTAACTTCATCAGTTTCTGTGTGGTTATCCATTCCTGTGTTATGGAAATGTCTTTCATGCTATTTTGTTCTATTTTTTTTTCCCTCTTTAGAAAATGCAATTGTTGGGGAAAATCTCATTGGAGCATTTATAAATGAGATTAAGGATGGTGTTTTTCTGCTGCATTTGGATTCCAAGCAGTTCCTAGCAGATTCTGTCATTGATTTTCCCCGGGATGAAGAGTTTGATCTGTCTCCCCATGTGCAGCTCGGATGCAGAAGTGGGTTTCAAAGAATTTCATCTCCTGGGAAAGCAGGCCCTAATTCACAAGGATGTGGTATGTCTCATTTCTAACTTTCCATTCTTAGATGTTGTCAGGAGTCAGTATAAAGCTGAAATTAGAAAGTCATCAGTGACCTTGTGTGTAAGGTTCATATTTGAAAGGTGTGAGGCACTGATGTGAATAGGAGAGATGGGAATTAGTGCTTTGTTTACTATTCAGTGCTTGTGAACCAATGATTTGGAAATAGACATCATGGCACTGGCATTGTATAGAAAGTTTTTTAAACATTTTTGAGATTTTTGTTAGCATTTTAGATCTGTCTGGTAATAGAAGGTCTTTCTGTAATGCATGTGGTCATTAATAAGAAGATTTCACAAAGAGAATGTAGCCAGAGCTTCAGATAATGATGGATTACCTGGAATAGAAACCTAGATGAAGAAATACCAAAAGTCCTGACATTGTGAATTCCTGGTCCAAGTCCAGCCAGCTCAGATGGAAGATTTTTTGGTGCTGGCCAACACCCAGACCTAACTGCACTTCTGCTCTCTTTTCTTCTTCTTTCCTTCTGTTTAGTCTGCTTCCCTGGAACAGGCTCCCTTTCTGCCAGCATCCTGCTTAGGGCTGCCAAACCTGCCTTTTCCAGAGCTCCCTGTGGCTGTGCCAAGCTGTCCTTGGTACCAGGTCACGCTGCCAAAGTGCCTTTGCCTTAAGAGCCCCACTCCTGTTTCTGTCAACACCAGCCTTCCTTCAGATCCTGGTTGTTCTTGTTGGCCCAGTTGTGCTCAATGAGTCCATGTCTCATTTATGGAGTTTGGGAGGTATTCACTATATCTAGCCTTTTTTTTCTCCAGGGAATAGAGGAGAGATACTTGTAGGTATAAGGTAACAGAAGCAGGTGTTGGATAAATTTTCCAGTGTTGGGAACATCTTCAAATCTTCATCGTTATGAAGCAAATTTCATCACTTCACCATTATGAAGCAAATCAGAATATGTGAAAAAAACTTATCTCACTACTTGGTGTGAGGTTTCTCTTTAAGTCCAGAGAGTTTCCTAATGCCTGGGTTAGGTACTCAGGTGATGAACCACTTTTGAACTGCTGCAGTTTCCAGCTTGGATCTATAAGGGTAAATTGGCTGCAGGTTCAGTTCATCTCCAGTCTGAAACACTTCAGATCTGGGTTATTTAAACATATGCAGAAAAAAAAATTAATTCCTGCTGAGTCCAGAGTCCATAACAACTTGCAGCTACTTAACAAGATGTAGTGTTGTGTTGCTTAAAGGTATCATTATTTTTTAAGTAGAATCCATCCCTTAGAGCAGAACTTACAAAGAACTGGATCTTTCTGCTGAGTACTGCCTCCAGGCATAAAGGCCTCTAGGAAGCAGTGAATTAACTTGCCTTGTGAGTTAATTCATACATATTTGAACCAGCTAGCTGTGGAAAATGTCACTCAGTGACATCATCAAACAGACAAACAGACATCATAGATATGTGGAAAGGAGACAGTTTCTGCTGCAGATTTGACAGAGATTTCATAATCTAAGCTGTCATAGGTACCTGCTGCTAGACACTGGTTTGTGTTGCAGGACTGCTTATTTTATTCTGAACGGAAAACTGAGGAATTCAGGTTATGGTTCTTCTAATATATATGGATATATCCTACTCATTCATCCTGTTTAGGTCTGTTTCCCCACTAATAATAGGAATAGTAAGGAGCATCACCTGTGATTACAGATGACAAAGTTATTTGAGGGTGGCAGAGATTCTTTATTCTCTTCTCTTTCCTCTTCTGCCTTGTTCTTGAAATACAAATTGTGTTTTCAGATCCTGATCTTTTTTTTTATTGTTTTGGTTTTATTTCACTGTCAATGTCATTGCTTTTCCTTCAGGAAGCATGGTCAGCTCAGTAACAACAGGTTTCTGATGTTGTCAATACTTAATATATTCACCTATGAAATGCAACCTTATACAAGCCTCTTCATCTCTTGTATTTTCCTTACAGTCCTCTGTTTATTTAGGTTTGCATCTATTGTCGTGTTGTTTCATGCTTTCCTGCCTGTAAAATGGGTAACATTTATCATATGTTAGTTTTTCTTATACAACATTTTTTCTTAGTCTCAGCCTTACACTGAATTATGTTATGTCATATCTTTGGTACAATTCCTTAAGAGTTGGGGGTAACAATATTATTTTAGCTAAATTTTAATAGTAGAAGAAGCACTTTCTTTTGCTAAGGTGTGAGTGAAAACTAAGAGAGTTGGAAACTGTCCAGGAGGACTTTAGGAACATAACCTTCCTCCCCCATTTATTTCAGGAGAAAAGCTAAAGTTTGTAAATTAGCTATCTCTTACTATATTATGCTGGTTCTTTTTATTTAAAATGCTTGACAATTCTGTCAGAGTTTCTTAAACACAACACAACCCAAATGAATGATTTTTGTTTTTGTTGTTGTTTCTATATTATTTTAATTTATCTTTTCCTCTTTTAAGGTTACACAGTTTGGTCCCACTGGTAATACATAGCTCTGAGATTTTGGTTGAAAGTTGTTCTCTAGTTTCTCATGTTTTTAAAATGTATTCATGATAATGCTTGAAAGAAGTACAAAAAGTAGTTTGTCTCACCTGTAGGGTCAAACTGAACCTACATGTGATGGTGTCAGCGTGGCCTCTAGCTGAGGTGATAGGTCGCTCCAAGAGTTATAGAGTCTAGAAAATGTGATTCTGCATCAACATTTTTTTACTGTTCTTTGTGTTCTTTTGCCAATCCAACATGTGAGACGAAAGGCAATTTTCACTCAAAATGTGGTAGGAGACAGGGATGTTTCTTTCACATTGTAACTAAAACTACAAAAAGCCAGGAGAATGCTTTTGAAAGCTTAGCTTGTTTCTTTTTAAACTTTAATTGCTTAATTATGCTCTTCATTGCATTTTGTCTTCAATTTAGGCATGTATTTCTCATTTCACTTTAATTTCTGCTGTTCAATGAGTATTATGCTTTTTGCATGTGTTGGAAATTGTCTTTGAAACATATCAGACACTCGTGTATTAGATGATGGGTTTTTGAAAGTAGAATTCTCACTGATCCAGGACTTTTTGCATTCTGTAATTGATTTTAGGTATGTGTTTTACCCAGAGTAATTGCCTTGATGTGTACTAAGAGGAAAATTTCAGTCTCACAGTTGTAGCCTCCCAGACCTTCCCACTGGACTATTTACAGCAGATGAAGGAAGATATGATAATTTTCCTACTAGCTGTCCTTTTAGTCTCTTATAATTTAGGTGGTCCCATGAGCTAAATTAATTTGCATTCTGGTGTATTGGCCAGAACAGTAATTCATCATATGGGTTGTAGTGAGAATGGCCAATATTCCATTACTCTTTCTCTCTTGTGGAAGCTTAAACTTCTGTCAGGATGCAGGGCAAGAACAGAAATAAAGATTTGCACCTTGTCAAAGTCCCAAAATATACATTTGATAGTGTTTTGAAGGAAATCTACATCTGGGAAGCAGCTGTGAAATAACAAGCAGGGGTATTGTCCTGCAAAATGTCTGACTCTTCTGCTTTAATGTTCATTTGAATGCTCTGGAGGGAAAGACAGTATTCCATGATATCCCAGAAGACAAAGAATTTTCTCTGTAATATGCAACAGGTCAGCTGGAAATATTGCTCCTGATTGTTTTGAAAATTATAGATACAGACTAAGAACATCACTAAGAACACCTTTTTGTTTTGTGTTTCGGTTGTCATGTGCATAAATAGTGACTTTTAATCCAGCCATTACTGTTTAGTTTGGAAGTGCTTGACAAAAATTTCTTTACCAGGAATTCTGAATAAAAGTCTTACCATATGGTGGATTATGATGGTTTTGGAGTTTCTGCTCCTCAGAGCCTTCCTGTTTGTGTCTGTAGCCTTAGAAGTTACTCTTTTTGTAGCTTGTCTTCCTTTGTTTTTTTTCACAACTCATCCACCTGCATTATCTTATTTCAAATGGATTTGATAGTTGGAAATCAGGCCTGGACTTGGCATTTCCAAATTGCTTCATGTGCTCTGATTCAAGAACAGATTTTGGGTGATATGAGAAAACATATCACAGCCTGTATTCCTGTCATTGATGAGTTTCATGGTCACTTAAGGAGTGCTTACTTAGTTATACCACTTAGAAATGCATATATTAAGAGCTTGAAGCCTATGGCAAATCTATCAGCATTTAAAAAATATATATATGTATATATACATTTTGTGTGTGTATATATATTTATAGATATATACACACACATATGTGTGCAAATGCCAGAACTGGTTGAATTCCAGATGAGTAATAAGGTGATTGTTCTCTTTGCAGTTGTTTGTCCTCCAGGCAGTTATTTCCAGGACGATGAATGCATTCCCTGCCCTCTTGGCTACTATCAGTATCAGACAGGACATTCCTCCTGTATCAAGTGTCCTGTGGGCAAAACTACCAACTCCTATGGGGCAATCAGTTCTGATCACTGTAAGTTGAACTCATTTTTCCCATAACCTTTATTTTCTGGCTTCAAATATCTAATGATTTTTTTTTATTCATCTCTAAGTTGTTTTTTTTTAAATTAAATCCTCCCTCTGGGGGTTTTTGGATGGATACATCCTTCTGCATACATTTAAAAGCATTTTAGAAAGTACAAACTGTCTGGTGTTCTGACCAAAAATGCATGAGAAACAAGTGGTCAGTTTCATCCAGGATGTTGTGGTTCCTCTAGACGTGTTCATTGTCCTCAGGAATGATGTCTGGCTGCTCAGTATCAGTAACAATCTTGTTATGAAGCTCATTTATTGTCACTCTCATGAACACTAAAATAAGTTGGTTTTGTGCAGCTCTTTCCCTGCAAATACAAACACTTGCCAGAAAGCAACTATTGAAATGTTCACTAAGGCTGGTGAATTCAGCTGAAATGATTTGTTTTTTTCACGCAGTTCTATACAGAAAATCAGTTATTATGTCCAAATTTCGTTTTGTCTACAGAATTACCTTATATAAAATAAGATATAAATCAGAGTACCAAGAATGGGCTTCTTGGGGAGTGCCATTGAGTATATGGTCTACTTTGTTCTCTTTCAACCTATTTGTTCTCTTAGGTGAGATAAACCTCCCAATTTCATTGTAATGTATCCAAACATCAATTAGCTTTTGCCTACAGTTGTCATTCTTTTCCATGTGGGTTCTCTGGGTAGGTATTGGACTTGTGCCCTTAAGAGTTTGTTCCTTAGAACTTAAAAAACTTGCAATTTTCTTTACTAAATCTGTTCCCTGCCTGGTTTCCATTTTACCTTTGTGCTGCACCTCAGTGCCAGCCCTCTCCCAAAGGCCAGGTTACACATTACCTTCCTACTTTCTTTCATTCCTTGCTGTCTCCTCACAGAGCCTGAAGAGTTTTTCTGAATTAATTGGTGTGATAGCTCTTCTCATTGCTCACAACATTGCACAGTCACTGCAGCAGTCATTGAACAAACCTGTATGACAGTACAGTTCCTCCTCTGTACTTTGCTTTACAGTACTGGAAATACATCAACAGAGATTTGATGCATGACAGAGAATGCAAAAACTGTTTGAAACAGAAATTGAAGCAGCAGCAAAGCAGTGTTAGCTGCAGACTACCATGCTTCAGAGCATGAAATGCTCTGCAAATCTTAGCTTAATTTTCAGTGAAGTCTCTGCTGTGCTAAGGGAACTTTTAAGTTTCAGTCCCACAGCACTGAAACATTGTCCTACTGCATTGGCAGGACCAGTGGCTGCACAGGAGGTTCCTTCTGAACATCAGAAAATGTTTTTGCTCTGAGGACAACCAAGCACTGGCTCAGGTTGCCCAGGGAGGTTGTGGAGTCCTTGGAGATGGGTAAAAGCCATCTGGAGATGGCCCTGGGCTGCCAGCTCTAGGTGGCCCTGCCTGAGCAGGGGACTCTGACCTTACAACCTCCAGAAGTCCTGTTCAGCTTCTGAATTTTGTGAAACCCGCTGACAGCATTATCAAAGTGCCTTTATTCCTTCCCTTGCTCTCGTACCAGGTGTGACATCCTGCCAGAGCAATGAGCAGGGCCTGCAGTGTGATGAAGATGGCCAGTACAGACCTGCCCAGCAGGACCCTGACACCAGGAAATCCCTCTGTGTCGACAGCTTTGGAGCAGCTCTGGACTGGACTCAAACAGAGGATCTCCTTACAGATGACCAGTGCTTGGGTAAGTGGCAGAGGGATATTTTGGATATGATTTAACCCCACATGGGTGGAACTTCCTTATGAAGAGACTAATCACCCCACAGGGATGATAGATGGATGGGGATTCACTGTCCCATAGTTACTTACTTCCCCATACTTGTGGCCTCTGCCATGTTCCTCCTTAGTTCTACATTTCTTGACTCCACTGGGGAAGTTATTTCTGGTAAGGGAAGAGAGAGTAGCAGGTTTCCTGAGCTCTCAGATGGCTGCCAGCTTTTGATGTGTGCTGACCTTGTGCTCTCTGCTTGGAAACCCAAAAGAATAATGGGAGGGCTAATGAGAAAGAAGCAATATTAATAATTTATTTGTAAAATTATCCCTCATCTGTGTATTCATGGGAAATAGACTATTTTCAGCAATGACCTCATAGCTACAACATAACATCACCTCTGGGCTCCTGCTGTAAGGTATCTGACTTGGGGAGGACATCCTTGCAGGCTGGAGGAGGTTACTTCTGCTTGAATACAGCTGCAAAATGTTGGCTTTCAAGGATGAAAAACTTAAAAAGCAAAGAATGTCATCTATCAAACAGTCCCCAGACTGCCTGCAGTAAGGTCTAATTACTATTAGCCTCAAAGCTTTTGCTTTTTCCCAGAAGTTTGTATATGCTCATCATATGATTGGTATTGAATTTAATGGAATGTTCTGTTTAGAAACTGATGTCATGGTGTGCTTTGAATTAGTCAATGTCTTATGACAAGTGTGATCAGTGGAAGGAGTGTGAGAAGTAAAGCCCTCAGCTGAGAAGAGGTTGTTGCAAAAGTACCTCAGTTAAAATAACTCTTTTTTTATTCCTCTGAGCATACTCAGGGACTGATCACAGTTATGAACATGAGGTCAAAGCCTCTGTTGCTCTCAGTCACGGGGTAGTTGGGATATTTCTCTGCAGAGAGAACTCAGGATATGAATTCTCCTGTTACCGTGAGTCTTCCTGCTTGAACATTTCTGACTCTGTCCAGGATGGAGCAGTTGTAGATATTTGTGCTTGGTTTTGTGGGTCATGCTAGAAGATGTCACTACAGATATTTATGACTGTTGAAAGTTCATTTATGACTCTTTAAAAACACAGCAACAATGTGTCATAGAATCACAGAATGGTTTGTGTTGGAAGGGACCTTAAAGACCATCTTGTTCCAGCACCCCAGCCATGGGCAAGGATGCCATTTAAAGGATCAGGGCCCCATGAACACCTGAGAAATCTATTTTCTTGCTTGGATTTTTAAATAATAATTTTCTGACTTATTTAATTTTTTTAATTTTTTTAAATTTTGTTTTAAGATCATGCTTCATTTCTGGAAAGCATAATGTGAAGCTAAATTGTTTATCTCTATTTTAGCTTTTTCTCCTGCCTCTGCTATGTCCCTTAATTGAATTCAACACACAGCAAGACAGTAGGGGCTGAAGGCTGATCTTGCTTTGGCAAGGGGCAGGCAGCTGGGAAGGGTCACCAAAATCCACCTGGACTTTGGTTTTTAAGTCTTCAGACAGAAGAATTGCCTTGTGTGAATGCAGAAGAATAAGCTGTAACAGCCATTGTTTGTTATCTTTGTTGTTTTTCTTTTTGTATTTTAGACCACTCAGCATTTATTATATGGGGGTTAGGACTAGGTGATCTTGAAGGTCCTTTCCAACCTAATCTATTCTATGATTTTGTAATTATAACAACAGAAGGACCTAGAGCTTTGCTCTAATAATAAGTGAGAGAGAATTTCTGCTCTTCACTAAGCCTGTGAAATGATTTTATGACTGCATTTTTTTTACCTTTCTTTGTACTAAAAACAAAAAATATTCAAGAATTTAAAAAAGGCAATTTTTCTACTATTTTTTCATTGGTTTTCAGTTTACAGTTTCATTACACTTTCTATCTTCTGTCTACTTTTCTCCCATATTATTGTATTCAATATAAATGGTATTCAATAATATGGGAGAAAAATAGAGAAAAAATTGTCTCTTGGAAATTGAGGGGTTGGATGAAGCCGGAATTAGGGTGAAAAAATCAGAAGAAAAGAAAAAAAATTAGAGTGTAATTTTAAAAATTTGAATATTGGAATAGGAATGAGGGCAGCTTTTAACCAAGCATCACTTCCAGTTGCAGATGCAGAAGGAATTCAGTCTTTTGCAGAAGTTAGCTAATGCTTGTATTTCTGTGCCCTGTATTTCTAGGAAGGAAAAAACTTTCACCTCTGCTTGCACTGTATTTCTTCCTTGTCCCCATCCTAACTGGAGCTCAAGGATTTTCTTGTGCTAGGCATTTGACAAACCCATATGGGTTTTTTCCTGAGCAGAAATGATGGTTTTATCAAAAGCACCTGCTGGCTCAGCCCTGACAGCAGTGGACGTTTGCTTCTGATTTAGCCCTGACTCTTGCTGTAAGAGTACAAATTATTGTTTTAAGAACTTATCCCTGAGTTTTATTTCATGGTTTGTCCAGACATTTCAGGGAGAGAGTCCATCCTCTGGCTGGACTGCTGCCCCCATGAGCCCAGGGGAAAGAGGGGCTGAGTGTCCAGCTCTTCCATGTGCAGATGTCTCCCAGAGCTGGGATCACACCAGAGCTCCTGCTTTTGCCTCTTTTAGGTCTAGGCTCAGTGCTGGCTGCAAGGAGCTGCCTTCACCTGGAACCTTTAGAGAAGTTTGGTCACCAAGGGATGATGCTAAATCACCACGCTCTTCTCTTAACCACGGCATGGCTTGGGTTGGAAGGGATCTTAAAGATCCTCTACTTCCAACCCCTTTGCCATGGGCAGGCATGCTGTGCTGTGCTCACTGAAATGCACTGGTGCCTCAACCTGTGGGCACAGAGTGCAGGTGCTATCAACCTCAGCAGGGTGGTGGTGGCACTGTGTGTCCTCTCACCAGTCTGTAATCCTCTTCAGGCCACAGACAGGGCCACACCCTCTGAAGCCTGGATTAGATTTCTCACCCCATTTAGTGGCCTTTGGGGTTTGCATCTCCAGGCCCCATGAGCTTTTCGCAGAGTGTGAGCAGTGCTGCTTGTCAGACTCGCGCACGGGTGAGCGGATCCAGTGCAGGGGGAGCAGATAAAAAGGTTTGGTCAGTAAAGTGACAGTCAGTAACAGCATGAAGGACACACTACCTTGCATATAGCCTTGGGCCTGAAGTCAGTGGAGATCAGGCTTGTGTGTTCCTGGGTTTTCTGTCTAACCGAGTGCTGTTGGAGCTGTCTCTTGTTTCTGTGACTAATTTGGAGAAAGTTGGTTCCCCCTTTGACTCAATAGTTGGTTTGATGCCATGAACAAGTAATGAGAGATGGCAGGTCTGCTGCTGGAAGAGAAGTCTCACTGGAAAGTAAAATCCCAGCCCACTCCTGGCTAACTGTTTTTTAAAACATCTTGTGACACTTTTTATTTCAAAGCAGAAATTCTACCCTCACGCCAGCTGTCTCCTGCATTATCTGTGAGGTTATGGTATCTCATTTAATGAGCAAACCTCTCTCCTCACAGAATTCAAGCTTCATTTCTACCTAAAGTCTTTGTTTGCAGCATGGGAACTGATAATACAAGTTGGTTGGGGTTTTTTGTTGTCTTTTTTAGTGCTCAGAAAATTTGAAAGAGTTCCTGCCTCCAGCCTGATTTATGGATCAGAAGAAGCTCAAATTCTTCAATCTCAGTCAATTGGGGGAGACCTGCAAAGTACATATTTTCAGTGCATTTCAGGTGAGAAAACTGAGAAAAGCTGTAGAGATGACTCTAACAATTGTGAAAAATAATAATATTTTCATATGATGAGTTTGTAGTTAAGTTCCTGGATGAACTGTGTGTTCTGCAGTTCAGCACCAATTCACTGCAAGATATTTACAACTTTTGGTGACCTTGATTCAGGGAAGAGCTTGATATTTCTTTCAGAAAGAAATCTTCTGGCTTTATATACTACTTCAGACAAGTCATCTGACTTTAAAGCTGGTTTATGTAGTTTGCAATACGAATGAGAACAGATTTAAACCAGGAAACATTCATCAGACTGTGCAGATGTGCAGACAAAAGAAGGATTAGATGTTCAGGACATATGAAAAGCAAGCTTTTACCTCTTCACAAATTACCTGATTGGCACAAAAAATAGGAATAATCATCCTTGCTAATGTCAGAAGGGTATTATAAGGAGTTCAGAGATACTCCTCTGCCAAGTCTTGTAGTTTATATACTATATTGCATCTGGTTTAAGTTGGTTCAGAATCATCTGACACCCAGAAGAATCACCACGCTGCTCTCAGGGTGCTTTGAGTCAGTCTCACCTTGTGTCTCCTAAAGCTTGGGCTGTGAAAGGAGGCAGAGGGATATGTTCAAAGTAGAAACTCTCTGGCAGTAATAACATAGATGTCCTGTTTTTAAGGTGCATACTAAAATTCTGACAGATCAATGGCTTTGTGTCACATGCCATGGTCTAGTTGGAGCAATCACCTCTTGTGTTAAGAACTGAATATATGAAGCCTTTTATTACTAGAATGATTTTCATGCAGGAGCTCATCCTGGCAGTACACTAAGATTTCTTGCACCTTCCCCTGAAAATGGAGACATCCAAAATCAAGACACTGAACTGAGAGAGCCTGAGAACAAACCTGGGGAGGAAATTGTGCTTTTTTGCCAACCAATTTGATTCCATCTCTCTCACAGCTGTATTTTCTTTATAAGTTATGTAAATGGCAGCACAATTACAAAATATTACTGCTGAAGTTCTCATTGAGGGTTGAGGGTTAATCTTTCCTTCCCTAAGTCCCTGTAAGGTCAGATAGCTCAGCTGAGGTTTTTGATCTAAATTGGTTGATTTTATACCAGAGATTTGGAAAGTGTTTCACCTGGGCTAGGAGCAGAGCTGTGGAGTAAATTAATGGTGAATGTGTAAGGGCAGAAAGATCTTCAACCACTCCCAAACCTGCAGGGTTTGGTTCTTTCTCCCTTGCAGTGGCCAGGGGATTGCTGCAGGGGCAGCCAGCCTGACTGAAGATTTTGATGTTTCCCTCCTTCCTCTCACCCTGATATTTGTCACAACCTCTTTGCCATGGGGTTACTGTATCAGGCAGGTGTGATGTGCTGGAAAAGTGGTTCATGAGAGTCCTGCCTTGGGAAAAATTATCCAGCAGACTTTAAATATTTGGGTGTGTGGTCAGACCTGTCTCATCTGTTTATATCATCGCGTGATTAACAACTTTCTGCATTAATTTAATTCAATTTTAAATCCTCAACTCTCTACTAAAATAGTTGAGTACTAAAGATCATTTGGTTAATTAAATTCATGTCTGATAGACATATGGAAATCTACATAAGTGGCAGTAAGCAGTGGAATTTGTAGCAACCATTTTGCATATGAAGTGCTGGGAAACCTAAAATTTCTTTCCTGTTTTTTCAGGCTGTGAGAGGGAAGATGACTGTGGCTTTGCAACTGTTTCTCCTGCTGGTACCAAAGTGCTCTGTGAATTATACAGCACTGCTGAAGCCAACTTCAACTGCACCACCTCTGGATTGGTAAGAATGATCATATCTAAAAGTATATGTTTATCATAGTGCTATGTGTTCAAAGTAAATAGACAAGATCACAGAAGAAAGGCAGGCTGTTACCTGACCGCTATGGCAGCAATAAATCCCTGCAAGCTGGTAAAGGAGCTACACACAGATGTTTCCAAAAATGACATCTGAATACCTCAGTGCTTGGTTGAAACATCACACAGCACTGTTGTCCCTAAAACATGCTGAGCACCTGCAGAAAGGATATCAGATTGATTTAAAAAGAGAGTTAATCTGGATAGACCAGATTAGAAGTAGCCAGGTTGGTAATCAGGTCACCTGAAACAATCACTCTTTCTGAGTCCCTTCCTCTAGGCCAGGGTTTGAACTGTGTGCTTTTATCACTGTACTATTTTCCTATTCACTTCTCCAAACAGCAATGTGGCATTGAGGAACCGAGCTCTCAGTTTGATAGTGTAAAAATTGTCTGTATGAGAAAGAATAAAAAACGTCCACATGGAGTTGTGCTGTGATTACCCGTGTGTTGCTCACTGCTCCCCATGAGTTTCTTAATAAAGAAAATGTTTTTTAGGAGAGGAAACCATTAGGTTTTATTTATTTTGCTTGCCTGTTTTCTGTCTCAGGTGCAAGGTGTCTTGGGGAACCCTGCTGCCACTAGCATCAGTGGCCTCAGCTGCTTGCTTCGTGTCAGGAGCCCAGAGGGAGATGCACTGATGGTCTATCTGAAGAGAGGTACCAGTTGTGATTCACTCACCTAAATCTGGCTCTCTGTCCAAGCTGGTAACTACTTCTGTAGAGGCTCATAACTGAATGTGAGGAGCATCTTTGTTTATGAGGACACAATACTTTCAAGAGCTGTACATTTTGTGACAGTCCAGAAGCTTCAGGAAATTCTTTCATATCTTGTTCCCTAGAAATTAGGACTACATTTGTATGCCATTCTGATGATTTTTGCCAGCAACTAGTCCCATAAAAACTCAAAATATATCCAATGTTTTTTCCTATTCTGTTCTGTTATGACTTCTCTTTACTAAGCAGTTTGTTATTTGAATACATAAGGCAATATTAATGACCAGACTGTACATAATTTAAGTTCACTTCATTTTTCATTGTGAATTGTTGTAGTAATATACCAGCAAGAAGTCAACTGCTCTCCATGAATCCCAAAACATTTCATCTGAACTAATGAATGCATGAGACAAATTTTATTTATTTATGTTTCTTTATTCATGGCCTGAGTGTGGCTGATAGCACCACATCTACTGTGTGACCAGCTTTTAGTGCCAGGCCAAACTGGAAGCAAGATAACCAAATGCTGCAGGATTTGACTCAAAACTCTCTGCTCTTACTGTGTTCTTTGTTCTTCTGTCCAAAACTCTGAGTCATTTATTAATATTAATAAAAAATGAATGATCTAAGTCTCACCTGAAAATAAATCAAGTCTCTGTAGCTTGTGATTGGCATAATCTTGTTAATACCAGATCTATTCTAGTCTTCTAGAACCAAAATTCTATGAATCATGCCTTTCTAGTTAGCAGAAGCATTAATTGCAGATGCAGTTATGCTGGCCAAATTACACATTTTACTTTTTAAGTGAGAAAAATTTGTTTCATTTTTATCTGGGAGTTACTAACAGTGTGACTGAGTGCTTGAAGGTGGGATATTACTAACCTTACTGCAGAGATCAGTTTAGGAGCTCTTTGCTGGCAGTGCATTATAACCAGCTACTCAGGAATAATGGCACCACATCATTTGATAACCTCATCTTGCTTCTGAAACTCAAAGACCAGAAAAGGATTTTGAGTTTTGATCATAAATCTTTCAACCAGCTCCAGTCTGCAGACAAATAAAAAAACATTCCTTGAGCTCCCCCTGAGCTCCTTTCCCTTTCTGTCTGTCCAGGACAGGAATTCAACTCCTCTGGATCCAAGGCCTTTGAGAGGACTGGCTTCCAGAACGTTCTGTCTGGTGTGTACCGCTCCATGGTGCTGCCTGGCACCTCCCAGACTGATGCTCAGCTGCTGTGCAGACAGGAGTGCAGCCGGGACTCCTGCTGTGATGGATTCATCCTGAGCCAGCTCCTGCTGGATGGAGGTACTGCCTGACTGCACAGGAAAGGGTTCTGCAGTGGGAAACCAGTGCTAAATGAGTAGAGGTCATTGCTGGGCACAGACACACACCTTTGCATTGTACCTGTGTGAGCAGCCTGTCTCTACATCACTGACATTTTCTTTGGTGCTGTGAAGGTTTGAGTAATGCCCAAGACTGTGTGGAGCAGTAAAGGCCTGAGCTAGCAACCTGCTCTTGGAACAAAATGGACAGTTTGAAGGGATAAGCGTGACAGAGTTCCAGCAGTGTTTGGGCAATGCTCTTGGAAACATGGTGTGACTACTGGGGCTGTGCTGTGCAGGGCCAGGAACTGGACTCAGTGATCCTTGTGGGTCTCCTCCAACTCAGCCTATTCTGTGTGTGTGTGACATCTCCATCTGGATGAGATAAATTGTTCTGAAAACACCTCTCTCCGTACATAGCAGGGCTTGGTTGCCAGAAACTGGTGCCTTTCAGCTGATGCAGTAACTAAGAGGTTGCCTCCAGACATAATTCTTGTGGTGCAAATGAAAATCAGCTTCCTTTTAAGAGCAGCAAAAAATGATGCTAAACAGAATTATATTACTGCATACAGAAAATCTCCCAGGTCTGGATGTCTGTCTAGGAGAGCAAGTGGTAGTGGGATGGATGGAGTCTGGCAGAGGTGGGACTTTGGCACAACCAGATTTTTTGCCAACAAGCTTAAGCACTTTATGCCAGTGCTTACTTTTTGCAGTTTAGTTTCAAGCTCACATGGTATTGACTTTCCCCTTGGAGATGCATTTCTTGTAGGAAATATAAAGTTCTAAATGACATGCCTCAAAGATTTAAAGACAAGCTCTATCAACAGCCAGGAGTTGCACCTGATGATTCTTGTGGGTCTCTTCCAGCTCAGCATATTCTACGATTCTGTGAAGTTCAGGCATGTGCTAGTGGCTGCATTTCTCCAGTTTGGAGTGGAAACTGATCCTAGATTTAAGAAAATCTGTGAAAATCTGCCACAAGTTATCTGTGAAAGTTGTCAAGAAAATATTTCCAGAAAATTATTTTCTATTTTGGTTTTTTTTTTGTTTGTTTGTTTTTTGTTTGTTTTTTTATCACAATATTCTAGGTGATCTTGTAAAGTCCATTTCTCTATATATTTATCATCAAATTTTGGGTTCTCTCTACTTGTGAGTGTAAAAGGGGAATATCTGTTTGGTTGGGGTGACTATTTGGATGAGCTCTACAGGTAAATGCATTACTTGGACTGGCTTTTTGCTCTAAAAAGAAAGAAAAAAGAAGGAAAATGTAGCATACCCAGTCCATAAAAACAAACAAGAGAGGGCATTGTAAAACCTTAGAAATTCCTGAGCTGTGACACCAAGTGCAAAGCAGGAGCTGAGTATTGCCTACAAGTTATGGTAACAGATTGGTGCCAGAACATGTGGCCTTAAACACTCTGGTCCCCCAACTCACATCACAGTGCTGGGGGACACTCAGGCCTAGGATGACTGAAATCAGGCACCAGTTCAGGAAACCACTGCAGTAAAAATATATAAGTGCTTTTTTTTTTGTTCAGAACCTGAGATTTTAAGAGCTTCAAAGGATTGGATGTGTCTCTGTGGTGCTATGAGGTGCTGAGAACATTGTTGGGTATTATTAGACAATAGTAATATTTTATTAGGTGATAATAGTATGTGCCTGAAATCTCTGAAGAACAGGCTACAAATGTTTAGATTGGGTATGAGTAGCTAACCTTAGCACTCAAATTTGAACACATGATTCTAATTTGCTTATTTGGGTTGTTTGTTTTTTTGGTAGCAATAGTGAAGGGACTCTCTCAGTGACACAGGTTCAGTTGGCACCTAGAGGAAGTACTGGGGGCTTGGGTAAGTGCAAAGCATTAGTGCAGTGATGCAGCTGTGTCTTTTCCTGCCCCTAGGAACCATTCTGTGCAGTTTGCTGAGCTCCCCAGACGTGCTGATCTGCAATGCCAAAGGCTGGAGTCCAACACCCACCTCAGCCATGGGTGGGATGTGCAATGGTGTGAGCTATGATGAGAAGGAGAAGAGGTTTTCCTTCACTCTGGGAGGACAAGTGTTCAGTGGAAGTATGTCAGTGAATTACCTCAATTTACTTTAGTTCCCTTTAATTGTTGTATAGACTCTGTCTTATTCACCAGCCTGCTCTTGTACTCCAATGCTTTTTTCAAGTAAATCTATATCACAAGAGAAGAATTCTCTGACTGGATGCATTGCTAGATAGATGGTAGATAGATCTCACATTTTGCCACATGAACATTGATAAAAGTTGAGACTTTGTTTAATATGTCACTCTGTAATAATTGCAACATTTAATTCAGGCAGATCCAAGATAATAATATGAAGAAAAGACAAAGTCTGGAGCAAAGATAAAAAAGGGATATGCCCAGACCTACATGGTAAAAGCAATGATAGGAAAGTGAGTAAAGTTTGGCACCCTGGATCCAGACTAGCCCTGTGACACCTGTGATCTTCCTCCTTAGACTTGTGTATTGTGATGCATAGTTTAGTGATGTGTTTTCTATGCAATTACTGAGCATTTTTAAAATATGGTTAATTTAAACAGCTATTCTAACAAAATTTTTTCTTTACTAGCTTCTCAGTTGATGGAAGAGGCAGGAAGAAATTTCACTACCTTTCAGGAAATTTACCTGTGGAGAGGTAAGTTATCTCACAAAATTTATTACAAAAACTTATGGTGAACTGTAGGGTGTGGCAGATGTCTATTCTATAATGGAAATGTCATTGTCACTTCATTCCATGCTATCCAAATTAAGATACAACTCAGAAGCGTATTTTGGCAGGGATGTGTAATCTGGAGTAATTCTTCTACTGCCAGTTTCATGAAATTTGGGTAAACTCTTGTGTCTGAGAACATAATTTATAACTTTTAATACCCTTGAAAATGATATCATGAAGACACCTGCCTTTGTCCCATCAGTGTCCAAGTACCGTAATAATTTGGCACTTTATGCCTAATTACATGGGTTATATTTGTTAGCAGAATAACTGTATTTTTTTATTTTCTGAATCTCACCATGTACATGGCAGGACCTGCACAAATGATTTCTAATAATGCTTTATAAGTGCACAAAGCCTTCAGAGCTGATTCTGAATGCAGAGTGACTGTGGATATTGCATTTACTTTTGTCATCCAAACAATGCATTTTGGTTTAGGTGTTCCCCAGAGCTGTACACAGATGGTTTTATTTTTTCTTGATTCAATGTTTGGAGGAATTACCAAAGGAATTTTCCTAAGTGGTGCACTTTATATGTTTGTTCAATTTTGGGAACTGAGGATTGTCTTGTCTTGTGAAAGAAAGGTAAAGGGAATTACTCTGCTCTTTGACTCCTGTTTCATTCCAGACTCTGATATGGTCACCCGGATGGAAACCTCTTTGTGTGAGGCTGCTGCTTTGAAAATAAAGGATGATCTCATGTTATCAGGTATTAGAGCAACAGCAGACAGAGCAGGCAACAGAAGAGAGCAGAGAGGGGTTGCAGAATTTAACCAGAAAATATCATATATTTATATATATATATTTCTCTGAAGTAGGATGTCTGATACAGGTTTTGAGAAAGATGTCCAAAATGTAGGCCTGGCTTTATGATTCTTACCTTGCCAGGCCAGGCTGGAAATGAAAATGTTAAAATGTTCAATGTGAAACTTGTTCTTTCAGACTTACTGAGACACAGGAAATATTATTTGTCTGATAAAAAAATTTACATAAACCCAGGAATGAAATCCTTGGCCTGGGTACCTGGGTATCCTGACAGTATGATTGGAAATATGGGCTGTAGAGAAACCCAGGATGAAACTGCAATCGCAAGTGTTTCTTCCATGCATGATGACAGTGAGGGACCTGTGAACTTCTTTTAGTTCCTTTGTTATTCCAGGGTTTGTTCTTTGCTGTATGAAGTCATATATAGGTCCAAAATAATTTGTAGGAGGTTACTGGAGTTCATTTGGGCCTTCAGCACCATAATCCTAAGAGAAACTGAGCAGTAGAGTTTGCTGAGAGCACCTTGATTCATTTTTAATAAATTATAATCTTTGCTGAGGAGTCTTGATGGATATCTGAGCATATGATTTAATATGTGCAAAACCCTGAAAGGAAGTAAATTGCTGATTTTGCATATGGAATTTGAAAGGAAAGTAAACTAAACTAATTAAAAAACTAAAAATGCCCATTTACCTAGCAGAACTCCTTTACAGTTAGGGGTATTTTAAAGTCTAGACTTAAAAAGAGAGAGAAAAAAATGCATTACTATGGTGATTGAAATTATCTTGCATTTATCTGCCAAGACATGAGTACAGCCCTCAGGGTTCTTCATTTACCTTGCTGGGGCTGATGACATCATTAAAACCTGCAGTAATTCAAGGAATGCAGTTTTTACCTCCATCCCTAAATCTTACTCTTGACACCAGCTGTTTAAGAGAAACTGAAGGCTGAAGTTATGACTTGAGAGGTAACAGGAATTATAGGTTACCTTTTTTAGGAAGTCATGAATACATCTGGGAAAATGTCTACAGAGCTATTATGACTTGTTAATCATTTGTGAAGCACAGGTAACATACCTTTTCTAGTTTCTGATAGGAAATTCAAAGCTGCATTTTCAGCATGTCAGTGGGTGCTTCAGCACAACAGCAATCATCAGCATGTCTTTACTTCTTGTTTTCATTATTGTCTTGTTTCTTCACTGCATGTAAGATTAAGTAACACAGTGTCTCACAATCTTGGAACTGGGGATGAGACCTGCTGATGACATTTGATAAATGTGAAAGTGTTTATGAAGAAATTTGTAAGAGATATGAAGAATGTCCATTTCTTTTAATACTGGACCCTTATTTAAGGGGATAAACTTGGAAACAAGAAAATGGCTGTGACTGATTTTTTCAGAGGGAGCTCAGGAGATATAAATCATTTCACACATGTCTAAAGGTCACAGGCAGTGACAGAAACAAATTATTTAATGTGGTCTGTGGGAGCATAAATTCAGAGAAATGAGCTTAAATGACTGAAATACGTATTAAGCTTGTCAGGAAAACTTTCTAAGACTGAGAGATGTAAAAGCTTCTCAAGGGAATATAAGGAAACTGCAGTATTTTGAATTAACAAAGCTACATTGATTAAGGAATTGTAAACATCCTCCGAATCCTCATACTTTACTGTTAGGATATTGTGTTGCATGACAGAGCGGAGCAAACCCTCTAATTTCTAGGGGCAGGAATTTTCATCCATTTTTTGGATGTTGGAAATAGTCTGGCAGTGCTATTTTGTGCAGTGCAGCTCAGTGAGGAGGAACTCCCTACAGGAGAGTCACTGTGGGTAAACAATTCTGTTATTAAAAGCAGGCTTTGGTGTATTCTAGCTTGACAAAATGATTGCAGCTGTTTTGCTGTGAAAGGCAGAATTTTATATATAAATAAATTTAATTCGTTCCAGATCATAGTTAATTTTTTTTGTGGGATTCTTTATTTGTTTGTATCTCAGATTCCACAAAGGATCTTTTCTACCTGATGGACAACAGCCAGATACAGAGTGACCAGAACTATTCTCTCCCTTTCCAGCAGTATTGGATCTTCAGGCAGAAGTACTCAGCTGAGGAAGCTCTGCTTTGGTGTCTTACACGTAAGACATCATGGAGATTGTTATTCTAACTAAAATCCTTTAATAGGTGTTATAATAATGATGAGTAGAAACTTTAGACTTTGAGATTTTTTTTTTGTAGATAACTCCTAAAATTTTCATGGAAGTTGCCAGTGGGGCCACCTGTTTCCTCCTTACAGTCTTTGCCTGCTGAAAGGGTTCCCGTAATTCAGCATCAGGGTGCCCCTGTCATGGGCAAGAGAAGTCAAAGGTACAGCTTGGGCAGTGTACCACTCCAAATAGAGAGATGGCATAAAGGTAAAAGAAGGTAAAATTGGGGCAGATGATTGGGGTTAATGATAAATTACATTTTAATGCAGTAAATGGAGAAGAGTTTCTAGCTCTACCAGGAAGTCAGAACTAAGAACTAAGTGCACAAACATCACTGTAACAGCTCAGTAGAGCTATTCCTGTTTAAAATTAAGCATTGACACACATATTTACAGGAGCCATTGCCATGGTAATTAAGAAATGGGTTTGACAGCTTTGGTTCTTTTCTGAAGGTGCACTCTTTCCCTGGGACAAACTTCAGAACAAATTGCTTCAAGCAAATATCTTGAATGGTTGATTCTGAGAAAGTTAGGTTAAATTTTGTGTGATGCTTGAATGCTTCAGAAATATTTTTTTTAAAAAGTTATTAAGACATTGTAAACGTTATTGTCCTTTTTTATTTGTTAGAGACCACGACTGATGCAGAGTTCTCCTATGATTATACAATTTGTATGTCAGATTTACTAAAAAAAGAAAGAGACCTTTATGAATTAAAATGTTAATGAGAGACCAATACACTGGAGTAATGCTTGTCACAGCTGGGGAATTTATCTTCCCAGTTAGCTGTGCTGTAACTCCTGTACTGTGCTCTCCAGGTAAACCTGCTCTTCAGTGCCACTAAAGCCAGAATGTGTCCCTCTTTCTCTTGCACTTTCAATTAATTAAGTTAATTAATTTGGATTATCAGTAGGATAACACTGAAATTCTCACTTTTAGTTGTTTCCTGATGGATAGCTTTGCTCTGAAAACATGAAGAGGATCAGAGAGGGAAAGGAGCCCTTGTGTGTGTAATTATTCATGACTTTGCTTCCTAGGTTGTGCCCAAGAGGAAGAGTTTTGTCGAATGGCAGATCTGCAAAATGCCACAGACAAATACTTTGTGTGCATCCTCTATCCAGAAGCACAGATTTGTGACAGCAGCATTGACCAAATACCAGGAAACTGTGCAACTGTGCTACCCTGGCAACCACAGATGCTGTACCATAAAATAGGCAAGTTTTGGTATTTGGATATATAATGTCTGCTCTAACCCTGGTAATTCAAGCCAGTGTTTTGCCTCTTGATTCTGAGATACAAAGTCTGCATGTATAAATGAGTCTTGGGATGTGATGGTGCAAGGGCAGGTCAGCCTGTCTGGGATATGGTTTTTAATTTTCAGTTCATAATGGAAAGATATTAACCATGAACTTCACTCTGTCCATCTCAGCCTTTCCCAAGTCAGAGAGGCCAAGTGGATCTCAAATTTGCTTATCAGTTTTTAGCCCTTTTTTATAATATGGGTAAAATATGAATGTCATTGGAATGCCACAATCTACTGTTAAAATTTCTATGGTAGCTAAATGAATGTAATTATTTTAATTATGATTTAGCCAATGCAGAGCTATAGACATGAATTTTAGCATTTGCTCTTTGAATACTTGGGAAGTTCAATTTTTTTCTCATAGAGCACATGTAAGGAAGCTGGACAAATGAGCCTGTTTTCACTGTACAGGAACATGTAATTTTGCTGTGACAAATGTAAAGGTCCACTGAACTGAGCTATTCAATCATGTCCTTTTGGGGAGCCCAAAGGACAGCATGGGCTGAATAATGCATGAGCACACTGGAGTCTTCCAGTCTGGAGCTGTATCCCAGTTTAAGGCTTTGTGGAAGAAGTAGCATCAGGTCTCAGAAAAAAAGGCCTGGCTGGAAGTCTTTCCTTGGTAATGTAATTTGCTAAGCTTTCAGAGTCTTCACTTCATGAATTTTTATCCATCTTCAGGCTTAACAATCAAAATTTTGCTGTGATAACATAAAACCGTCTTTTAATCGACCAGAGTTCAATATGAAAGCAAAGATTGGACTCCTACCATTTGATTACTTAACCAGTACTTGAATATGAGAAAGTTAAACTGATTTTTCCAATTTTGTTTTTCTTTTTCCTTTCAGTCACGCTTAAAAGTTCTGTGAAGAGCTTCTACACACGTGTACCATTCCAGAAAGTAACTGAATTCTCAGTGAGGAATAAGACTGACATGAGCAGAAAAGCTGTTTCAGATGGGTAGGACAAGAATGTTCCTTTGTTCTCCCTCGAATTTGAACCATGATTGGAATTCCAAGGCCGTGTTATGCAGATAAAGAAAATCAGAAGTACTGATCCAAGAATTGTGTTGTTTGAGAGTATTTAACAAAAAAAAGATAGCATATGGTTTAAAGGAGATTTATAAGTGAGTTATAAATAATAAATGATATCATTATTTATTATAGACATGAAAATTGTTACTTATAATACTATTAATTACTAGTTGGCCAGTTAAATCTCTTAACAATGATGCGCCAAATCAATTTATGCTGATATTTTTAGGGCAGATATCAAAATCATAATCTAAATGAATACATGTAGTCTGGTAGGTGTATACTAATCAAGCATAGTTTTATCTACATAAGGAAAATGCATGGAAGTGTGTATGTATGCTGTCTCTTCAGCCTTACTGTGAAAGGCGCCTCTACAGGTTCTCAGTGTCTGATATGTCTAATGATACCGTGGATAATACTTTTCCTTTCCTAGGTTTTTTGAGTGTGAGCGTTGGTGTGATGCTGATCCCTGTTGCACAGGATTTGGCTTTTTTAATGATTCCCAGCTGTCAGGTATTTCCCCCCTGTTTTTATTTTTAAAATAACTTCAGTCTTTCTTCATTATCCAGATTTTACCCTTCTTTTGCTCTGAAGTGCACTTTACAAGCCCTTTCAGATCTCATGCACCTCCCTTCAGCACCTTTTCAAGTAACCATAACCATTTCTAGTTCAGCCCAAAGACACGTTCCACATTTCAGAAATTATTAAGAAAACTTCATGAGAATGAGTCATTAAAAGGCTGCAGTTCCAACAGCATAAAATAAAGCTCCAGTTTTTTCTCATTCATCAATTCTCTTCAAAAGTGTTGCTTGACTTCTTTTAGTGATTTTTTTTCCCTTTTATGTTGTTTCATTTTTTAAAGCCTAAAGGACTGATTACTGAAATTAGGTGCATGCAAACACATAATGCCTGTAGATACTGTGGGGTGATTTAGCCTTTTGGCTTTCTTGGTTGTCTGACCTTCTCTGGTCCCAGAGTTTATTCTTCTGCTTGAGGAAGAAAGTCTTTAGCTGATGTTGAAATTTGGATACCACCCAGCTCAAAGTCAATGAAATAGATTTTCATATGTTACTAAAAATTCAGATTTAGGCCACACAAATATGTAACTTTGGTTTTGGTGAAGTCATGTGCTAATCAACTCTCCCTGAAGTCATTAGAATGTGCTGTTTTTATAATGCATTTTGGAATTTCAAACACTTCAGAAATGCATATTTTTAATTTCTTTTTTTGTTGAACAGATAAAATTTTCATATGGTCAAAAATGAGTAGCTTAGAAAATTAATCCAGTGTAGTTTAGATAAGAATTAATGTGCAAATAAAAAATAGTTGACAGTTTTCATACCTCCTTATGATCATATGAAATTTGAAGTCTTAACTGAATATGACTTAGAGTTTCTTTAAATACTTCTAAAATAAATAAAAAAATTAAGGCACTCAACTTGCAAAATGGACACAGTTTGAGTTTATCTGATTAATATTTAACATCTATGACATTTCAGACATCCAGTCTTGGTACTCATATAGTCAAGAGAACTTTCAGTAGTGATTTTAACATGAGCTGAAATCTTCAATGAAACTGTGTTTCAAACCCTCCATATTTCTCAGGAACAAAATTATTTACACTAGGGTTTTGAAAGAATTTTTATCTTGATGTAAGTAGGAGATATGTTTCAACATTCATGCTGATTTTTAATTCAATTGACATGAAAGGGCTGCTTGCTCAGAGTCCTGACCTATGCTCAGTGAAATTCTCTGTGACTGGATTATAATGGATTTTAATGCTGGCACCCACCTTCCCTCACAATGAATTCAATGAGATTTTTCAGCACGAATTTCAATCACTTGTTGCATTTCAGGTATTTCCTTCCTTTGATTTGTAAGTCAGTTGAATTTCATTTAACACTCAGTGGAACCATGCTGTGTTCTTTTTCCTCACAGCACTATCTGGAAAAGGAAAGTTTTCCTCCTTATTTCTATAACCATGTGCATCCTTGGCAGGTGGAAAGATCGTGTGCGTGACTCTGAACAGCCTTGGCATCCAGACGTGTGCTGAGGAAAGAACAAGTGCTTGGCACATTTCAAACTGCAGTTCACCAGATGCTGAAGTCAAAATACACCCATTTGGCTGGTATCAAAAGCCTGGTAAGTGATGCAGGACACACGACCTTTCTAATGGGATTCTGCACACTGAAGCTTATTATTTAGCTTCAGTGTATAAAAATTCCAGCTTCCAGCTGCAGGATCCATTTGCAAGGACCACAAATAGACCAGGCAAACAAGTATGTGCAAAGGAAAGGTGCAATTTAATATCCATTTTAATACAAAAGGAATAGCAATACCTCAAAGATGTATAATTTAATTTCTTAGATTCTATTGGAAACTTGTGGCCAATGTCAGAATTCAAATATATTTTGCCTCACTGTGCAGTCCTGGTCAGGAAGTCATCTTTTGTTTCTCACTCACTGGCTTATGGTTTCACCATCCATGTGGCTGCATAACCTCAAAAGGCTTGGGTTTGCTACAGAATTTAAAATTAACTTTTGGTTGTTTTGGTAAAGAAAGGACCAAGACAAAATTCCAAAGTAGGCCTATATTTTTCAAGTAGTAAGAAGCCATCAGGTGTTTAAACAGAAAAGCAGTTATGAGATGTTGCATTGTTTTCTCAGGAGGAATCAAAACCACTCCTAGTCAAGATAGATTTTATTTTCTGTGGGGAAACAAAAGCTTCATTGCTTTGTTGAAAACTTTAAATGGGTTTGCCATTTGTCACACTCCTTTTGGGCAGGTCTAGTTCTGCTTTGTTAAGCTGTGATTTAATGTAACTGAAAGAATAAGGAAAACAATTGCCCACGTGAGTTTGTCTCTCTATATGGGAGGACAGCCACGATTCCAGGGCAGAGAGCCCCCCTGGGGGCAGGTCTGGTGATGTTGACAGAATCAGGGAAAATTTTTGAATAAGATATACTTTTTTCTGCTTTTATACTCCCTCAGTTCTTGCAGAGTAGAGAAAGGCTGATAAGTGAAAGGAGGGGGGGGGGTACAAAGCATGGATATATTGTCCAGAGAATGTGATAGAAAAATAATCCAGTTAAAGCTGTGTAGAGATGGATCAGATATTGTGGCAATACATTGCATTTTACAGTGTTGATAAATAAAACCTTCATTCACACTCTAAGTGTCTGAAATATGAACCCAATGTTGAGCTTTTAAAGCCTTGCACTGTCCCTGTGCCCACAGAACCATCCATGTCCTCTTGTTAAAGGGCAGAGACAGCATGGAAGCATCATGAGAGCTGGGAAGGGGTGGGCTGAGGGTCTAGCGCTGAGAGGAGGGGAACAACACCCTGATAAAGCAATGGCAGCATCCTGATGGCAGGGGGAGTTGAGATGCAGACAGGGGTGAGAGTGAAGAAGTGGTGTAGATACACTTCCATTCCTTGGAATTGTTTTCCCCTTGTTGGCAAAGAACCAACAAAAATAAAGGCTATTTCTCACATGACAGAGGGATGATGAAGAGGAGCCTGGGGTGTATGCAAAGTAGGGAATATTAGGAGAGACAGTGACATTTCCTTCTGCATCAAGGGAGTTACAGATGTGTTTCCACCACAACACACAGTAAGGCACAGCTGTTTATGCAAATGGAGATATTTACAGACAAAAATTTGTATCAGTTGTGCTGGTGTGTTGAAGGTCTGGTGAGCCAGGAAAAGGAACAAAAAAGTTCTAAAAAGGCTAAAAAGGAAAATAAAATCTGAAGGAGTGATTTGCTGCAGCAGTGGGATATTGGCATGATGCTGGGTCTGGTTGTATTCCACAGTGGTGTTGGAGGAAGGTGCTTCTGTCCCCGTGTTTCATAACAGGCTAAGTTGATGTGTGAGCTGTTTCCTGCACAGCTCTGCTTGTGGGCAATTTGTTTATGTGCAGTCAGAGCTGCAGCTCAGTCAAAAAGGAACGTAGAGTAGCATTTCAAAGAGTTTTGGATAGGCCCAGTCTTTCACTTCTGTGAATGGGAAAACCTCTGAGTTTTTAGAAACCTCTGTTACGTGCATGGGAAACACATACTGGAAGAAGTTAACAAAATCTGATCAGCCTTCATCTTCTTTAGGGATGGTCATTTATTATGTCTTAGTGGAGAATTTATAATTGGTTTGACTGGCCAAAGTGTTTTACAAAATATGAATGCGCAGGGGAAATTTAATATTTATTATTTGTGATTACTAAATGTTTATGGGGAGTATCAGCAAATGAGAAGTGTTTTGTATGGAAATGAATATGAAGTTTTGGTTATGATGAATTCTTATTTGATCTTAAATTTGGAAAGTGTTGTGCTGGAAAATGCCTTGTTTCTAATGAATATTTCTGAGAAATTCCAGTTTGCAGAGAACTGGAAGCAGAGAGAATTTTGTGTCTCCCCTGGTGCAGAAACCTGAATACAGAGAGGGACATAGGAAAAACACAGAAATACTGAAATGAGCTGTTCATGACTGTATCTTAAAAAGTGTTTGTAGGAACGTTTATATACATAGAAATTTAGGGAAGTCTGGTTTCATGTATGAGCTCAAAAGGATTAGATAGCAAAGTAGCCTTGCAGCCTTACTTTTGGTGTTTGTGGGGAGAAGATTCTACATCCAGATCCAAGAAGTAATCTGAAAATATTGAGTATCAATTGCATTTTAAACCTTCAAGTATTATGGTTTTCAATTGTATTGTTTTTTTTCTGCTTTTAGCTGACTTGAAGAGCACCATTCCCAACCTGTGTCCACCTGTTAGTTTCCCACTCAGACCAGAAAGTGGTAAGTGTATTTATGAATTGAACAAAACCAAAACTAAACAAACCACCTCAAGAAAAGAAAAAAAAAACCAAAAAAAACCCAGTAAAAATCCTCCCATCCTCTGTTTTGTACATATTGCTGAACGATAACACTATAATGAATGTGTTCCCCATGAGGTTACTCATTTAGGTATTTACCCATTTTCATTAATTGTGTATCATTTAAATGAAAAAACTGTCATGTCCACAATGCTGACCTAATTTCTCACACTCACTGACACATGAGGTCACTGAGACTGCCAAAAATATTTGGCAGGACTGATGAAAAAAAATTATTTATGAGTGTGGACGTTGCATCACTTTCCAGATACAATGGATATCTCATGTATTATTTTAAAAGTGGGTGGATCTTCTTAGTAAATGAAACTTAACTGCTGTCTTTCAGGGCTTTGTGTCTATTGCCCCCTAAAAATATATGCAAATTGTCAGCAGCTCCAGGCTTCCCTGAAGTGTTCTTTCCACAAATACACTGCATAGCTGCAAAATGCTATGTATAACAGAAAGAGGGTGCACTGGTTATTAGAAAACTCAATTTAACCCTCCAGTTATACTGAAATTGAGAAGTCAATTCCATCTCTGCCTTTGATATTCTGTAATCAGAACAAATATTTAATCTGACTGAACCTGTCTTTCTTTAAAGCATATGCAACTGAGCATGCAGGAGACTTGATATTTGCAAAGAATTTTCAATACTCAGTTTGGAATTTATTATGATCTGTCTTATCATCATATCCATAACCAGCAGTCATGATCAAGTTTGGTGTATTTTTTAGTAGAATTTGTGCTTTTAAAATGGTCACTTTAATGCAACAGAAGGAAAGCTCCTATCTTTGTAGGTAAGCAGAAATAATTTTTGTGTGAAACACTTTGAGGAGGTGGTGGGGTAGGCCTGGTGTGTAGGTTGGGAAATTCAGCTCCTTTGCAAACTGTTTTTCCCATGGGATGTGGAAAACAAATTCACTAAAGCTTTCTTCCCCCCAGAGTGAAGCTTGGTAGTAATTTTGTCATTTTTCTTTAATTTTTTCTTTCTTCCTTAAATCTAGGGAAACAGTGACCTAAGCAGCACTTAAGAAAATCAGGAGATTGGGTCTTTCTGCTGTTTGCTTTTGACTCTAAAGGCTGCCCAGAAGAGTGGCCCTAGCAAGTGAGGTGCTCCTCTTTTGTAGCAACCCTGATCTATCACACCCACTCCCAGGTCATCTTTCCAAATGCAGAGCAGCTAGGGATGTCTCTGGTTTGCAGAGATCTGGTTAAGCAGCCCAAGCAAGCAGAGCTTCCCACAAGGACACAGGATTCTGGGTTGGAGTGTTTGTCCTGGGGACTGATAGTGGTTAGGTGAAGTCACTTAATTACAGAGCACAGCAAGGCTGCAAGTCAAATTAGCACTGGTTTCTTAGACACTTTGGGGCTCTGACACCACCAGAGCAACATATTCAAAATGCAACTGGACACCACCTGTCCTTATTTTTGCCTCATTTCAATAGTAAAAGTACTGGTTATTAAGGTCAGATTGTTATCTGGTTGTGTCGGCAGAGGTTTTAGAAAATTTTCAAAAACGTTGCTTCCAAACATTTTATGATTTTATGTTATATTAATATGTGCTATAGAAGACTAATTGTTTTAAAGCTGGGCATCACACAAAAGCCAGCATTTACTGAATTTTGTACATTGTGGTAATGTTTGTACATGGGGATAAAAAACTTCTGTGGCTGCTCTGTGATAGCCAGATGGTGAGTGTGAGAAATTGTCACTATTTAAAGGGCACTGCCATGAGTAGATATGTGTGTGTGCGAATGTAAGCATATCTATATATATAAAAAATATAAAATTTTCCATTGAAAGATCAGAAAATACTTAAATTTGCATACTTTGCCAGAAGGCTCTGCAAAATTGTGAGGCTAATGTTATATCCAATCTAGAGTTAGATCCGGTTAACTGGAGCTCAATTAAGAGCTACATTTCATCAAAAGTTAATGCATTGACTGCCTCATTCCCTCCAGTTTGCAATGCTCAGGACGGAGTGCCCAGCACATTCCTTTCTCCCATTTGCAGTCAGGGTGCTGCTCCATTCAAAATCTGTGGTGTTTGCAGACTCAATGTGTTGTGAAGAAACCCAGATGAGCAGACTTATTTTCAGTCTGGTACTTTGCCTGTTTTACTCATTGTTCTTCTCAGCAGAGAGGGTAGAGGCATTGTGAGGCCATAAAACAACGGGAAGATCCCAACAGGAAGCCTTTTTACAAGTACAGGGATAGCAAAAGGAAAGGTAGGGAAAATGTGGGGCTGCTGAATGGGGCAGGAGACCTGATGACAAAGGAAAAGGACAAGGTGCCTTCTTCACCTCAGTCATTCCTGGCAAGTCCAGCTTTCAGGATATTCAGACCAGGGGGAAGTCTGCAGCAAGGAAGTTCTTTCAGCCTTAGAGAAGGAGGGTCAGATCAGGGACAAAGCTGGACATACAAATCCAGGACTACAGAGGGAGCGGGTTAATGTCATTCTGAGGCCACTCTCAAATACCTTTGAAGGTGATGAGGGAGATACTTATTTTCTGTCTGTTCCCTAGTCTGGGGTTTGAAGAAGTTCATCAGTAGTAATCACCATAAAACATCTAGACCTTTGAATCTGCAGTGACAAAAATAATTTTCAGGAGCAACTTCTTTTCATGTCTTGTCATAGACCAGCCTGCAGCCACTAGGGAGAGGCAAGAAAAGACCCTTCCCAATGTAAGGACAATCCTGGGAGCGACACAACAAAAGGAGAGGGTCAGGGTTCTTCCTGTTCTTTGTCTTGACCAGAATGTTCTTCCAGCAGCCCATTGCAGCCCTGTGATTTCTCTCAAAAGCCTGAGGCTCCAGTGAGCTTTTTCCAAATTATTGCCCCTACAAACAACACTGCTGTGTGTTTCTAACATTCACGAGATACACATTAGTCTGTGAAAAAGGGGAATTAGTGCTCTGTAGTGGCTGTAGCCCACTGCTCTCTAGCAGGAGGGAGGTGAATTGCACAGTGTCTTTTACCTGGATTCTCATGGATTAGTTGTTGCTTCAGCATATTTTGCCTACTTGCAAAAGCCTTTCTGCTACAAGGCTAAAGTTTGCAAGTTGTCTCATCTCCAGGCTGCAGAGGGTTTAACCACATGGTTTTCATATTTAACTGAATGAATTCTTCCATTTACTTCTGTACACCTGTGGCATGGAGCAAAGCATGCTCCTGCTGCTCTGTTGTAATTTCCACATAGTTTCTGTGATCTGAGAAGTGGTGCTTAAAAAATTAATAGCCTGAACTGACTGGGAAAGTCTGACTTGTTATGTTTGGAGCATTTTTTTCCCCCTGTAGAAGTTCATCTGCTGTGATGACACTGAGTAAGGAACCATCTGTAGGGAGCTTCAGGTACAATCTGTGACCTTCACCAATGGGAGAACAGATGTTATTTTAAGACTTCCCATGCTGAAAATGCTCAAATGTCATCCTGCAGTCTTGGTTTACTTAGGCTGGTATTTAAATAACAACTCTGCTCAGTTGTGTGAATATGGTGGACTGTCTTATAAAGAGAAAACAGCCAGGTCTCATAATTAGGTTTGAGATGGAACTTCCTGCAGCCAGCTGAAAGCTAGGCAAGATAAGAAAACAGTTTTTTTAATGATATATTTTTGTATTGTTATTTTCCAAATATGCAAGCTGTTTTTCAAACAGTTTATGCGCAAGGTTTGATTTTTGGATATTTTTATGTGTTTGCAAATTAGTCTTAAAGAAGCAAAACAATCCATGAGACATGTTATGTGAATTTATAGAAGGAATACTTGTGCTTAAAGCAGACTGGAGAGCCTGAAAATACTCCTGTGTGTGTGGGAAGAGCAACCCTGATGACTTTTGACTTGGTTACAGGATTTATTAGTTGTACACAGTAATTACCTAGACTTTAATGAATATTTTTGTCTTCAGTTCTAACTAGAACATGTCTATCTGCTTTAGATTTGGCAGCTGTTAGGAGGCAGTGGTCCTTACAGGGTGGCTCCTGCATGGCCCTGTGGATTACATACAGATCATGTGTATGTAATCAAATATTTAATTGAGATTAAATCCATGCAAATTAAGTAATTAATTGAGAAACCACAGAGGCATGTGGATGAAGGATCTGTTAGGCCCTTGCTGTTCCTGCCTCCTGTGACCCCCTAATGATTTATAGTCATTCCCTTCAGGCAGGACTGAGCAGAGCAGTGGCTGCAGGATATTCCAACATGAGAATACATTTCCCAGCGGGCTGTGTCTGCACATGGGATGTTTCCATTCTCAAGAGAGATGCTGACTTTGGTGATTAATAGTATCCTTTATCTTCCTGGTTTTCCACAATGTTGAATATTTTTCAGAGACATCCTTGGTGTGAAACAAAGACAGCCTTAATTTTACCCAATTTTGGGAACTGATTTGCCATGCTCCCACACAGAAAATTTGATCTCTGATGTGGAATTATCCCATCTTTGGTTTTAAGTTTGATTTTTATTGTTTGTAAAATGAGGATTTTAGCCTTTTGAAAACAGCTTATTTTAAACCCGGATAAATACCTAGTACATTTTTAATATCCCCTTACTATATCATTTGCTATAATTGGCACTGCTAAAGGAGACAGAAAGCTTGTATTTAACAGGATCATAGTGAGATTGCTCCATGCTAAAGGCCATAAATACACAGTTGTTATTTTTGAGACTTGTCTGAGGTGTGATTACTGTTATTATGCAGCAGTTTAAAGAAAATCACTCATTTTGAATTATACAAATCTCAATGGATCAACAAAAATGAGAAGTAGTTATATTTTAGGAAGAGTATATTTTCTGCAGGTCCACTCTGTGCTGATGATTTGCTAGCTTTGGAGATAGTTGGTATACAGACAGGTTAGCAATCTGTTGAAAAAAACCTCTGGAAATTAAGAATAGAATAGAATAGAATAGAATAGAATAGAATAGAATAGAATAGAATAGAATAGAATGCAGTAAGTTCAGTCTGCAAGCATGTTTTGGGTTTGAGTCAGGGGTATTAAATATGGCTCACAAATTTCAGAATTAAGATCAGAATTTGTATTTCAAACATAAATCAGGCATACTGAACCTCAGATTTACCTCCTCAACTTCACAAGTTTTTTTTTAAATTTAACTTGTGATTTTAATGCACTTCTGTATCTCTGTTTTACTTATATCAAGTGTTAAATTTTACAGCAAACTCGCAATTGATGCCCCTTTTCTTCCACTGAAGTCAGTGATGAAATTTTTGTTGACTTTATGACAAGGATTTTATAATCTTATTGCCTGTGAGAGTGGGAGGCTGAACTTGGTGTCTCCAGGAAATCTATTCCAGTCTTGTGATCTCGTGACTGGAGTGGGAACAGAGTAAGACCAGTGTGAGTCTTTTTGCAAATCCAGTCTTAAATCTTGCCTACCCAAACAAGAACATCTGGAAGAGAGAGGTTCTCTATATGGGAGATCTCTAATTTTGCAATAAGAGTTACAGGGATGGCTGGATCCAGAGGGCTGTAATTATCCAATGAAAGCCTTAGCCAAAATGTGGGTTGGGAGGTCAGTGCTTAACCTATATATAAATCAGAAATGTCTTCCAGCCATCAGGTGCACTGTGCACTGCCAGTAGCACAGGGCCAGTCTGTGAACACAGTTTCTATGTGAGGCAAATTTACATCAGCCGTGGAAAGTTGTGTTTTGCTCATGGAATGAAGTGGGTGTGCATGGCTGTGGGCACTGCTGGATCTGCCTTCAGGAGAAGGGAAGAACCAAGTAATATCCAAAATCTCTCTAGCAGCTCACTGCTGATTGTCAATGTCCACAGTGGTGCCGTGCATGGCTCTGGGTTAAGGAGTTTTGCTCTGTTGTTAAAATAAGCATTAATGTCTCTGCATCTCTCTGCATCTGAAGTCAGCTGGGCAAAAATAGGGAAGAGGAAAAAACTGTGAGTCTCAGCATTTAAACCTGACCTGAGATCATGAATGCATTGTCCAGGACAGAGTACGAAAAAAAAAACTCCAAAAAGCTAAACCCATACCAAATCCAAAGAACCTTGCATGTGGGAGGTGCCAAGGGTCACTTCTTGATTTGTGGCAATGAATAATCAGTTTAGATAGGATTGTATGAGCTGTGGATGTTTGCATCATGAGTGGTCACTCTTCCATGCCTGCACGGGCTGCCAAGTGCCCAGTGTGCCTCATATGTGTATAAGGTATGCTCCTGACTTGGCTCTACCCACATAAAGGGATAAAATAAATTTCTGGCGTAGAAGTACAAAGTTTATCTTGTGAAATAGGTATAGAAGGCAAAATTCAAGCGTCAGAGGTGTAAATCCAAAAAGTTTTTTTTTTTTTTTTTTGTGGATTCATTTTGAATTTCCTTCCTGAGGGGGCAAGGACCCCTCTGAATGTTTGGCCTGTTGGATATGAAGGCAAATGAGGATGATGAGACTTGCTCGAGGTCACTTGGTGAGTCAGGGATGCTACAGGAAGAGAATCTGGGGAAACATCTTCCAAAACCACTGGTGCATCCAGACTTTTTGTGTTACAGTGGAATCCAGACTCTCTTTTGAAAGAACCACAGCTGGTAATTTCAAGCTTTGTGTTTGACCCTAGAGAGATTTTGCATGTTCCAGCAGTAGGTAGTTCTCAGCTGCTGGTACTGTAGATAGCACAGGATGGCAACATTGCTCTTAGGTAAAAACAAACTTTGAGTCATATTGATAAAAGAAATCTTGTTCTTCAGAAAAACAAAAACAAAAGCACAAACTGAGAACATAAATTGGTAAGGTTCAATCTGGAAAAGAAAGGCCTGGGGGGATCAGGTAATGCAGGCAGAAAATCTCTGGAGGGGATGCAATGGTTAATTCTCCATCACTTAAAACTGATGTCTATTTTTTAAGAATCTTTCTAAATAAGTGCCACAAAGTATCACCCTAGATGTAGAGGCTGAAGTTTTCTAACATAGGTCATGCAACAACTCACAGTAGGTGTTTCTAAAAAAGAGAAAACATTGACAATATGAAAAACTGTCACTTCCACATGACTAAAATCACTCTCTTCCTCTAAAATAATTGAATAGTCAGTCCTTAAAGGGAAGAAAGAAATCCAGTGCAGTGAATCTGTTACACAAGTCAAGCTGTGGCTGCAGGGTCACTGCTCCTGAACAGTTCAGATCCCCTCTGAATGTAGCACTGGTGATGACTTTGCCTCTCTGTGACTCAAATAAGTTTGTGGTGTTAACAATAAGCAGTGCAACACCAAATTAACCTCAATTTCTACTTAGCTGGAGACTTTCACCCTCTCTCTCTCAGAAAGTTGCTCAGAACTATAAGAGGAATGAAATGATTTTGGTTGTAAAGGACCTGTGGAGCCCAGTCCTGCTTTCTTGCCTCTAGTTCAAAATGTGAACTTTGTGAAGCTCCGTGGAATAGAGGGTCAGTTCATCACTCTATCAGATGTTTTCTTCAGCAAGAGGATGGCAAAGGAACCAAGCCCTAAGGCAACCACCTTGGAAATGGTGGTAGCACATCAGTTTTTTTCAGCTTGTCCTTCATGAGATAACTCATACTTGAGGTTTACACTTCTTAGGGAAGGATTTACCCTGCAAAAGAAAAGACTTTTTTCATCATTGTAGAGTCTTGAATTGTGGCAGTTGCTCTGCATTGTAGTGAATTATACAATAGTTATGAAATTGATTTTATTCACTGCCTATTTGCTCAAGGAAGGATGCAACCAGCCATGTCTGTGATGTGTTTTGGGTCTTGGGTTTTCATCAACTGGACAAGTGTGTCAACACCAGGACTTTCAAGTTGACTGTATGGACCCCCGACCTCAGCCTGATGTCTGATGTTGAGTGCTGTGGTCAAACTGTCTTTCTATGAGAGGGGCAGAAAGGAAACTTTGGCCATCTTTGCAAGTCACTGATTTCTCAGTAGAATAAAAGAAATGTTTAATAAAATGACAGGTCATGACTTTTGCATCTGTGTGGGTCAATGAGGTCAAAGGCAAGAGCTGCTCACCAGGAATGGCAAAGGAACTGCTGACTCTGTTCTGTCCTCACCCTACAATTACATGGAGAGGGCAACACCAACCCACTGTTTAGGACTCAGTGGCCACAGCAGGGCCTTTTGCTTCTAAAACATATTGAACTTCTGAAAGAAACTAAAATAATTAAAGGCTCATTCTGTCCCAAACCCTTTTTGTCTTCTGTGTGCAAAATTGGGAGTTCTCAGATATTTTTATCTGTTTGTGTATGAGAAAAGACTGTGGTATTTCTTTAAAATATAGTTTGAGACAGAAGGACAATTCTTGAGGAATACCAGAGTTAGTACGTATGTGTATATGCATGCTCACACAAGTGCATGGATGTTAAATGAATATATGGGAATATACATATATGTAATACACATGATTATATTTATACATATGCACATATTTGTGTATATATATATGGCTATGAAATTGAGTGAAATCTTAATTATGTAGAAGTTACATGACATTAAAACTGTTCATACAAATTAATATAATTATGTCCACAAAATCAAATTAAAATGATCAAATTAACCTCCATTTACTTTCCAAGAAGTTAGTGGTTGTACCTATTCAGGAACTTACATGCAAATATATAACCCATGCCCTGTAATGTAATTAGGGCTGGTCAGAAACCTTTTATTTTAGTCAGTTGGATTTCAAACCTGGATAAAGCTGCCCTGGATTTGCCTTTTTCTTTATTAAATACCTTTGTAAACCAATTAATATCTGACCTTTGAACATGGGATTGGACCTTCAAGTCAATCAAAGGCCTTTGAATATTTAATTTATTCTCAGTTGATGCAAAGGAAGATGACACTTGTTCATTGAGGAACTCCCCAATGCTTTAAACTATATATTAGTTTCCTCTGAAATTTTTACTGCTCCTTCTAGTCATATTTTCTATTTATGGTTCATTTTACAGAGTATGTGGATGCATGGCAACCCTTAAATGTGTCATCTGTTCTCATGGATTCATCCGTCTCAAACTTTGAAGTTGTGCATGTTAGCAGAGATATATCCAATGACTTCTCCACTGCCAGAGATTTTTGCCTGTCTGGTAAGAAATGGTCATACAGAAAATACTGACTTGTAAGCCTGAAATCCAAGAGCAGCTTTTCCATTTCTGATATAGATACATTGTTTTCAAAGACTATCCCACTGTTTCCTAATCTGAGAGAGGGGGTCTGAAGTTGTTTAATTAAAGAGAGGTGCAGCAGATATAAAATGCCCTGCAGTAATTAGGTAATTTTGACACTTTTTGGGCACAGAGATCTCTTACTTCTCCAGGCATTGTACAGCTGGGAGAATATTATAACAGACTTAAAGCAATGATGTTTTGCTTTTCTAAAGTGCCACTTCCATTTCCTAAACGCACCTGCCATTATCTAAAGGAGCCTGTGGCTGTGGTGTGTGAGGGAGGGTTAACTGAGAGCTAGGAGGAAGCAGGGATTGAGCTGTAGTAACAGCAAAGAGAATTACTTCAATCTACAGCCTGACTAAAGAGAAAGAGTCCTTAGTTTCACATGGCTGGGAAATCCTCAGTGCCACAGTGGTAGAAATAAGGGAAAATTCCCATTTACTCGCTAGGGACAGTTGGAATTCAGATGAGGTTATGAGCACTTTACTAGATGATGTCTTTCTCCTTCTAAAACCTGTGATAATAGTTCTTTTTGCTGCATTATTCCATTTTAAGGCCAATATAACCTTCTGTCCTTTGGCTATTTTGGAGAATGTTCTGGGCCTTTGAGGACATTTATGTCCCATTACTCTGAATTACATTAAATCCTTGTTGCTTCACCTGTTGTAAAACCTTTCTTTTAAGAACAGTTTAACACTGTCATGCAAAATATAACATTTTTACCTGCTCTTTTTCTTCATGCCTCACCTCACAGCTTGTTCAAAGAACCAGTCATGTATAGTGGTTACTCTGGAAATCCAGCCTTCAGCAGTAAGGTGCATTTTCTACCCTGACACCCAGATATGCAGACATGGCCTGCAAGGGCACAGCTGCTGGGTTTTACTCAAAGAACCTGCTGCCTATATCTATAGGAGACAAGGTAAGAACGGGTTAGAGCTGTCGAGGAAGGACCTCACCTGTGGTGGTCTGTGCACAACTCTTGTGAATGGGGGACTGAGGAATTCCTCACCTCAAAAATCAATGTGGATGTCTCCTGGACACTTGTCCATGGCTGTTTCAGAGCAGTTACTGTTAAGGGGATGGGAAAAATGTCCCCAAATACTGTTTTAAAAATGCATGAAATAGTAGTGTTACCCTCTGGTGTTGAAGCAGGCATAACAGAGGAAGTCTAGTTTATGAAAGATATTTTGAAAGCGCAGAATAGTAAAACCAAACAACAACAGTAATGCAAGTCCAGCTCTTAGCTTTTCATCTGCAGAAGATGCTTTGATATGCTCTTCCTTTTAAGCTTGGAGAATAACACTAGGAGTGTTGAAAAGCCACTGTCAATTGAAAGTACTGAGGAAAATCTCTAGAGAAAACAAAGAAAACAAACAGATATCCCTGCTCCCTAAGCAGGATGAAATAATTGTTTAAAAAAGTGAAAATTATTTAAGAAAGAAAAAGAAGTTGTGTAGACAGTATAGATAAGTAAAAATTCTGTTGTTTGGTTACATACTTATTTGAAAATGTAAGTTTTGTTTGGTTTATTCCCCTTGATTTTTAAAGAGACTGCTTTCTTTTTATGTAATACTGGTTGTTTTATTTATTAAAGGTAATTAGAACCCAGGTAACAATAAGGGGGAAGGGAAAAAATTTTCCTTTACAATGAAATTCTGTGAAGTCAATGAGAACCTTCTAAGTTGAAACTCAATGAGAGAAAAAGTGGTTTCTAAATAGAACAAAATCACAAACTGAGACATAAAATCACTGTGTGTTTATTGTTTGTTGCAGGTTTGGTTTTAGTTTTAGTCCCATGACTATGAATTTTGTTCCTGCATGTCAAATACATTGTTTTAGGAGAAAAATAGCAGGATATGTAACTTAGCTGTGTTTTAATGACGTATTTTATAGAAAGAGTAACAGTAAATTTATCTATGTTTCATTTAAAGAAGTGGACACTTAACAGTTTAAAACTATGGGAATTGGGACTAATTTTCATTTCTGAAATGGTCTTAACTTGAAAAACACAAATTATTTTTCCTCTGCTCCTCCTCTGATAGATTTACTTCTGCCCATTGAGGAATCAGATTCAACCCCAAGAGCGTACATCCAGTCCCACGGGTATCTGATGGGCAAATCCCAGGTGATCCACATTGGCTCAGAATGGAAAAACATCAGCCAGTTCCTGGGGGTCCCTTATGCTGCCCCTCCCCTTGGAGAGAGGCGCTTCAGCCCCCCGGAGCTGACTGCTTGGGAGGAAACCTGGAATGCCACGGTGGCTCGGTAAGAATCCCCCGTGATCACCTGCAGGAGCTCTTGTCCAGCCAGGGATGTGAAAATGACAGCAATATTCCTGTCCTTTCTCTCAAAGCAACCTACAGGGTTCAGCTAGATACAAGTCTGAGGCTTTGATTAGCAAAGAGAATAATTTCTCCCTCCATGTGTTAAAGCATGCAAGCACCTCAAGAGAAAAGGAAAATTCCTGTACACTCCATTGCCTTGAATCTCTGCATAACTCCCCACCAAATGTCTGCTGTCAGTCTATTTTCATTCTGAATAGTATTTGTGCAGGTGTTTATTATATTTATAAAATTACCTTTTGTTCCTGCTGAGCCATAAATTTGTACACATTTAATCCAAGAAGGGCACTTAAACACTGATCTAATCAGAAGGTGTGGGCCTCTTATAGAAATTCTCTGCCTAGTGGTGTCCAAGAGATCAGGGTGAAGGGCCTGGAAAAATCAATCTTTTCTGGCCAAAACCTATTAAAAGGCAAATGGTTGGGGAGTTGAAAGTGTATGTGGCCTTTGGTGATCCCATCCTTCAGGATGCACCTGAGCTGTGGAGGTGTGGAGCCTGGAGCACATTGCAGGCACCTGGTGGGATGTGGCTTTTTGTTTCCTCAGGTGTGCAGTGGTGTTAGTTCAGCACACACAGAACTGGCTCTTGGTGTCTGAGCCCTTGGGCTTAGCTAGACCCACCTGCCTCTGTGAGCTCCCCTTGAAGACCTGGGGTTTCTGTGAACAGCCTGGCTGAGATTTGCAAAATAATTTGGGGACCTTTGTCAATCTGTTCCTGTATTTTGAATCCACAGTGCTTGCTTAGCCCCATGAAAAATTTGGCCATTATTTTCTATTATTCATTTAAAATTAAAAAACCAATTATTTTGCACTTGGGGAATTGGAGAGACCTCACTTTATGTATGGAAACTGTTGATTTTTTTAGGATTCTATATATTCTATATTGATGTTGCTAAATATTTATATACATGAAATTCTCATTAGCACAGTGCCATTACTGATGGAAGAGAAATATTTATTTATCAGCTTGGACTTGATGAAAGAATTAAAAAACTTTACAAACCCAGCCCAAACCAACCCAACCAAAAACACCAGCCAGTTGCTGGAGTCTCCAGCTCCTGGAAGAGCTGTGGACTTGCTTCAGCAGGTGGCAGCCTTTCTCCTGGGAGCTGGAGAAAAAAAGCTGTGATCACAGGTGATGATCCCTGCTGCCCTGTGGAAAGCTGTATGATTAATAGTGTAATACCTATTGTCCTGGCAGGTTTCCTACCTGGGATTTTGCATTTTTTCTGCCAAAAGTGGTTTTAGAAGTTTTTAGTTTTGGAGATGATGTGCTTCACCATGTCAGTGTGAAAGTTGTTGAGTGACATCACCATCCTAGGAGTCTCCCCCTTATGGAAAAAAAATTAATTGTAGAATTCCATTAAGTCTGGTTATTTTCCTTGTAGTTTTCTAATAATTTCTTCACACCTTTAGTTCAAAATTTTACAAGGACATTAAAAATGATAATTTAAAAATAATTCTCTGAGCTATTACCATATTTTCCAAAACCTCTATTGGCTTTCCTCAATAATAAATTGTGAGTTTTTTCCATAACTCATCATGTGGTATGGATAAATCTGTGAAATAGAAGGAACTGGCTTCAAAGTAGGTACTGAGCAGCAAAAATCATCAACTTTCAAGCTTGATATCCTTGAGCAGATGAATCTCATTCAGATGATGGCCAGAAAATGATTTTCTCTATGTGGTTGGCTGCTGAATTCTTATCAAAAGGGTACTTTTAACATTAATTGACACTATTAATTGACACTGTTAATTGTCTGCTGTGATGCATAGAACACAGAGATGTTTTAAATGTGTTAAAATTTTGAAGTTACTAAATTTTCCCACAGACCATTAGAAATTAAATTAAACACAATTACATGTAGCCCACAGACCCCTAGGAAATAAATAAAAATGTATGTAGCCCACAAATTATTAGAAATTTAAATGAATAACCAGCATTTCAGCAAAAGAGTGATTTTGTAGGTGTGCAGGGAAGACTGCCTGTGAGTTCCAGTCCTGCTCCCTTTACAGCTGGTGCTAATTTTGCATAGTTTATGTAAAGTGAGGATTTTTTGAGGCATATTTTCAAGTTTTAAGCTTTTTAAAATGAGGCAGGGTGTCTGAGGAGGGGCTCTGGGCACACAAATGCAATGCATTATCTGTATGTGTACAAATATAGCTGCTGCTAACTTATAGGTGGGAATGGCTTTAAACATGATCAAGATTTACAGATTTAAAGATTTTATTAACCCAATGCATCAAAGTATAAAGAAGTAATAGCAGTGGAGGAAGAGTATAAGCCTTTTTTATTGTAGCTTTCTCAATCTGTGTCTCTAGGGCAGCGTGTTGGCAGCCAGGAGATGGAGAGGCCCCGTCACAGTCTGTCAGTGAGGACTGTCTGTATCTGCACATCTTTGTTCCTGCCACCACTGTAAGTAAGAGATGTAATTAAAATCGAATTTTTTTTGTAGCTGGGGATTGTCTCTTTCCAAAGTGCTTTTAATTGGCATGAATGGCTGTTTTTCCTGTGCTGTTCACAAAGCCTGCAAAGTTAAATTAGGCACTCTGGTGTCTTTACTGGTACAAGAGTATTCCCTACAGGCTTTGTGTGAACAATGTGAGGTGACTAGGAGGACAGCATACTAAGAAGCTAGAAATAAGAGAGACAGAGAGGAAAACAACACAAGAATGTGGCAGCAAAGGAGGATAAATTAAGGACAGAGATGGCAGTGTTCCTGCAAGCAGACCATCTGTCCAATAATGCAATACAATACGTCAACACTTGCCACCAGACAGGGAGCTGCTGATGGTTTTTTCCCCCCTCATCTTCACTCGTCCCCTGTTGACATCTGTGGGAGGTCTGTTAGGAAAAGAGGGTAGCAAGCAATCCTACATTTGTGGCCAGCTCACAGAGCTTAAAAGTAGATGTTTCAAAAATGACTGGGCCACAGGTACAATATGAGGAATTGTCTGTCATTTGAAAGTTCTTGATTTTCTCATTCTAAAGAGATATAAAAGAAAGCTGCAAGTTAAAGCCAAGCTAAAATGATTGGCCAGCCCTTGTGGGGCTGGGGATGAAGATGCTGAGTAACATGTGAATCCCATTGAAGAGTGGGCTCAGAGACAGGAACTTTCTCTTTCCTCAGTACTGGCAATTTTCAGAAGGTGATGGTAGTTGTAACAGAAACTTATGAGTCTGTCATACTGCATGTCTGGAAAGAGCTGGTTTAGCAATCTGACAGCAGCACACATAGTCCCTTGCAGGCCCATTTTAATCATCAGAGAGACCAGTAGTCTGTCTTCTCCCTGCAGCATGAGGCTGTCGTTTTGCCTTGAGTGCAGTTGCCACTTATTGAAAACATCAGGTCACTGTCTCAGGCAGTTTGCCATCTATGCTTAAAAGAGCTGCATTCAAGGTAGTTTATTTGAAAGCATTGTATTTTCCACCAGACTAAATAGGCTTGTTTCTTCTCCTTGTCAGTCCTGTGAACTGAATCTCTCCTCTCTTTTGTAAAAGTGTAAGGTAGAAGTAGGCCCAATCAAGACAATCAGTTTCTCATGCATAAGTCTAGTCCAGGAGAGAACTAAAATTTCTGGTTTTGCAGAAGTAACTGGCAACAGAAGGCATTGCATTTTCCTGTCTCTTTTTGCAGCAAGTTCTATTTTTTTGTCACATGCAGAAATATAGTTATATATTCAGCCTGTGGAGAGTTAAATTAGCTAGCAAACATGGAATATAAAATCTCCCAGAGAGCAGCAAATGCAGAGGTTATTCAGGAGCATTTTGAATCTCAAAAAGAACACAGTGCAAGGACTGCTGTCTGTCACCAAAGCACTCTCAGTGTCAAGCAGTGAAGAAGGTAAATGACATAATTTTTCTTCCATGGCTACATGTACCACAGTTAAACTGGCACTCCTGACTTTTTTCCACCTATAATCATCACCACCTGTCTCACTAGCTCAGCAAAGCTGTGCTTGGCTTTTATTTAGAAAAGGTTCAATTGTAAGACTGAGACTTAAAATTTTCCATTAAACAGGAATATTTATCTCTTACTCAGTTTCATGCACATTCCCATCCTTAGAGCATCATCCTCATTGCACTCAATTCTTTACAGAGCAATATTATGCGATAGTAAAAGCACTGAAGGTTGCCTGTCTTGGCTGAGTTTAGATCTATCCCTGTCAAACAGCTCATCAAGTGTTTTACAGAAGGATGAGCAGGGAGGTTGGACCAGGTGGCCCCAACAATGTTCCCTTCCAAGGTTAACCATTCTGTCATTCTATGATTGAGAAGGTGCTTGTGAATATTATGAAGCATCTCAGAATTCCAGCTGACTTGCAGTGTCCCGGTGGCTGCTGAACTTCATTACCCCATTAGGATTTGCACATGGGACCAAAGCCCTCAGTCATGAGCTCATGATGGAGCTGCTGGGCTTCCCATTGCTTGGTGCAGAAAAAGAGATGGGAATGCTACATCCACTTGGCTTGCTGCACAGTCCCAGTGCTAAATCTTCCCCAAATTACTCCATATCTGTAGCTGTTCTAAATGGGTTTGGTTTGCCATTTCTAAATTTTACTGCCCATCTTTGCCCTTCTTGAGTTTTTTATTGTGTAAAGTCCCTCAGAATAATGTAACATGCAATTTACAGGGCAGCTGGAGGTCATGGTGCTGTGGAGACTGTGGATATGTGGGAAAATCTTGGTATGAGCCTCAGGCTGAGCTGAGGGGATGGAGCAGGCTCAATACAATTGTTAATACCATTTTAGCTTACACAACTCAATGTGGTTGTATTTCAGAATGAATTTCCATGTGAAAACAGATGATTTCATTTTTTTGTTCACCCCCATCTCTCTCTGCAGAAATGGGAACCAGGGACAAGGCGCTGAGAGTTAGGCAGTTTCAATTCAAGAGAAGTTCATGAGAAAAAAAAAACTGTCTCAGTGCTTGTAATGTCTTGTGTTTTCTTGGCAACATTGTTATGTTCACAAAAAGCCCCTGAACTTATTTATCAAAGAGATAAGTAAGGAGTGCACACAATTGTGTGCAAATTAAGGGCAGTTGAGGGTAGTTTGCCTGCTAACCCCTAATTTTGCAGGATGCTGCGGCCATCGCTGCTCTGTTCCTTCTCCCCTACAACCATTTGTGTTTTTGCTGGAGATATTCTTTGCCAGAACAGATGGGACCGCTGTGTTTAGCTAAGCTCTATCCAGAAAATAACAGCAACAGAGCCCATTGCCCTCTAGGTGCACGGAAAACCAACCCCAGATGTACTTTGATGCTGCTACAGGAAACGAAAAACCCAAACCAACCCCCCCACCCCCTTATGTTCACTGAAGGATGTTTCTTCTGGGTGTCTGTAACCTGCTGGGGCTGTCCTGGGGCTGTTCTGCCTTTTTCCTGCTCATGCAGCAGCAGTCTGGCTGCAGCCCTGCTGTGTGTGCAGAGAGAGTCCATACCTGGTGCTGCTTTGGGAAAAACCTTCTGTTTCTGGGCAAACTCAGGTGTCTCTGCCAGGAGTGTTAACTCAGGTTCAGATTGGGACTCCTTGTCATCCTGGGAATCCTGCTGGGCTCTTTTGGGGCAGAGTCCATTGGTACTTTGTGAGATGTGTCTCTCCTCTTCAGAGACAAAGTCCTCTCTGTATCTGGTAGGGGAAAATTTCCATGGGGACTGAAGGAGCATGGAGTGTTATCAAAATCAAGGGACATTTTTGAGACCAGGCAGTGTTTGAGTGCTGAAGATGAGAGCAGCAAGCAGCTGTGCACAGCTATGAGAGTTAGTCTTACTCAAGATGGAGCAAGCCAACAGGCCTTTTCCTTCTGCTGTTTCCCACTTGCTTGAACGTTTCCTGCACATTTGTGTAGAGCAGATGTGCTCTAGCCAAGACAAGCACACCACATGCTCAGTGGCCAAGGCAGCAGGAGCTGGCCTAGAGGAGATTTTGGCTGTTAAATCTACTTTACACCGGAGATAGTGCCCTCTTTATGATATATGGGCCATTGCAGACATTTTGTGAACAATTGTGGACACCTTTTAAATTCCAGACAAATAGGCAGATATTCCTTCTTTATGGTCACTCTTAAAGAGCTATAAGTAATGCTTAGATAGTGTTCATGAGGAAGCTGTGTGTGTTCTCACCAGTGAACTACCAAAGCAGTTGGCAACAGGAATATGAATCTGGTCATTGTCATGGCAGGTCAAAAACATGTCAGTGTTGGTGTTCTTCCACAATGGAGGGAGTTACAGTGCTGAGGAGGGAAAGACAACCCTGGATGGATCATACCTGGCTGCCGTCGGTAACGTCATCGTCGTGACGGCAAACTACCGGGTCGGTGTCTTTGGCTTCCTGAGCACTGGTAAGTCATGGATTTCCAGAGTAAACACAATTATGTGACTCTTCTGTTTCTAATTTTTATTTTTTCAAGTTATTATTTCAACTCGAGTAACCTATATCTTTCACAGACTTTTTTTTTTAATTATTGTGGAAAAAAATTGGCCAAGAAATTGTGGAGCCTTAATCTGAAGACAAAGGGGAGAAGTTGGGGGAACAGGGACAGCTTGTCCCAAAATCTGTAACCAAACCAAATATCTATATCAAAGCACTGGCTAGACTTGTGTTTGCAGATGAGATTCTGGATATTGAATTTGCAGACACCTGTGAAGATCGGTTAGTATCAAAATTCCTGCTAATTCCAGTGGCCTACCATTGTGAGTGGAGTTTTCAATGATTCCAACTTCCAACCTGTTCCATCCATGATATTTTGCTGATGCTCTCTTGTGCCCATGTCAGAGTGGGGAAGAGGCAGAGGCAGATAACTCAGGTTCATGACAAGAAGGATGTGAGAGGATGGAAAATATGGAACAAAGGTAGTTGGTTGGTTCCTTAACAATTCAGCCTGATTTTTCTGAAGGACTTGCCAGATTTAATCTGAGTCTGTACTGGCCTGGATGTGACTGAACATTTGCATGTTCTGTGATGCAACCCTTCCCCATGTTCCAGTGTAAAGGATTTTTCAATACCAATTGCCATTAAATATTATACAAATTCCCATTACAAACAGGATTTTTTCTTGTATAAGGAGGTATGAAAACATGCATTCAATCTCCCTAAACCTTTGGGGTAACGCCATCTGGTCTTAAGGATTGTTTTTTTCATTATGCCTTTTTTTAGCCTTGCCTTTTTAAGCAAGAAGGGAACATTTTTTCATTCTACCATCTTTCACTTCTGCCTGGGGCAGGGGAACTTAAGGTAGAGAGCCATTGAGAGAAAATACAGCAGCTGCAAGTGGAGCTCTGTCTCTTTCAGTCTGGTGGCAATCTTTGGTCTCTTTAGTGGGAATTTTAATACATTTATAACTTTTAGAATGTCATATTTGCCATGTTTGCAAATATCTGACCTATGCACTTTGCCTCATGATCCTTTTTAGTGTTCCCTGTTAGTGATGTTGGGTGGATTTTGCCTAGTTTGAGGTTATAGCTGCAGTTTTTGGTTATTTTTTTCTCTTCTCTCTTTACTGTTTTGTTCAAAACTCACTCCCAGCAAAGTCTCTTTCATTCTGTAAATAGAGAGCTGGCACTACAAACTCCTTACTTATTTAGATAAGAATTTGATTATGGGTGTACCTGGAGAAAAAAATCACTGTTTTCATCAGTGCAAACCCAAGGTTTATGAAAGTGATACCATCATTTCATCTAGAGCCAAATACAGCGTGGATATGTTCTGTGTCAGCTTCCAGTACACAGCACTGCCCACACACTACCTCCTTCAGCCCTGTGAAAATCACCTAGGTTTCTTCCTAAGTGGAAAATGCTGGTTGGGCTGAATATGATGCAGCAGTATTTATATGATGATGCATAACTTAGGGATCAAGAAAATTATTTGGTCTCTGTTTCACAGGGTTCTCCCTGTATGTTCCAAAATGTCAATACATGAGCTTGGTGTGCACGGTTGGTGTTCCTGCAATCCTTCACATAGACGTGGTTCGTTGCACACAGGGACTTTTTGGGGCCTTTCTCCTATTCCTCTGTACTGTGGAGCTGTGGTCAGGGAAAAGTTCAGTCTTTCCTGGCCTCTTCCTCTTTGGGAAGTCCTTGGTGTGTAGCTGGGAAAATCATACAGTTCTAGACTCACAAAATCTTTTAAGTTGAAAAGGATTCACAAGAATCATTGAAGTCCAGCTCTTGGTCCTGCACAGAACACCCCAGGAATCCCACCATATGCCTGGGAATGTTGTTCAAACACACCATGGGTCTGTCAGGCTTGGTGCTGAGACAAGAAATTTACATCATTAAACCATTAACATTCCAGTCTCCTGCACCTGGTCCTTTGGAACTTTTGCCATTGGTTTCAAAGGGAGCAGGAGTTCACCCTTAGGGCCTTTGCAGCAGGACTGTTAGAAGCCCCTACAATAAAAGTTATGAACTTGTGAGTAATATTAGTTTGATTATCCAACTGAGCAAAGTGCTGAATCCTCTCAAGTTGACTTGTTATAATTCACAAATCTAGAAAGGAAGGAGTTAAATGGATTTTTAGGGAATTGAAGGGTAATGAAAACAGAAGAGTTCTTTTTGTTTGAATGGAGCTTTTGTTAGTTCTACAGTTATTCTGGTTCCTCAGTGGCTTTTGCAAAAAGTGAAAGAGCTCTCTTTCTCGTAAACAAAAAAGATGTTTAATTAAATTTGCTATCACCCATTAATGTTGCAAAAAGTGATGCACATTCTTACTGTTGTCTTCATTTCTTGCTTTGTGTCCAGAAAAATTGAGGTGAATTGCCAGTCATATGGATGGCAAGAGTATGGAGAACACAGTCATGTTTACAGGTTTTATTCTTTTAAGATTCCATGAAATCATATAAAGCATATAAACCAGACTGATTTTTGTGCTTTAATTCAGCACTATTGTTCTTCTGTTTAGTAATTACAGAAGGAAGCACACAAGGACTCTGGTGTCTTTTCAGCTTCCTGTGGTCCTCAGGAATGTGATCTCTTCCTACAAAAAGGCAGTGGAAAAGATTCCTGGCAGACGTGTTTCTTTCAGTCTAACTCATATGAATGTCCATGCATTCATCTGTTCTCAGTGTGGTACATTTCACAACCCAGCTGTGGTTTTTGCCAGGGAAAAAGGAACTGGTTATATTCCCCTCTTAGGTCTTTCTGTTTAGTATAGTGAAAGCAAGGCAGACTGTGTGGCTAAAACATTTGCATGGATCTGCACATAAAATTATTCACCAAAGGGATTGTAAAGCGCTGGAACAGGCTTCCCAGGGCAGTGGTGGAGTCACCATCCCTGAAATATTTAAAAACATGTAGATGGGGCACCTGGGGGCATGGTTTAGTGGTGAACTTGGCAGTACAGTAGTAACAGTTGGCTCAATGATTTTAAGGGTCTCTTCCAACTAGAGTGATTCTATTATTTCACTTCCTTTGGAGTGGTCTCAATGGGGATGGAGCAAGCCCTTAAAATGAGATTTCCTTTTTAAAGAGTGGGTTTATTGCTGGATTGAGAACTCTGGGAACTGGTCACGGTGTGCAAACTGAAAAAAACCCAAAAAAACAAATCACAAATCCAAAAAATTAAGCAGGGAAAAGATTTCCTCCATTGCTTCACTGGTGTGCCTTGGACTGGTCATCTGAAACAGTGGCTATAGGTCACAGTGTTTTGGGCTATTCAGTTTTTGACTGCCCTGCTGAAAGGCTGTTCCTAACAATGGCTATTGTATCATGGGCATCCCTAAGCCCTGCAAGGTTACCATTAATCTGTTCTCCTCTATATTTATTCTGCTGTTTAATCTGGTGTGTTTGATACCTCAGTAATTCACAGTGTAAAGGATGTACACTTCAACTGCTCTTTGCCCAAGACCTGTCCACAAAGTGACATCTTTTTATTCTGCTCCCTGTTAATTTTAATTCACTAGTTTCTGAACCTGCCCTTATTTTAAACTTCTGCTGTTTGGTCTTGGCAATGGAAGAAACAGTTTCAGTTGTTTTTCTATTCACGGCTTTTCTGTTTTATCCTGTGGGTTTCTTTTTTTTTCCAAGTTTTAAATGAGAAGAATTTTAGAACTTTGGAAATGAATGGCTCATTGTGGATTAAAAAGAAGTAGACTGAATAATCATTTCCTATTCCTTTTTTATAAACCATGGAGGAATTACTTATTTCTGCTTTTGTTGACATAAAATCAAGCTTACCTACATGGTTGCATAACTAGATGCTTTCAGCATTAATTTCTTATTAATCAAAGTATCAGGTTACCACTTTTTGGTCTTGAAAAGGAGGTGGTCATACTTAGGCATGAAAAGCACATGATTAATTATTTGTTTGTTTTTTATGTTTGTTCTGTTTTTTATGTTTGTTTATATATATATATAAGATTTCTATTGGATAAACATAGGACAATCTCAAAACTATAGACAGAAATATTAAAAATTTTAAAATAATATCTGGAAGACTGTAAAGTATTTCAATAGGATTCATAGTAATTTCATAATGATATGATTTATAATCATTATTTAATAATTATTTTTGATCATTAATTCATAATGGTAAGGTTTATGGTGATTGGTCAGGCAGGACAAGTGTAAGAGGTGTGTAGGAAGGAAACATACAATCAGGTGTCTCCAGGGAAACTAATTCTTACAGATCCCTTCCAACTTGAGAACCTGGCCAACACACAGATATTTTTGTTTATTTTAAACTCATTTTAAGATTGAGCTACTTATGTAGAAAAAGAATCTTATGGCTAAATCTATGGATACTTGAGCCTGGATTTGTCTCCTTCCATGATGTGTCCTAATGAAGCTTAGAAGTTCAAGTGTTATTTTTCTATCTCTGGGACAAAACAGCACCCCCAGGGCTGCCCTGTGGAGTGGTAAAAACTGAAATGATTCACTGTGTAAAGCGATTACCTTGGAGGAGACCAGACTTCTAAACTCTGGTGTCAGTTTTGTCAAGTTTCACCTAAAAGAGTTGCAAAAAATGTAACATTTACTCTGAACTTCAATGTTTCTAGTTTTCTTTTCTGCTGTATTTTGTTTCCTACTCCAGGTTCTGCTGAGGTGAGTGGGAATGCTGGCCTTTGGGACCAGCTGGCAGCGCTGAGGTGGGTGCAGCAGAACATCGCCAGCTTCGGGGGCGATCCCAGCCAGATTTCTCTGGGAGCCGAGCGCGGCGGGGCGGATGTCACCAGCGTTCACCTGCTCACAGAGACAGCGGGCACAGACCTTTTCAGGAGGCTGCTGCTGATGGTAAGTTCCACTCCTGCTTCAGCTTCACCTGCACTGTGAAAGGATGTTGCTACAGAGATGAGGATGCTGCGGTGTGTGGGTGCTGGTTTTATTTCATCCATACCTTGACAGGGCTGTTATTGTGGCACTTATTTTTCATCTCACCTGTGACTGTTATCTCCAGGAGCTGGATGCTTCACCAGGATGTACAAGAGATGTGTTTGATTTACTCATAGTAAGAATCCAGTTTTCGTCACTGTGGTTTTTTTGTGTATTACATAAATAACCTTGTTTTGTAACCTGTAAGTGCAACAGCTTAGTTTCCATTCCTTAAATATGATTGTTGGTCAGCAGCTTTTAGACCCTGAAACTGATGAGCCAAACTCCCACATGGTAAAGTATCCAGTCTTTTTATCAGATCTTATGACAGATTTCATTTAAAAGAAAAAAAAGTTCAGAGAATAAAAATCAGTTTACAGATGGGCTTGTTTCCCATCAGCTTAAACCACTTTCTCAGTCACTCCAAGTGATCCATATCCTTAAAGCCTTTCCTGTGTTGAGTCTCAGGACTCTGAGATCAGTTGTGTCAGCATTAATATTGCCATTTATCTTCACAGCCTCAGATAAGCTCAGCGTGCTCTGAAATGAGTCTTAATCAACAGAGGAAGTTTATTCATCCAGCAGAAATGGTACTTGGACAAAATGAGTTCTGCTAGCAGTGTTGCCTTGGAACAGTGAGCAGTGGGATATAATTCTTGATTCAGGAAGCTGAGGGCCCAATTAAATAAAATGTTGCCTTGAAAATAATGACATCTTAATTCAGTACCTAATTGTTCTTCACTGTGCCCTTGCTTCAGGAAACATAACTTGCCTTTTGCATCCCCATGGCTCAATAAGTTTGTTTTAGTTACACTGCTCTAGTGGGGAGAGCAAGGGAAGTTTTTGAAAATTGTTGTTCATTAATTGGGTTTTTTTGTCATTATCAGATAATTCCTCACACAGTTCCTAGATTTTTAGTCAGCTCTTGACATAGGATTTAATTTACTGGAAGACTCAGAGTCCTTTTTTCTCAGTGTCCTCCTGCTTTGAAGTCACAAACCCTTTACTGATGTGGCTGAGGATGGAGCCCTGTGAAAAGGACACAGTGCAATTTAACAGCTGGTCCACTTAGGGGAGGGAAATGCAAGGACCTCTTGGCTTATTGTTGCTTCTGGAGAGTGGTTCCACGTTATATATTTTCTTTTATTAAAAAAAAAAAATTAAACTCATTCTTTCTCCTACAGCAGAACACTGAATAATGGAAAACAGTGGCAAGTGCAATGAGCAGACAGGTGCACCAATTCTTCCCACTTTTCTAGTGTTTATATCTTTTTTTTTAAAAACTGTGCAGACAACTGTCTTGGCAAAAGCAGCATCTCCACCGAGTTCATAGTGTTAATTTCAGATTTCAGAGAAGTGTTAATTATTTATCCTGACAGCCTTACAGTGGATTTAGTTTTCTTGTGAAATACACTGACAAAATGAAAAGCAAGCAACAATAGCAGTAGCTTGTAACTTAAAAATATACTTGATTTATCTTTTTTTAAAATGATGCCAAAGTTGTTTTCTCACTTACATCTTCTGTAAAGGGATGTATCTTGTTTTTGTTCAAAGATACCAAAATCATTGACTACTTTTAATTTTACTGTAAGAAAAGAGTTGCACACAGATTAGAATCATGAAACTGAGATTATATACCAGATGTACCTTTCCTAAGGGAAAATCCCTCAATGAAGCAATAGAGCTCTTCTGCAAAAGTCAGCTTTGTGCTCCTGGTTTCTGTGTTTGTTATGAATGATAAAACCACATTGTTCCTGAGCATGCAGAGAGCAGTGGTGCATGAAACTTTCTTTACTAGAAAATGTGCACCTGAAATATCAAAATGCTTTTGAGTTTCCTGTGTCTGCCTTGTAATAGTTTTTGTTTGGAACAAATCTGAAATCAGATTGTACAAAATCAGTGCAAAGCTCTCATGAGGACTTCTTAGAAATTATTTTACTTTTCAGTGGTATGATTAGAAATAAGTGGTGTCAGTGATTATGGTCTTATTTTAAATGGTTTAAGAGCATTAGCCTGGCATTTGACTTCCTATTTTGATCGCTCAGTTAATTTACCAGTGCAATTTTGATGTGGATGGCTGGATCAATGGTGTGGATTGCAGGGGCTGCAGAGGACAGCTGTGTTAGGTGTCCTCTCCTGGCATTCCTGGTGGGTGTCAAGGGCAGCTTCCAGCCTTTTCCGCCCAGTGCAAGGGAGGACATCAGGTCCCTCCTGGCCATGGAGGCAGATCAGACAATAGTGGAAAGAGAAGGTTTATTGCTCTTCTACTGCAGTCAGGTGCAAGGCTCTCTAGCATGGACCCTAAATATCCCTGATCCTGGTAACCAGCTACTCTTTAGATCCCCTTTCTTCCTTCTTTTCCCATCTCCTTTTCCCCTCCCTTTACCAGTCTCATTCCCTCTCAAACAAAGCAACCACCTCTCTTAGTTACTTTTTTTCATTATAGCTGTTTTGGAACATCCCTACCCAAATTTTGTACTTCTGATACCATATCATAGGTAATGTAGGATTTGTATAAAATCCCCTGGGGAGTGTCATTTCTCCTTCAAGCTCATGTTTCCCAAAAGGTGCCCAATAAAGTCTTCCAGTTAATTGTAAAAGTAGCAAGACCTCACAGAATTTTCCCATAACCATCTGTGAAATCCGGCCATCCCTATGGCACTTTTAATTGGTTTTTGTCACTTTATCATGTCATTGCTGTGAGGATGACAGAGTGTCTGCACAGGTCACCCAGGGAGGCTGTGGAGTCTCCATCCCTGGAGGTATCCCAAAGACCTCTAGACCTGGTCCTGGGCAAATGGCTCAAGGTGGCCCTGGTGGAACAGGGAGGGGTTGGTTCAGAGGATGACTGGGGGTTCTTTGCACCCTGAACTGGTCTGTGATTGTTGAACTTGTCAATGTCAGAACATCATATCCCCTTCTCACTGAGAGTGTCCAAGTGCTGCCAATCCTGTGGGCTCTGGGATTCTTTTGTCACCTTCCATCCAAAATACCTTCTGGCCAGCATTGAAAGGCTGGGTGCTGGTACTAGTTGCACACCACATTTTCCATTTTCTAAAAGCAACACAAAGTAACTACTGAATATTATTTTAATGAATAAATACAAGTCATGACTTAGAAATCTGAAATGCTCCCCATATACATTTCATGGATAAAATGCAGTCACCATAATGTATTGATTATCAGTAATAGTAATCAGATTATACAAGTGCCTAGAGTTCCTGAGTGTGTTTTGCTTTTTGGAATTCAATGTTTACCAGCCAAATTACATTCATTCTTTAAGTACTGAAATATGCTTAAACAGGCTGTGAAATATTTTGATCTCTGAACCTTTCTTGCTAGTGCAAATGGCCTGATACAAGATCTAAATAACACATAATTTGTTCTAAGAGGTGTTTAGAGATTATATATATATATTTATATAACCTCTCAAATTCTCTATTTCTCCAAATTTTCATTATTCAAGTCAGTGCAAAAAGGTACAGAAGAATATGGGATTGAAACTATCTCACCTTGAGAGCATAGGTTGCAGCATTTTACACATTCAGACAAGAGTGACCTTTGGATCACTCAAAGGAAAATGCTACTTGTCTTTTAGAACTTAAAAAAGGGTACATACCTGTAAAAAATAAATGAAATTTCAGAAAAATCCTCTAATCCTTAAGTGGTTTGAAGGAAAGTGTAATTACTTTTTGACATAACTCTAGTCAGACAAGAAATTAGGAAAAATCTCTAACATCCACAGTTACTGATTTTTTCCCTTAGTTTAATTATTTTAAAAGCTGCTGTTAATATAAATATTATACATAAATATGTGGCTGACTTCAGAAGTCAAAGTTAAAATATCTCCATGTACACTTAAAAGGTCACACCTTTGCAAGCCAACCTTTGTAGTTAGGCACAATATCATCACATCTTTTCAATTAAACTCCTCTTTTTTTCTCTGTTTATCTGCTTTACTATGAGTAGTCGAGTTACATGTTTGGATATGCCCTAGCTCCCATCTCAGGTATAAGCAGAAACTCCTTTTCTCTGTGAATTAAGCCTGTTCTCTAATTTTGTGACTATTTTATGGCACTGCAGGACATATCCAGCAAGTTAATTAAATGACACTTGTAAAGTCAGTGATTTTAATTTTTTCTCCTAAAAGATAAGTATGGAGTCACTATAATAATTTCTTTGATGCCAGATGTTAGATACTTTCCTGCAGTTTTTGATGTCTTTCTGACCCATTCTTGATGACAATGGATAAGTCTATCTTGAGAAGAAAAATGCTCCTTTTTTCAGTGTAGATAGGTTCTGTAAAGAAGGCTTTCAGTCTTGTGGAGAATACCAGAGTAAGACTTAAATTAAAGATCTTGAGCTGCAGTTAGTTCTTCCCTGTACACCTCTGTACAATGCTGGGCATCGCCCCTGCTGAGGGGTCACCTGCACCACTTGGCTTTTGACTTAGAGTCTGTCTCAGTTTGTCCAGCTTGTGAACCACTTCTGGTGTGCTGGGGACATTCCCAGCATATACCATGGCTGAAATATCCTTGGGAGGATCTCTGGTTAACATTCAGAAGAAGAAATGCAGAAGCACTGCTGACACTTGGTCAGCAGCTTAGCTGATTGTATTTCCCAGCTGTTGAAGGACAGCAGGACCACAGCATGCTCTGGTTTCTCTTCTAACTCGTCAGTTTGTGGCTTTTTCCTGTTTGTCTTATATTTAGTCGTCATAGTATGTAGGTGGCAAGTGAAGAGCACTCTTACGTTTGCTCCCTGTGTATATGAGAGACTGGGATTTCTTCTTCCTGGCACTTGCAAAAGAAGTGTTGTCATCCTCAGTTAGGGAGAGGTAGGAAGCGATGCTTTCCCTCAGGCCATAGCTGAGGCAAGAATCATCCATTGCTGCCAGGGTGCTTTTGGTATCTTCAGTCACC